CAAAAACTATTCAGCCTATACCTTGAAAATTTGTAAATCCGCCACTGCTATAAAGTAAAACATTTTTACTAAAAATGTATTAAAAAAACATCAAGCAATGTATTAAAAAAAAATGGGACCAAAAGGTCCTAAAGGCCCCGGGTTAAATAAAATATTTACAGACTCTGTAATACAGAGTATACCTGTGTAAAATGAAAAAGTATATAGGGTTGTTGGTACACTGAGAAAAAAATGGGACAAATAAGCTGTGTAGCTAATACTTTTATTAATAGTGAATATATTGTTTATTACCTCTAAATAGTCGAATAATAACGATAAATATACTTTAGTAAAACTTTATGTGTCGGGAATAAAAATATATTTAGTATAAATAAACTGCAGGGTACATGTACCCTTGTCCCATATTTAAATATTTTTTTATTTGATAGCAATAAACTTTTTTCTCAGTGTATTGTCCCAAGGAAAACCAACCTTAAGGTTTAAAGTTTTCATTTTAACCCTGAATTTCGGGACTACAATGTAAACTTTAAAACTATATATGACCCAACACATGTGTTTTAAAGTTGAAGGGGAGTCTCTTAGACTCCATGTCCATCCCATCAGGATGTTTCTAGGATAACTTGGGATGAACCTCATACATTCTGGGAACATCCTTAGGTCGTTTTTAGTATGTTATATTTTATATTCCCAAATGACTTTTAGAAAGGTTTGAAATAAATCGAAAATTTTCAAAATAAGTTTTATTTTGAAAGGACACAGTTTATGGAGACAAACAGGCACCAATACCATTACTACTTAAAGCTTGCAGCACGTTATTTCTTAACGAATACAATACTGTAACTGTAATAATGTTTAAATACTTAAAACATATTTAATTTAAAGTAAAAAACTGAAATACTGTAAATACTCAGTAAATACATATAAAATAATATAAATAAATAATATAAAAGGAAACAAATAAGCACCCCAAAGACCTTTAAGGAACCAAATACCCCAGCTACATAAAATTCTAAAAGTATAATGAAAAAAACATACACATACATACATAATAATATTATATACCTATAGCTAAAATTAAACATTTAATTCAATTTTTTTTATTTCTCCTCTTAACCTTCTTTCTTTTGCCCTTCTTAACCAATCTCCAATTCGTTGCTCAGCCTCTTTGTAATTAATTGAATGCTCATATTTCTGTGCACATTCTGAAATAAAAATTATATTGTTAAGAAAAAGTTTCCAGGTAACTACCAACATAGAAACACGACCCACTCAGCTGCGGGTTCGATGCTTCTATAGTTTGATAAAAAAAATTGGAAATATTCTTTTATTTTAAGTGGGGTAAAAAAATATAAAAAAAATCTGCAAAATCAAAAGGGGTTGGGTTTAAAAGTCTATTTTTATTTACCGACTATCGGTTTGCTTAATGATAAGCTTCCAAACATAGTTTTTCCTTTTTTCCCTAAGAAGGAGAACTGTTCAGCTAGACTATCTGTAATTATGGGTGCGAGACATCATCTTATAAATTCATAGATTCCAAGTTGTGAAAAAACTGAACCTATAAATCAGAATAAGAAACTATACTCACTAATGTAACTACTACTGTATATGAAAATTCTAGGATAATAGATAAAAAAGAAATTACCAATGCTGAATAATTTTCAGAATCTGAAAGGAAGTTTTCAAAAACTTCCTTACGATATTCTGCTCCACATTTTCCCACTTTGGAATTAATTTCTAACAACAGTGTCTGTATATAATATATATTATATAACAGTTGTGGATTGCAACAACAACTAGTACGTGTTTTGAATGTTTCACCTAAAATGCATTCATTAGGTACACTAACAGTTTTAAGAACAGCTCAGAAAACTTACCTATATTGTTCTTTATTAATTCTAGGGCGCTTTTCGAAGTTGATGGAATAGGGCTCTTTTTAGAAAAATTACTGCCTGCTAGCAGTAAGCTTGGAAATCTGTAACAGTGAAATTTAATTAGTATTGACATAAAAGTAATAAACAGAACAACATTAATTAAATACATTATAAATATTATTATACCACCTTCCAAATTACTGCACTTTTCTTCAACAAGCTAAGAGGATATCTAAGTTGGTGGAGGAGGTAATTTTTTGGATTTTTGCCTAGAGGCTCCTCGTTTTCCTAGTCAGAATATTATAATAATCCAGCGAGTCTGAGAGACTCCATGTCACTGTTAAAGTAAAACTTTTTCATGTCACCAGTTATACATACATACCTATAGGTATATATAGGTACATTAAACATTAACATTTATATCAGAATATTATAATAATCCAGCGAGTCTGAGAGACTCCATGTCACTGTTAAAGTAAAACTTTTTCATGTCACCAGTTATACATACATACCTATAGGTATATATAGGTACATTAAACATTAACATTTATATCAATCTTTATAAAGGTATACCTTCTAAACAATTTACTTGGTAAAATTGTCATAAAACTTGTTATAACTCCTTTCATAATATATAATCCAATCTATACATGGCAAAGCAAAAAACTAAAGCATACCTACAGTAGGTAACCTACTCCATACAAAAATAACTCTCCATGAGTCCTGGATAACACCAAGATACACTTAAATGTAACTCACAATAGGTATGTGTATATCTTGCAATTTATTCCAATAATTATTAGGTAGTGTCTCCCCGACCGTCGGACGGACGTAGAAAAGTGTGTGCTCGACCGTCGGACGGACGTAGAAATGTGTGTGCTCGACCGTCGTCTTGGTTATGCAGGTACACTGCATTGTGCCATACCAAACCAACCCAAACTTAACAACCCAACCCAACCGACCCCGCCCCATTGGGCCCCTCCCGCCCCATTGAGCAATAGAGGTATAATATATCTAAGGGCAGGCTGGATTGTGACAATGGGGCGGGAGGGGCCCAATGGGGCGGGGTCGGTTGGGTTGGGTTGTTAAGTTTGGGTTAGTTTGGTATGGCACAATGCAGTGTACCTGCATAACCAAGATGACAGCTATTTGTCATAACCTTGAGGAATACTTTGCTACATTTACCCTCTAGTTGAAAATGAGGTTAAAATATGCGACGGTTGAGCACACACATTTCTTCGTCCGTCCGACGGTCGAGCACACTTTTTTCTACGTCCGTCCGACGGTCGGGGAGACACTACCTAATTATTATTGTATATTTGTATTTTCCGATATTCTAAAAAAGGGGATTTTATATTTATCTGTATTTTTGTTTGATGCTGCTTTGGCAATGGAATCCACCCTTTCATTCAAAATAATCCCTGAAGGACCTTTTCCACCACAATTTTTAATTTTGCATATCTGTTTCAGAAGTACCTACTTTACTTTGACCGAAATCTTGTTTGAACGAAAGTAGGTGAATCTCATTTAAGAAAATAAGATTTTTTATGAAAAATGTGAACGAAGCCTTACGCCTTTGACGTTTCAAAAACAACGTTGCCACACATTTTAGACCCATCGCGCTTTTAAATTTTAGACCCATCGAGTTTAGATCTCTCGTGTTTGGGTGTCACGAAGCGTACCCAATATTGGATCAATCTCAAGATTCCCGCCCCCCAGATTTCAAATCTTGCGAATTCGCAGAATCTGTCGAAACGTCGAAACACTTTTCCCGCCAAATCAAATGGACCAATGAAAACATTTTCGCAAATTCGCATGTCGCATCTATATGAACCAGGCTTTAAAAATAATTTTGTATGTGGCGCCATCTATTGAGGATGCTTGTAAGTAGAGTTGATGGGTGTCAAATGTCAAAATAGTTATATGGTCAATTCTCATATAACTTGTTCCGATGCTGTATCCACTTATTTTTGTGAAAACTAATTCTCGCTCAAGGTTTTTTTTAGTGTAATAAGCATGTAGCATTTCAAGGTAATGGGAACTTAAATTATGACAACCCTAATCTATTAATTTTTTCCTAAAATGCAGGCTTTATGTTGCAAATGTCACATAAGTTACCGGTCACCAACTGCAATATCCTAACATCGATGAATATTTCAACAAAATGACCGTTCAAACAACTAATGTTAGTGCTTGATTAACTAAAAATAGACTTAAGATTGACAAAAAATTATTTTATCCGAAATCGGCAGTAAAGTAGTCAACAATCGTAAATTAAAATAAATCGGCAGTAAAGTTCTACTTTACTGCCGATTTCGGATAAAAGAATTTTTCGTCAATCTTAATTAAGTCTATTTTGAGTTAATCAAGCACTAACATTAGTTGTTTCAACAGCCATTTTGTTAAAATATTCATCAATGTTAGGATATTGCAGTTGGTGACCGGTAACTTATGTGACATTTGCCACATAAAGCCTGCATTTTAGGAAAAAATTAATAGATTAGGGTTGTCATAATTTAAGTTCCCATTACCTTAAAATGCTACTTGCTCATTACACTAAAAAAACCTTGAGCGAGAATTAGTTTTCACAAAAATAAGTGGATACAGCATCGAAACAAGTTATATGAGAATTTACCATATGGAGCTAAAAAACAACAAATTTTGTTACAATTCGCCTAAAAAACCGTAAAAAAATTCTCAGCTTTTCAATAAAAATATCCATTCTTTATTATATGTGATAGAAAACCCTAAAAATTCAATCAAAGGAAGAAGAGCGATTTTTTCGGCCCATCGACAATTTACAATACGGTCGGTAAAGTAGTCCACAGATTATACAAGTAGTCCACTTCAAATGGATAATAAAAAAGTAAACAGTTCGTATTTGTATAGTAATGCTAATTATTGCTAATAAAGTTTGATAAGTGGAGTAAAAAAAAATATTGTTGTTTTATTTAATAGTAAAATTGAGTGTTTAAAAGAGTTAAAAGAGGTTGTATGTGGCGCCATCTATGGAGGATGCTTGTAAGTAGAGTTGATGGGTGTCAAATGTCAAAATAGTTATATGGAGTTAAAAAACAACAAATTTTGTGACAATTCGGCTAAAAACCCGTAAAAGCGTAAAGTTAATCGTTAAAGTAAAGGTACATCAGTATAAGGACTAGTTTGCCGTTTAAAAATCGGCATAGTTGCCTATATAAATGAGATAGTAAAAAATGGGAAAATTATTAAGTTTGGAGTGCTAAACTAAAGAAAATGCAAACGAAATAGATAATTTGGGTCATACATAAATGACTGAATGTTTGTTTTTCAGAAATCAAGGTTAATTCGATGGCAGAAGCCGAGTTGACGCCTCCGCCCCCGCCATGCATTAAATCCAGCTCGGGGTCAGGGGAAAATTTGGACTGGACGTGCGAGGAGTGCGGAAACGTGAACTTCGCCCGCAGGATCAACTGCAACAGGTGCTTCAAAGCCCGAGGCCCTGTTACGAGCAGCAAACGCAAGCTGGGCACCGAGATAGGCAAATCGGCTGCGGAGAAGAGCAAGGGGCTTTTCAGCGCCGACGACTGGCAGTGCAACAAGTGCGGCAACGTGAACTGGGCGCGCAGGCAGCAGTGCAATGTGTGCAACGCGCCCAAGTTCACGGATCAGGAGGAGCGGACCGGTTTCGGGGGCGGCTACAACGACAGGGGGGTGGTAGAGTACAAGGAGCGGGCGGATTCCGACGATGATTACGACGAGTTCGGGCGGCGGAAGAAGAAGCGCAAGGGCAGCGAGCAGGGTAGCAACTGCGATTCAGAGGAGGAGAAGGTCGTTAAGAAGCCTGAAAAAGTCGTTGAGGAAAAAAAAATTGAGGAGAAAGAGGAGGAAGAAGAGGAGGATGATGACGATGATGATGGGGATTTGTCTAAATATGATTTATCGGATTGGGGGGACGTTAGTGAGAATTCTTATAGTAAATCTAATGATCGAGGCAAATTTTAGACATTTTTTTTGTATGTAATTAAATACAATGAGATGGGCTTGGTAAATGTTCCGTATCGCGGCTTTTTCGAAAAAATCGTTCAAATGGCCCAAAATATACTTTTTTTAAAAACATATATATGGGTCATTCCATCAAATAATTTTTTTTGGCGGACCTTTTTCAAATTTTGTACTTTTCCCAAAGATTTGAGCTTTTAACAATATTAAAAAAAAAATATCTATAAAAATATAAAAATATAGTTTTTTGTACAAAATTCTCAGCTTTTCAATGAAAACATCCATTCTATTATATGTCACAGAAAACCCTAAAAATTCAATTAAGGAAAAAAAGCGATTTTTTCGGCCTATGGACAATTTATTTTTCAATTTAAATATTTTTAAAGTTTATTTGCAAAAAATTCTCAGTTTTTCAATAAAAATATCCATTCTTTATTATATGTCACAGAAAACCCTAAAAATTCAATCAAAGAAAGAAAAGCGATTTTTCGGCCTATCAACAATTTATTTTTCAATTTGATATTTTTTTGAAAGCTTGTAATTTTTACACAAAATATGTAATTTTTACGAAACTTACTAGCACTTTTGTAGTAATGATTTTTCAAACTTTAACAATATTAAAAAAATACTATTTATAAAAATACAAAAGTAAAGTTTTTTTCGAACTATCGACAATTTATTTTTTAATTTGATATTTTTTTAAAAGCTTGTAATTTTTACACAAAATATGTAATTTTTACGAATCTTACTAGGTAGTACTTTTGTAGTAATGATTTTTCAAACTTAACATATTAAAAAAAACTTTATTTATAAAAATATAAAAGTAAAGTTTTTTTGCAAAAAATTCTCAACTTTTCAAAGAAAATATCCATTCTTTATTATATGTCACAGAAACCCTAAAAATTTAATCAAAGGAAAAGCGTTTTTTGCGGCCCATCGACAATTTATTTTTCAATTTGTTATTTTTTTTGAAAGCTTGTAATTTGTTCACAAAATATGTAATTTTTACGAAACTTACTAGTACTTTAGTAGTATTGATTTTTCAAACTTTAACAATATTAAAAAAAACTTTATTTATAAAAATATAAAAGTGAAGTTTTTTTTTGTAAAAAATCCTCAGCTTTTCAATAAAAATATCCATTCTCTATTATGTCACAGAAAACCCTAAAAATTAATCAAAGAAAGAAAAGGGATTTTTTCGGCCTATGGACAATTTATTTTTCAATTTTTTTTTGAAAGTTTGGAATTTTTACATAAATTATGTAATTTGTACGAAAAATTCTATCCTTTTATATTATTTTTGGAAAATCAGACGAAATTTAAAAAATCATTGCTACAAAAATTAATATTAAGAACTCAAATCATAATTCGAAATTTTATAAGGTGGAATGACCCATATACAAAAACTGAAGGTTAGGTTTTTTCAATATGTGTATAATGTCAAATTCAACAAATTTTATTAAAACTGACACCTTTACTACGCACTATACGACTTTTAAAACTGTCATTCTCATTGACAGAAGACGAGTTTACGATGTTGTCAAATTAAAAATTTTGTTTTTGGGTTGTGACAACATTGTAAAATCGAATTTTATCAATGAAGTTTTGAAAATCGGTGTAGTGCATATAAGGAGTGACAGTTTTAGGCAAATTTTAAGATGGTTAAGAAAGTTGCAATTGACGATATTTTTTTTCGTCACATTTTTGGATAAAAAACAATTACCGTGGGCTTTATAGATTAGTTTTGCTCTTTAATCAAATAATACATAGATAATTGCTTGTTGAAAGTTAAATATTGTTGATTTACAGATTTTTGCTCATCTCAAATATTTTATAATACAATTAATATTTAAAAATTTAGTCCAAAAACATTTTTTTGTCCCCATTAATTATTTATTAATAATATATTAAATCAAATATATTTTATTATTAAAACTTTTCTCTCAATGTAGTAAGTGAATTTTAACTAATAGGCAAAGCCTCAATGAAACAAATCATAAATTTAGCTCTTAAAAAATTGTCGTGAAATTCTAAAATTCGCCATTTTTGATGTAGTGTTTTCAAAAATCCTACAATTTTATTACTTTGATAACATTTGTATGACTGGCATGGTTAATTGTGATTGTAAACTTTTACAAAATATACGCACTAGAATTTAAAATGCATCCTATTTTTAAACCCTTTTAAATAAATAAATAAGTATAAAATAGACTATCAACAATAATTAAAAATAAAACGAACTTTAGCTTATACTAAAGTCTATGCACTTTGCAGGTTAAATTTAGTTGGGATCTAAAGTATGTTTAGAAATATCCACTAGCAAATTATGTAGTGCATTGGTCATACATAAATTAGGATGTGATATTTTTGCGTGGGAAAGATATAAGTAATTAAAATATTACACAAAACTTAAAAAGGAAATAATTACTTATAATATATTGTTAAAAGTTACTAAGTGTTTTTTTTTATCTGAATTTAAAGGGCCACTTGAAGGTCTAGACTCCAAACCAATGAACCATTAGAGGCATCGTCCTGAAGCAATATTTTCAGTTGCACAGTACCCTAAAAGTTTATGTGGGACTTTTAACTTGTACGATTTAAGTAAAGTTCATTTTTTTTGTCTGAACTGCGGCAACGTTGCAAATTTAGGGGTTTGGTTGGTAAACATGGAACCAAACAAAGTTGGTTGCATTGATTAAAACAAACTATATAGTAATAAATGTTATTGTGGTTATGTTAAAATTCGTAGTTAAAAATGCAATTAATTTGTCTTTAAATAGCAAAATTTGATTTTAAGAATCTTCTAAGAAGATATGACCCGGAATAATGGAATATTCTAAGAACCTTCCCTTATTGCTAAGAATGTTCTTAGGGACTTTTAAAACATTCAATAGATACCCTTTTAATGATGCAATTAGATTCTTAAAAGCTTCTTAAAACCTTCCTAAAAAGCATCCTAAGAACATTTTAAGAATACGTTTTTGGAATGTTCTTAGAAGGTTTCTTATGGAGCTTCTGGGAAGCTTTTGAGAATATTTCCAAATATGTCAGATACCGTTCTAATATGTTGTATTCTACATTCGTAAAATTCTTCAGGAGGCGACAAATACGCCTCACTGTCATAATATGACAGTGAAATGTATTTGTCGTCCCCTTTTGACATATTAATATATATTTATTTAAAAATATTAAATAAACATAAACCATACGTTGTATGATATTATTTCATAAAAAGTAAAATTGGAAAATTTTGTGGGATAAGTCAGATTAGATTGAAGTTGAAGATAGTTAGAATTATTATACATAAAAATGTTAATTCGGATATAAAAAATCGGTATACAAATTAATAAATATTTATTTTTAACAAAAAATAAAATATAAAAAAACAAAATATTTCCTTAAAAAATAATTCTTCATAAAAGAAAAAACCATAAAAAACCATTTTTCATTGTATTTAAGTTGGATAGAAGATTTTATATAAAAGCCGGATAATTTAGATACCTATAGTAAAAGTATTTTTGTTATCGTTTGTTTAAATTTAATTTGACAAATAACTATAAAAAAATATTTTGGGTTGTGTTTTTTACTTAGTATTCAATACTAAGTATAGGTACCTTTATACGTAGATTATGGTATATTTTACTATTATATAGGTACCTAACTGAACTGAATATGCTTAACAGAATGTACCAGGAATATTCCTAAATGAACTTTCTATAGCAATTACTTTCTCAACATTCTAAGCATATGTTTAGAGTGGATTAATTTTTACCATTAAACTTTGCACCTTCTAAGAACCTGCCTATAGGCCAGTAAGAATATTCTTAGGATCATGCTATATGTCTTTTAAGCATGTTCTTTAGAAGAAATATAGCATGATCCTAAGAATATTCTCACTGGAAGATTTAAAAAACATTTTTAGAATAAAGTGTGCTATCAGGGTACTCTCTAAAAGTGAAACAGTGAAATTTTCGCTATTTCCGTCAGTGAGTTATTATTCACTGTAAAATTAGTGTTTTTCAATATAAATTAGTGAAATTTTAACTTCTCCAAATTAGTGTTTTTTATTATCACTACTTTCGACATAAAATAGTGAAATTTTAACTTTTTTGAACTAAACCTATTTCACTAATTTGTACAGTTTAATTTCCACTAAATAAATTAGTGCAAAGAAATCGCTACATGAAAAAGTGAGTATTCACTAATTGCTAGTGGTATACTTATCACTGCGGCAAATAGTTAATCAATCAATCAGTGAAAATCCACTGTTTCATTTTTAGAGAGTACTAATAAAAAACACGAGTCCAAATAAAAAAAAATGAACTGTAGTAAAAATCTGAAAACATTTATTCCATGATTTGAACAACTGTGCCGTCGGGACGCTCATTTTGAGCGTCAGATGCGCCGCGATGCCAAATTCTAAAATTACCAGGCGTCGAACGGGTGGGGGGGCGTAAGACGCGCACGTCACTGCCGATAGCGGAGTCTGGATTTTGCAGTTTTTTGTGCTACCGATTCGGTAACACTTCGGTTTACCAGTTTCCCCCGAAAAATTACGGTAATTAATCTGATCAGTTAATTGGTTAATTAAAAAAATCGTGGGTGATCGAAGCAGTGATTAAATTTTGTGATTAAGTTGATTTTTTGTTGGTTTTTGTAAAAGATATGGAGCACGTGGATCAAGCAAGAATTTTTTTTAGAAATTTAATTTGTCAAATTTAAAAATAGTCATAATTTATAGGCTGTTAAAATTTAATTTTGTAATCATTATATTCAAAGCCAATTTTATTAATAATTGCCACTTTAGACCGTTAATCAAAATTTATTAATAATAAATAGCAGCGCTAACTATTAACACCTCCTCTATACGTATTATTTATAGTCATCTCTAAAAATAATATTTTCACCAATTGAACTGAAAATAATTGTTTGTAGGATCAAATTTTCTGTTATTACAATTTAATCTATCATAACAACTGATTCTTAAAATAAACCCCATTTAAAATTTGGATACTTGAACCGTTACTTGTATTCAGGTCTTGTTTGTTTGTACATTTCTATTTGATGAATAAAAATTCTATTTTAATTTTTTCTGTACATATTTATAAATGACGCCAGTGCCGGCTGGCGAAATTTTTTCAGCTTCATTTCATACTATTGCATCACATTCATAGAATGTAGATAATAAATCGATGGTAAAAAAGCAGGTAGCAAAAACACTGGTTGAAATTTTTATGTTATGTAAAACTATATAATTACACTCACAGGCAAAATAATCGATCCACACAAATTTTCGATGAATTTCAATCGCAAATAACTTTTTTATTTGATGTCGGATTTAAACGAATGTTAAAGAATATTGTAGATAAATTAATGGACTATCGCTCACATTTTAAAAAATTACTAAAAAATAGACGTACGTTTATAATATAAAGGTTTAAACAAAAATATGTTTTTTACCATAAGTTTAAGACACTCTGTAGAGTGGCAAAACCGTATATTTTTCTAAATTAAGTTTTATTTATCAAGTCACATCTATTCTTAACAGTTTTGTTTTTGGTTCACCTCGATATATTTATTTTTGTGGAAAATAAAGATTTAAAAAAAAAAACATTGCAATTTCCAATATTTTTCCTGTATGAAGAACTAAGGTTGCTATGGTCCACCATAGCCTATGGAGGATGACAGTGACAGTTTTGTTGAATCATCCCATAGTTGGGCATGTCATATACAGCTTTCAAAAGCTATCAAATTGGTTTTTGCAAATTAATGTTTAAATTTTGAGGTGGCTTCTTACTTTAAAAAATGGATATGTCTCCGACTGATGTTGCCAGAGCCATTAATTTAATCCAGGATGGACGGTCACAGTATTACGTGGCAAGTGTTTTAAACGTCACAAGAAGTAAAGTACAAAGGGCAACATCAGTCGGAAACATTTTTAAAAGTAAGAAGACACCTCAAAAATAACACATTAATTTACAAAAAACAATTTGAAAAACCTTTTGAAAGCTGTATATGACGTGTCCAAGTATGGGATGATTCAACAAAACTGTCACTGTCATCCTCCATAGGCTATGGAAGGACCATTGCAACCTTAGTTTTTCATACAGGAAAAATATTGGAAATTGCAATGTTTCTTTAAAAAAATCCATATTTTCCACAAAAATAAATATATCAAGCTGAACCAAAAACAAAACTATTAAAAATAGATGTGATAATTAAAACTTAATTTAGAACAATATACGGTTTTGCCACTCTACAGAGTGTCTTAAACTTATGGTAAAAAATATCTTTTTGTTTAAACCTGTATATTATAAACGTACGTCTATTTTTTAGTAATTTTTTAAAATGTTCATTAATTTATCTACAATATTCTTTAACATTCGTTTAAATCCGATATCAAATAAAAAAGTTATTTGCGATTGAAATTCATCGAAAATTTGTGTGGATCGATTATTTTGCCTGTGAGTGTATGTTCTAATTGTGATTTTGATGAATTTTTATTACTCAACCGGTTATCATTTTTTTTAAATATCCAAATAAGACGTTTTCTGAATGAAAAAAAATTACAACAAAATGTCATCTTGTATAAAATTTAAGTTTTTTGGATTTTTTTTAAGTTGACTTTTCATTTAAGTCCCATCGTGGGTCACTGTTTTTTAATTTAATTTTTTTCTTTACTTAATTTTACTTGCTTTAATAATGATGACGATGCACATTATACGCAATAATTTTTAGTTTTGTAAAGTTTATTATTTTGTCCAAAAAAATATTTCGGAGGTGCAAGGGTAAAAAGTAATAGGTTTACTACTTTACGCCAGTAGTAGGCAACCAATGTTACAAGACTGAAATGCCTTCCATCTAGTCACCGAGCCTGGCTCGAAGCGCGTCTCCCGAAAGGGTAAAGATAAAAAAATTATTTAATAAAAACTTGAATATTTCAACTTATAAGCTGAAAAAAAAAGTATTATATTTTTCTATCAAATTAAAGTTAAAATAATATTATTTATATTAAAAGTTTATTAAAATATGGCCAGTTTTAATTAACTTTAGACCCTTATGTATAACTAAAATTTGTAATGGCGATGGAACATGTGATAAGAATAAATAAAGTGTTTTTTTTTTAAGTTTAATCATTAACGAACATTTTAAAATAAATTAATTAATTTAATTTTTACATTAACAAGATTTCAATCATTTAAACCCTTATTAAATCGCCGAAACTGAGCCAAATTTAATTAAAGTTTGTTCATGATCAAGATTAATATTACAAAAAGATAGTGTTTAAATTACATAATGATATGTTTATTAGTTTTTTTTAAATGAATTTTGACAACTTTTTGCTCCCAAAGGGCATTCAATTCTAAATCCGGCCCTGCTCGGCGTTGATTTAAAGGAAATAGCCGGCATTTTTATTTTCGTCAATGAAATTTGGACCGAGCAAAACCCAATAAATTCGGAAAACCACGAAACACTTTCACTCTCAATTATAAATACATACAAACGTGTAATTGTATTTTGCCGCTCGGGAAACTTAAACATAAAATCATTCAACTCGACCACTGTTTATAAATAGAAGTTTATTTTATTTTAAACAAAATTTATTTTACTTAATTTGAAACAGGCGTAACGGGCTGAATTTTTGGCTAAGCAAAGTGAATTATTTCTTAGTCACTTAGTCATAACAACCATCCATACACCCAATCATGTTTAATTTTTACTTTCAGAAAATATGCAACATAAAATAATGCTTATTTATGAAAAAATAAGCCGATAAACTCTGGCAAAATTAAATATGTATTCGCAAACTCTTAAAATACGACGACTAAAAATATATTTAGTCAGTGGGTCAGAGAGCCAAACATACGCCAATGATATAAATCAGAAGAAAATAGACATGATACATATTAAACATGTTTGGAATGCCAAATTGTCTCAGTGTCTTTTAATTTTACACATTATTAACTCAAAACGTACAGATTTATACGCCTTCATATATTTAAAAACCTACACAAGGAGTATGAACTGTATGTATACATACGGTAAAGAAATATCGCTAGTAGCGCCACCACTCGGCCGTTATCATCGTAACAAAAATTCAACTTTTAATAATCAGATGTCAAATGTTACAATAATCAGTGGAAATCCGAATGAAGAAATAAATTGCATACAACATTTCAATTCAGTAAAAAGCATAAAACAAATAAGTCGTCTTAATTCAAACAGCATTATGCATTATTAAAAGCCTTGACTGAGAGAAGAAGTCTCCATTCAACGGTAAAACACCCAAAACGGATATTATAATATATATATAATGTTGCCATGAATTCGTAGGTATATTTTGTCGATTACTATTTTATAATGCATTTGTCGGCGGTTTCTTAGAGGACCCAAATATAAAAATGTTTCATTTTAAGGTTATGTTTGTACTACTATTATTTTTAGTTAGATTTCTTAAAAATGTCCAAACTTAAATATAAATTCCTTTGGCAAAACATGATAATGCAACGATTTAGTTTTTGAATTTTATTTACAATTAAAAACACAATAATTCACCATGACCACTTAGATAAAATACACACACTAACGTAACTATATAAGCACATTAGCATTGAGATTCTTAATCATTGATATAAGGAATAACAAATCGAAATCGAGTACTAAGTTTTAGCTGTGCAATTGAAACTTTTCGAACAAAATTTGTGGAGTAAGACTTCTGCCTTCCTCTTTTGTGAAAAAACTACCGTTGTTATAGCTTCAAAATATTTAAATAACAAACAAAAAACCAAATTTTAAACTGCCTTTTTAAAATTATAGTTAAAATTATGGAGAAACTAGTAGGTACTTATTAGCATATTTTTAGATGCAATAAATTTAACAAAAGATTTCTATGAAATCATTTGTTAATAATAGCCTTTCCTTTATTTTTATAAATAATAAAAGTTTATTTTCTGATATGCTGCCAAACTCTGATAAAACAGTTCTTTAAGAAACATTAATCATTATTTCCCCATAAATAACAAAAAAATATGTATATTTCTTATTTTGTTTAAATGAACAATTTAAAAACATATTACAATTCCACGTTCCTTATTTTTTACAAAAGCCAACAAAAAACACAAAATTACAAGAAACATAATTTCCAGATCTAATGACATCTTCACCTCTCTCCATAAACTAATCACCCCCGATGTCAAACGGCCCCCCGGGTCGTGGAGGGGGCTGGTCCCCCCTCCACTTCCGTTCGCCGTCGCCGTACGCCCCCTCCCCGCCCCCCCGGCTGGGCAGCCCTGGCGCGAACGTGCTAGGCAACCGGTTGCCGCACATGCCCGCCCCCAGGCCCCGCTGGCCCGCCGCCATGTCGCCGGGGCCCCACCACGGGGCCGCCACACCGCCCCCCGGCCCCCGACCCTTCAGAATGCCCATGCATCCGGTAAGTACCAAGTTTTGAGTTATCAAATATAGGTACAGTACCATCAAATACCCAGATAGCACAGAGACATCTTAAAGACATCTTTCAGCCCAGACAGCACATATATCCATTGGACGTCCAGCGGACGACCATTGTACATCCAAACGTCCAATGTAAGTCCATTTGACGTCCAATGGACATCTTGTGCTGTATGGGAGACGTCTTTTTTTAGATCTTCAGGCGTTCATAATACAGGCATACAACAGACATCTTCAAGACTTTGTGTGCTATCTGGGTATAGCTATAGCTGACGAGCTGACGACAATTTATAAATGCGTTTAAAACAAGTCAAGAGGAATTAAATCGTGGCCAATTTCTGCCAGAATCAACAACAACATCTATGTAGATTTGGTCGCAAAATGTAATTTAATAAAGTATAAAAATATAATTTGTGCTAGTAAACATAATGTGTACAAAAAACAAAAATGGTTACAGTAAAAATAGAATCGTTATAAGTAAATATGACGCCAACCATTTGGTTAAGGATGATTCAATATTTCTGCCTTTCGAAAATAATTTTCTTTTATGTATATTTCTGATAATGCTTCTCTTTTTCCTTGGATTAGTCGAATCTGTAAATCACAAAATTGTTTATATTTCTGTAAGCTCAGTACTACTTACCTGAAGGAGCTTGTAAGTCCATTAGGATGGCCTTCATGGTAATTGGAACATCGTACAACTCTGTGCATTGGGACAGTTTATCTGTGTTTGGTCCTGGGAAAAATGCATCTTAAAACAGTTCAAATATTTATATGGAGTACCTTTCGCCAAAACTGGAATAGACGGTCCCTCATCATTTTCACCAACACCTTCACCCATTTTAACGACCTGACCATCATTATTCATTTCATTATCACCACTTTTCTTCTGGTTACACGTTACGTCATCTTCCTGATTAGGGCACATCCCTGTAACTACAATCATGGTGTTGTTACACATCTCGTTCTCGATCACGTGTTTGATGCTTTGAACCAGTTGGCTTTCTTTATTGGATAAATCGACCAATTCACCACCCAAAATGATCATCAAATATGGATTTTCCTTATTCTGGAGTTTGGTTAAAGTGGATTTCACTACTTGAAAGAAGGACGTGTCTCTGACTTGCCCTAGAGTGTTTAAAGTCGCTGGGTCCTCGGTCGTGCTGGAAACGTCTTAAAAAAAAATAGATTTGTTTTTAGTGTTAAAATTACCATTCCCAAATATTCTTCCGAAAAACGATAACTTGGTGTCGGTGATGATATCCATGATGCCCCAGAACGGCTTGCTGTCGTTGTCCTTCGGCTTGGGGATGCCTTGTATCTCATCTGTTTTATTTTCTTGGCACTCTTCTGCGTTCTGTCTTTTCGGCCTTACGTTAAAAACATCTCTTTGCTCATTGTCCACGATGATTCCGTTGTAGATGTCGCTTCTGGAGAATCTGTTCGGCCAATAGGCCGGCACGGTCCTGAAACCTCCGTTGTGGTATTCAGACAACCTGTGGACAGGTGGAGGCAGATTTTGGTTTTGTTTCGGCACCCCCAACATGTCGTTGTCTTGCTCTCTTTGCATCTCCGGCATTTCGTCGCTTTTCGCTTTGATTTCGTTATAAAGGGAGTCGTTTGTTACTGAGGCGATGGCTAAATTATTGCCAATGCAAATAAAATTGTGTTGTACAATGTAAATGATAAGCTATACCTGTGGTCATACCCAAACCGACTCTACAAAAGTTAATAAGAGACAGCATGCTTAGTTTGAGTAGTTCTTGGCAGGTTTTTGGGTTTCTTTTCCTGAAATGTGGGAATCTGTAACTGCGTGGTTTTGGATCTGATATCTAGAAATAACTTTTGATAAATTAATCTGCAATTTATTGTGTGAATACTTTGATTAGGGTTTTTTCTTCTAGATTCAAGCATTGTAAAATTCCATCGTCTTTTTTGTAAGTTGAGGAAGAATGCATCATAAATAAAAGAACATTTCCCTTATTATTAGTATTGGTGGCGTTGTTTTCTTCATCTTTAGTCTCTCTTGTAGGGTATCCTAAGGATTTATGAATTATATTTTAACAAAAACTATTTAAAGAAAACCTTACTAAACTTGTCTTCTCTAAGACCATTCAAAAATTGCTCTAAAACGTTAAGACATATGTATACTTTTGATTACATTATAAAATAAGTAGGTAATACCTTCAGGTAAATTGTTATGCGTATAAACCGTTGATATAAAAATACAGAAATATATCAAACGCATTGTAAACTTTGATATATTGACATTATTATGTCAAAAAGTACCATACAAGGTAAACAAATATTATTTAAAAAATGATTTATTCTTATAGTGTAGACTGAATTTATGTAAGGGCCCTAGAAGACTTCTTTTACAAGTACATTTTGCTTTAAGATGACCATCTTACCCTTTCGTTTTATGACTTTGTTTTTCAAGCTTAAAATAGTTTCATATCTATATATATATATATACATAAATTTGTTTCTCATTTCAGCCCTCACCAGCACCCAACCGCGGGTCCCCTGACGTTTATTTCCGCGGCATTCACCCTTACACATCGTACTCCCCTGTTCCGGAATTCGGCCCCCCCAGTCGCGATTACGAATACGTCGGTGCGCCCTTGGAAACGCCGCCACTGCCCCAAAATTACGCGCCGGACGATGATGAGGATGCAGGACCTTCGACTGCTGAAATCATCGCCAACCAATCGCAAGATTACGTCGACGAAAAATTATTGGAGTACCAAATGACAATATATCAACTACAAGGTAAGTTTTTATTAAATATAATATAATATAGTACAGTATAATACAGGAAATAAATATGGGTAATAGCTATAATAAATAATAGTTTAAACTTTGTGTTCACTAAATGTTATTATTTGTATCTTCTTTACAAACATTTGTATCCAACATAATATCACTGTCTTCTTTGACCTCATTTGTTATCTTTTGTTCTGCGGCTTTATCTTTTCCTTCCTCCTTTGCAATAATTGAGTTGAGTTCATCAAGAACATCATCGGAAAAACTTTTACCCTCAACTTCATTATCGTCTATGGAGTTCTCGATCTTCTTCACTAGGTTAAATTCAGTACTAAACTTGGTAAGCCCTTCATTGTTGATTTGCAATGACGGTGTGTGACCTAAATTTGGCAACTCAGCGCTTACGTCAACTAAATTTAATACCACATCGTCGTAGTCGATTTTTTTGCTGAGGATTTCCTCGATTTCCTCCTGAAATTTTGCGGCTTCATCCACGGGTATTTTGTTTAAAGCCTCTTTGATCCAAGGTTGATTAAACTCTGTGTTGAGTTTCTCCAAAAACTTCTTGATATTTTTTAAAGTATGCTTGGTGTAAATTTTGATGTTCTCCACATTTGACTCGCAGAGGTGCAAGATGGAGTCAAGGAAATCCCTGTGTATCAACAAGAGAATGCCTTCAAGGTATTGGCAGTCATTTTCATCGATGGCATAAAAGTTACCCGAATAATTTTCTTTAAGAGTTGTGAAGGTACCTTCAGCGTAGAGTTGCATATCGCATCCAAGCAAATATTTCGGTACTTCCAACGTTAGGGCTTTCTGTAAATGATCTTCCTCTAACTTAACCTTGATTTTGTTGAAGAGCTTTGAAATTTTATAGAGGCTTTTCAACACTGCAGGGCTTTCAATTTTTTCCTTGTACTCGTTCAGGTATTTTTCAATGCTACGCTGTAATGTAGGATGTATTAATTCATTTATGCAATACAACGGTAGGTAGTTGAATCGATATCTTGTATCGGTGGTGAACATCATGAAATTTGGCACAATTTTCTCCGAAACCCATTTAATACCATACGTTTTGGACAAAATTGGCAGTAACAAAGGCGTGGTTCTTCTTACAGCGAATATTTTGTCGTTTATTAGAGTCGACAAAAACAACTTTAGGTTTTCGTCGAATTCTTCTTTGGTCATAAACTTTGTAAAATACGTTAACACCAGAAGGATGTTTAACCTGCACCTCCAGTGTAAGTTAGACTTCCCGAATAAATTTAGAATTATTTCTTTAATGGATCCAGATAGTAAACTAACATCAACAGTTTGAGGAATTTTGTTCAGGTTCAGCAGAATGTTTTCTTGGACGGTCATCTTGTCTTCCGCCAACATCCAGTCCACTATGTTCGGAAGAATACTGTTCTGGAAGGTGTCTTTGGATAAAATACCACCAAACGATATAATAATCTCCGACAAAGCCACTCTGATGTCGGAAGAAGGGCTACCAATCAACTCTATGACAACACGAACGATTTCGTCTTGAAAGCACTTATCGAAATCTTTGTCGCAACGTTCGCAATGCTGTTTGGCGGTTTGATAGAACAAAAATAAGTTTTCCACCGCTGCTACCTGCACTTCCAACTCTGAGTGTGCCAGGAGCGAAAACATGATGTTTTGGGTGTAGTTTAAATGATCTTCACCTTCCGAAGAGTTCAGGAGATGTGGTATTTTAAGAGACATCATGTGGTGGATCTTCCATGAAGCATCATCTGAAAATATATAGTGATTTATAGTTTTGCGGTTACCAACCTTTGTATAATGTTATAATACCTTTAATAGTTTCTAATACTGGTTGTATGTACTTTAAGTATTCTTCTTTGTTTAATTTGTTTCCGATTGCTATGCATAGTGGTATTGTGTAGATTCTAACTGTGTCCTAAAAATAATTTTTACCTAATTTGTATGTTATTTTGTTTTATGAATTACCATATCGTCTACTGATACAACATTAAGGCATTCAATTAAATCTCTTAAAATTATATTTGGTTTTTCTTTATTTATCACTTCTTCTATACTTTCAACAGAAGATTTTCTTATAATTGGTGAATCATCGGTGAGGCCTGTTTTTAGAATCTCCCTTAGTACCAACCGGCTGTCTTCATCAAAATTTAGATATGTATTCTGGAAAAAATCAATGTAAATACTACAGTAAGCTAAATGAAGATGTGGTGTACTGCAATGAGTTCAAAGGCAGTTCTTTTGCTGAAAGCCCATTCCTTATTCGTAAGCTCCAACAACAAGGGTAAAAAGACTTCCTTATTCATATCGATGGTGTATTCTTTGGTGATTTCCTTTATGGCGTCAATCAGGGCAATCCTGACGAGTTTTTCGTCGTTGCTCGTCAAATTCCAGAGGATTTTCACCAGGAAAATGGTGTGATCCAAACCACCAACGTGCCCAGCTAGATTTTTGATCTGCTCCGCCAAACAAATCATGACCTCCTCGTCGGTGGTGGTTCTGGATATTTCCTCCAGCGCTGGTAGCAGGTCTTGCCTGGTTATGTGCTCCCCCAAGGTCACAGCAACGTTTGTCGTGCTCTTCAGAGCCTTCATTTGGATCTAAAACGCACACCTGTTGTTTCGCAGATAAGATAAGGCGTGAAATGTGTGGCTTACCGTTGATTCTACGTCCCGAATTTCCTCCAAATAAAAATCCCGTATCGACTCCTTCTCTTTGTGTTCCATGGTGTTCAAATTCCGTTTTTGCTTAACATTAAAATGCGCTCAACTTTTTAATGATACTACCAAGTTTTGAGTGAGTTTACTCTTATCTACGTAATTATTATAAATGATAACGATTTTGTTTATATACGCGCCTAATCAAGTTTTATTGTACTTACGTTGTTTTTTAGTACATAGTGTGTTTAGCGGTCAAGCGCTAAACTGCTTTTAAATGCATTGTTTCTTTTGTTGTTTGACACGATTTTTTAATTTTGATAAGTAAATATTTAAATAAGTTGCGTTGTGTACGCACAGTTCTAGAATTTCTAGAAGAGGAGCAAAAATATTGGAACAATTAGGCCTGTGAATTTAAGGTTTTGGACTTTTGAAATAACCTAAATTTACCTATACCTAGGTAAATTAAGGTTATTTCAAAAGATTAAATTTACTATAAATAAACCATTATATATATATGTATATATTAGGGTGTTTTATTTAAAACGAACATTTTTTTTTCTTACTGACACATGAAAATTTTGTTTTTTAGGTTGAAAAAAAAATTCCCTGAAAATTTGAGACCTTAATTTTGATTCTAAGTACTTCCTTTTTAATTTTGCAGTTTTTCCATATAAAAAGAATGTATTTTTAATCATTTTTACTTTAAATTTCTATATTTTGGCCGGGTTTTGAATTATAATTTTTATCACCATAATTTCCTGTATAGTATTCACGGTTTTTAAAAGGCCCTGCATCATTTTTGTTTTTGATTTATTTACGTTGATTGTAGTAGCTCCAAAAGTCGTTTTTTCATTTTTTTTCATATATTTTTGAGAAAATCAAGCGAATGACTGGTTTTACCAAAAAAGTTCAAATAAAAAAGTTGTAGAAAATTTAATTTTTGACAAAAAAGTTTCTCACGTTCATATCTCTAAAGTGCTTTGTTTAAGAGATATAAGCAATATATAGTTGTTGAATCAAATTACATATACGAGTACATATAAATTTATATAAATTTCAATAAAACCTATTTTTGCTTATATCTCTTAAACAAAGCACTTTAGTGATATGAACGTAAGAACCTTTTTTGTCAAAAATTAAATTCCCTACCACTTTTTCATTTGAACTTTTTTTCGGTAAACCAGTCATTCGCTCGATTTTCTCAAAAATATGTGAGAAAAAGTGAAAAAAACGACTTTTGGAGCTACTACAATCAACGTAAATAAATCAAAAACAAAATTGATGCAGGGCCTTTTAAAAACCGTGAATACTATACAGGAAATTATGGTGATAAAAATTATAATTCAAAACCCAGCCAAAATATAGAAATTTAAAGTAAAAATGATTAAAAATACATGCTTTTTATATGGAAAAACTACAAAATTAAAAAGGAAGTACTTAGAATCAAAATTAAGGGCTAAAATTTTCAGGGAATTTTTTTTTCAACCTAAAAAACAAAATTTTCATGTGTCAGTAAGAAAAAAAAATGTTCGTTTTAAATGAAACACCCTAATATATATATGAGTATTAATATTTAGGGGCGACATTTTATTTTAAGGAGCTGTAAGTCCTATTTAAAGATATCCATAACCATATTTGGTAAATTATGATTATGTACAGTTAAAATAAACTTAAACTGGTTAAATTAACCAGGTTAATTATAGTTTAAGTTGACTTAAGAGTTAAAAAGTATTCAAAAAGGGTAAAATAAACCAAAAACTACCAAAAGGTACATTAACCAAGAAGTTAAATTTAACTAACATAACGATAATTTTACCACAATTGAATTCTCTACTTATTACAAAATGTACAATATTACTTAACTGAATTAACCAGACATAACGTAAATTTAACGTTAATTCAACCAGTTGTTATATTGTTACAAACCTTTTTTTCTTAGATTGTATATTTATCTCTTTATATTATTTGATATTTGGTATCTCATAAAGCAAATAATAGATAAAGACAAAGTAAGTGACGTCAGCTATCGTGTGGAAAATTAGTTCTATTTCGGTAAGTACGGCTCGCGTGACTTTAGCCACGGTATTGGATTTTCGAAAGTAAATTTCGTAGACATCAATAACTGACATTGTTAAAGTTACTATGTACCTTTTTGGGCTTTTTAAATAAAAAATTAAAAACAACAAAAATACTGATATTGGATTCTGAAGTTTTTAAATATTTTGAATATCAAGGAATTTTTTTAAATCATCAAACAGGATGATAATGATATTTTCTTTAATAAACATTTTATGTATTTTGTATTTTTCGTGGTTTATATTAAATAATAATAATCCCGGCGCATTCGCCATTTTTTAAAATAACACAATTTCGATGTTTTATCTAAAATATTAATAATTTGACATTTGACGTTTTAAAAATATAAGGTTAATAGTGCAATATGGACCAGGCGAAGAAAGCACATATTATCGCCATACATTTATACTATTTTTCTTTCAAGCATTTTAATTAATAATTTATTCAGATTCTGTCACATCGTTTTTATGATAGGTTCAACTGACATGATTTCTGTACGGAGTTTTCATACCAAAAATAACTTGTGGCGTTTATCAAAGTTTTTTCCAAGTATTTAAAAAAAATTAAACTCTCTTAAAATGAATTAGTCAAAAATGACTAATTTAATAGTTATTAGTGGCTGCTTTCACTTGTTTCATGGTTAAGCATGGAATACCATGGTATCCCAAAATTTAACGGCCAATTCTTATGTAAAATTGTCCCCTGAATTCGAAAATACCGTAAAAAATTATGAAAGTGGAGAAGTTTTTTAGATATAGTCAATTCCATATTAAATGGAAAATTGACTATATCTCAAAAACTGTTCTACTTTTTTAACTTTTGACGACATTTGAGATACCATGGTATACCATATGGTTATTTTTGACTAATTCATTTTTAGAGAGTATCTAATCATTTAATTGTACCTATAAAATATAATTATAGTTGTAAACCTATCCATAAAATATAAATATATTTATAATAAATTATAATAATTCAATAAACTTTGTAGTCGCAATAACACAGTATTGAACGTTTAACCTGTAAAAACATAAACAAAGTAAATATCTAGGTATATGAATTTTAATAAAAACAAAATTTAGAATTTTATTTGCAGACTTAGGTGCGTCACTGTCTATCAAAAGTGATCAAGTAGACTGCCCATTGTTTGTACGCAATCCAGAGACCCATGGCTAACCGAATTTTTGTGTGTCAAGGTCAAGCTACGCACTCTAGGCGTTTCGGTTTTAATGGATCTGGCAACACTGTGGGTACACCATAGAATTTCAACACATACTTTTTTTTAATAAAACCTATATTTTTATTTTTATCACTAAAATTTGCAATTTTTTGTCTACTTTAAATATATAAAAATTTTATTAAATTTTTTAGTTGTAGAATTTAATATGCAAATTGTGTTCATTACATAACAGAAAATTTTGTAATTTAAAGGGGGACTATTTGCCGAAAAGATATCAAAAATGTCGTTTAAAAAATAAAACTAATTATAGGGGTCAAAGTTAAAGCCAAAAATAATCTTTTAAAGTTATAAATACAATTGTTATTATTTTTCTTAATTATTGCACAATTTCATTTACATGTTGACATAAGCTGTGGGAAACATAAACACAATAAAATGATATCATTTTGTATTTTTAACCATTTTGTAACATTTTACAATGTTTTTAAATTAGGCATTTAATTAATGATTTTACTGACTGAAATATTGATTGGAAAATCATAATTGGGGTTCTGATGTCATTTAAACAAAAATCAATACAACTACGTTTAATAGTGTACCTATACAAAAATATAAATGTTTTTTTATACATTTTACAAGTTACAATAATTGTATATTATTATACGAGAGATAATGGGCATAATCTCGAGTATAATACTATACTTTATATACTCCAATAAGTAGATATAAATAATTAAATAATTTTCAAAAATAAATAAATAAAATCTACCTTTAATACAAACGAAAATTAATTATCGAATAATCCATAGACTATGTTTGTTAATGGGTGTGCCAATTATTCTAATAAATTTATTAGATTTTAAAGAATATATTATTTGATAATTTATGAAGTGGCAGTTGCAAAATGTATTAAATAACGTATTGGCTAACAGTCAACTGGTTTGTAGGTTATATTTTTAGAAATATAACACACTTTCGATTGGTTTAGATAAAAAATTATCCTAATTGTATACCATTTTTCTCTGATAGCAATTAATAACTATTTTGAAATTTTTTGCTTTATAAAAATATTCGGTCAATTTTATAATCCACTCACGATTTTTTTTAATAAATATAACAAAAAAAGTAGTTTGTCTTAATAAAGTAAAGATACCTCTATACGTCCAACAATTGCTTTTGTTACGGCAAAAAGATCATTTTTATAAAAAATATTTATCTACAAACGCTGCTTTCAGTAATAGCATTTGCATTAATTATAAAGTAAATTTACGTTATGTTTATAAAAATAACACTCTTTCAGATGCAGAAACGCATTGATAAATATAGTTATTATCATTTGTCCAAAAAAACAGTTCTATACCGTTTACAAAAACGTTTTGTAAAATCCTTATGGTATTTATTATTTATAGAAATTTTGTAAATTTTATAATATTAATAAAATTTATGTAAATTTAACAACAAATTAATTGTTAATTCAATAAACCATTTTCATTGTAACAATGGTCACATTTTCAACCTACTGTTGGGTATTGGGTCGTTTTTTTTAATAAAGGCATTAAAACAAATTATTTATTACAACAAAACAAATTAACTCATTATATGATGTACAAAAAAAAAATATGAACTCACTTTTTAAACAACAAGTCTACTTCGTTTACTGAATAGACCTTAAATGTTTCTTTTAGAAAAAGTCGAAATTTTAATTTTATTGGTGATCTTTTTGATATTTTTATCATGCTAAATTTTACCACACTTCACTCGCACAAGTGAAATCAATAAGATTATAACACAGACTTTGGATTATAAAGTTATGTTCACCAAGGAGAGCGCTGGCCCTTTCCCCCTCTTTTTAAGGGAAATAACAAAAATTTTGTTACCATTGCAGAACAATAGTAAATATTAAAAAAGTCTTTTTATAGCAATAAAATATTTTTGTTATTGTTCTTAACGTAAGCTATTAACAACGATTTTCTAACTGAAATAAAATTGACTAATTACTGAATTACAACGATAGTAATTTAAAAAAGACTAATATGGCATAGTAAAATGAACAAATTTTACTATAACAATTGCCCATTACTTTATGTAAGCGTAATTCACACACAACTATAGATTTAACAAAAGTAAAGTAAATGAGAATTTTATTAACAGTAAAAAAAGTTTATTCTGTAAATAAAAATATTATTATTTTAATAATCTCTTACAAAATTTGTTTCATTATTAGTGCATGTACATTTTTCTGGGTGTGCAATCTTATACAGTACTTATATTCGTCTACACGTAACAACATTAATTTAAGCGATTCAAATTACTTAACAAATTTAGCAACCTTGGCGCGCCTCAGGCAGGTGGTTTCCCGCGTTAATAATTTTTTATAATTCGTAAAAGTGAACCATCACTTGAATTTTAGACAAAATAATTTAACGGACCGGTAAACGTTAAGCCCACGCCGTAATTACCTTTTTTCGCAACAAGTGGGTAGTCTGTAATGTTTACGTTTACGAAAAATATTAGTTCTGAAGAGCATTTAGCATAAATTAAGTTGAAAAAAATAAACCTAAAACTAATTAAGTTGGTTCAGGTATGCGGTCATCCGAGCTAAAAATAAAACGAAGAAGGCCTTGGCATCCAATTAGGTACTGCGCGAAAATTTATAAAATATAATTGAAACCGCACAAAATAAACAACTGAAACCGACACAAACATATTGAATACATTTTATTTAGTATTAACCAGTTAAATTATAAATTTTAAATCCTATTGAAATAAATCGCATAAATATTAGTATGATATTTAAAAAATGTCAATTTACTTAAAACTAACCCGTGACTAAATAACTTTTTTATTTGATTTCGGATTTAAACGAATATTAAAGAATATTGTGGATAAATTAATGGACATTCGCTCACATTTTAAAAAATTACTAAAAAATAGACGTTCGTTTATAATATACAGGTTTAAACAAAAAGATGTTTTTTACCATGAGTTTAAGACACTCTGTAGAGTGGCAAAACCTTATATTGTTCTAAATTAAGTTTTATTTATCAAGTAACATCTATTCATAACAGTTTTGTTTTTGGTTCACCTCGATATATTTATTTTTGTGGAAAATATGGATTTTTTTAAAAAACATTGCAATTTCCAATATTTTTCTGTATGAAGAACTAAGGTTGCTATGGTCCATCCATTGGCTATGGAGAATGACAGTGACAGTTTTGTTGAATCATCCCATACTTGGACATTTCATACACGGCTTTCAAAAGCTATCAAATTGTTTTTTGCAAATTAAAGTTTAAATTTTAAGGTGTCTTCTTACTTTAAAAAATGGATACGTCTCCGACTGATGTTGCCAAAGCCATTAATTTAATCCAGGATGGACGGTCACAGTATTACTTGGCAAGTGTTTTAAACGTCACAAGAAGTAAAGTACAAAGAGCAACATCAGTCGGAGACATTTTTAAAAGTAAGAAGACACCTTAAAATTAACACAATAATTTACAAAAAACAATTTGATAGCTTTTGAAAGCTATGGGATGATTCAACAAAACTGCCACTGTCATCCTCCATATATTGTAAATTGCAATGTTTTTTAAAAAAATCCTACACATACGTAAAAATGTCAATTGAAGCTAAAGTATAACTGGCATTCTTAAGCTAGAACAATCTTTTAAATTCAGGGTGAGTTTTAAGTTGACGCGTTCCTTTTAACAGCGTGTAGAAATCAGATAAACAAATAAATATTTTAAGTAACTTTTTTGTCAAAACTCAAAAATAATAGGCCTTCCAAGTTTAATTAAATTTTGAGCCGGTCCTGGCTATTGTTAACAAAAAACATAACCATAAAAATAAAATAATAAAATAAACAATGCAAAATGTCGTCTATGACAACAAACATAACCATTTAAATCAAAATGACATTTAGCAATGAAAAATGTCAGCAATAATGAATTAGTGGAAATGTTACTAATTTATGGAGAGTGTCGTCAAAATGCAAATGCTGCAACTTAAGTAAATAATGACATTTTATATTGCAAAATGTCAATTTGATTTAAATGGTGATGTTTGTTGTCAAATATGACATTTTGCATTGTTTATTTTGATATTTTTATGGTTATGTTTTTCGTTAACAATAGCCAGGACCGGCTTAAAATTTAATTAAACTTTGGCGGGCTATAACTTTTTTATTTTTGAGTTTTGATAAAAATATTTATTTGTCTAGCTGATTTCTACACACTGTTAAAAGGAACGCGTCAACTTAAAACTCACCCTGTATAGTCCTTTAAAATGCAGAACATTTTGGGTCCTGTAGACGCCTTAGGGAATGTTTACAAAATATTAATAATTTACAAAAGTAACCTGGATTAATTAAATAATAAAACCTTGTAGCGTATTGACTTAGATCTCGAAATCTTATCGCCTTCGGCTAGCACCAAATGGAAGTGTAATAAAAAACATAAACAACAACAACAATTGAACAATGAATTTTGGCGGTCACGTAACCTATTGCATAACGAACCGGCCGATTGCACCCGATGTAATCCGATCCTTTCGTGCTTTCGCTCTTCGCCATCCAGTTCGCGCATTTGCTATCAGTTCGATACCGCGAGCGCGACACCCAACGCGGAACGAAAATTTTACGTGCGATTCGAAAAAAATGTCCTGCAACGAATGAGTGCACCGGGGGACGACCCTGGGGGCGGGGAGCGGCCCCACAGCCCCTCGACGCCGACGAGGCGAAAGCTGAAGGACCGGGTGAACTTTTACGAGCAAGTTTGGGCCGGCAGCCCGCCGGCGGATTCAGCCGGCCCGTCCAGGATTATCAACGTGGACGAGTTCGAGAAAAAATTGTCGGAAGAGCGAAGAAAACTCAGCACTTTTGAGCTGGAGCACGTCGCCTTAAGACACACACCCACCGGTTCACCGAAACACATGGTCCAACGCTTGCAAGAAGTCAAACCTGATGGCACATTCGAGGCATGTCAGAGAAATTAGCATAGATCATTACTTAGATCCAGTTGAACAGGGTGCACCATTCTTATTGTAGTTTTTCCTAAATATCTTACTTCCTGTCGGTCAAAGGTCAAAGTTCATCTAGTGAAAATGTGGATCCTTCAATTCTCCACAAAAAAGCTTATATACAATTTTTACCCACAATGAACCGTTTAGGAAATATCAGGCTTCTAAATCTGAATCAAATATTTGTGAAAAAACTATTAAAGAATAATTCACCCAAAAAAATATCTTCGTAAATGCTAATTTTTCCGCCCAAGGATTCTCTGATAAAATCTTAATAATATTTACCTTACCTAAAATCTTAAATCTTCTTCAAACATTGATGTCATCACCAATTAACCTTTACATTCGTATTTTTTTAACATTCCTATGAATATTCAATTCAAAAACGTATTATCATTCTTTAATATTTCCAACTGGGTTACTCGGTCCCTAAATACGCAGCTGACTATTGAAAAAGGACGAATTATTCCAGAATCAATGCGCTAGTAAGGGACAAAATCCTTCCCCCTTTCTGTGACCTGTTTGCAGTGGTGTACATACACGCACAATATGGTAATTTAATGTGAAAGATTTACGTTTGTATTTACAGGTGTAAGACTATCCTAAAATATAAATACGAAAATCAGAGAATTCTTGGTGCTCATTTGAATTTAGGCTATATCGGACCACTGATTTAGATTTTGTTATTTTGGTTGATTATGTACACATTTAAAACAATTCTGGAAATTTGCGACTTAATGATATCTATAGAATCAAAACATCGCATCTAGTGCGCTGTGGCTCAAGGCCAGGCTCTAATTGGTTTATTGATTTCTATAGAGATCATTGTCTATAGAAATTGAACTTTCAAAACCTGAAATCTGAATCTTTGATCCGACATCGCATCCTAAACTCAACGACCAAAACCTTGTAGGAGACAATTACGAAAACAACTCAGGAAGGAGACCTGGCCTCTGGCGTGAAAACCGTCAAGTTCGAGACGGTAACGGTGCGGAAAACGGTTCGACAAATGACGTCTAGTTCGAGTGCCACCTCGATCAAAAAGCTCACCAGCAGAACTCCCTCTGAGGAGGGTTGCCTGGACTCAGCCTATCTGACTCAGTCCTTGGCGTCCAGTTTGACCTCTTCGGAGGAGATCCTTGGACCTGGCAAGGACTCTGACCAAAGCAGCTGCGGAAGCAGCAAAGTGACTAGTTCAGGTGCCGAGTGGTACAACGAGTACAGGACTCAAAGTTTCCAACCGACCCCGATATCGACTGATAAGATTCAGTACGTTAGGAGCAAGTCTGTGTTTGAAAAGCACATCGACGAAATTAAAGGTAAACACCTTGCATTTGCCAAAAAGTTCTATGTATACATATAACCTATAGGTTAAGCCACAAAATGTTATGTTCCTGTTTTAATTGGTGAAATCCGGCATAATTATAAGAATTATGAATTAAATGGATGGCCAATTTAGGTTACATTAGAGAGAGAGTAGTGTAGTAACATTGTCAAAGGTCAGGTTGAGGTCTGATGTTTATTTTTAACGTTGTAAATATGTAATGGGTTGATTACCTTCAAACTCTTATGAATTAACTATCCTACTTACCTACTATAGCACAGACATACATAGGTACTACACATATAATATTTATATACAGGGTGGAGATCTGACACAATTAGACTTCTTCTACCAATTCTGATCAAGTCAATCCCTAACAGCTACTACATATTGAGGTGCTGCCCCATCTTGTTGAAAATGTAATATATTTTCTTCCAAAGCTACCTTCATCATCCTTTCCTTTTTGATTCTCTAGTTCAATTATTATTAGTGGCTGTATTGTTTCATCTAACATTTCAAAATAAATTTGACCATTTAAATTTTGGTCAATAATACAATCTCTCAAAATTCCTGCCCAGACATTAAGTTTTTCAGGATACTGGGTATGATAATCTCTAATGAGATGAGGATTTTCATGGCTCCAATCCCTACAATTTTGTTTGTTGACATTTCCATGTTTTTTAGTATTTGGATCTTATTTGTTATTTCATTGGTCATGATTTCATAAATGTTATATCATCCAAATTATAAAACCTAAATTTCTTAATTTGGTTACAGAAATATTTATATCACTCTTATATACCCCTTAAAGAGCTTATTTGGGGAGTTTATGAAGGTTATCGGTACCTATTTTAGTAACACTATAAAACGCAAGTTTTATAACTAGAGATAACAGGAATATTATAAAAACCACTATATATCTTCCTAAAGAACTGTTACCGGCTTTTTTCCTTCTTTTAATATTTCTCTTTCCCTCAGGCACATTTAAAATATATATTTCTTCATGTGCAATTTTTATTTAAAAAAATTAAAGACGCAATAGTTTTATAAAACAGGTAACCGCAAACTTTATAAAATCCCTTAACGGTTACTAAAGGTTATATAAAATGCTTGTAGGAACAATTATATAACCTAATTATATACCTAGATTTTACAGTAACCCTATATGACCATTATAAAAGGGGTTCGTGGGTTCGAATCCCACCAGGGGTATGGTTGTTTATTTGTGTTTGTCATTGTGTACTTCTGTAATTGGGCCTGGTGCCTGTTGAAAGCACATTAAAAATAACAAAATAAAAAAAAAAAAAAATAAAAAAAAATAAAACCACTAAACTAAATTGCGATTTTATAAAACCTTGTTAAACTCTTATATAATTTGACAACTCTTATATAACCTTTATATAATTTATCGTTAATTACCATAAGTAATACAAATTTATTGGGTTGCCAAGTTCTTGTGTAATATGCATTTTAATTTGAATAAAAATAATGTTTAAATATTAAGATTAATCTTTTTTGTAAAAATTTCAAAGAAATTAACAATAAGAAAGTTGTATCGTCCCAGTATTAAAAAAAAATTGGATCACGAAAATAAGTCTCTTGCAAAATTTTAGTCTTCACTGATAAAAAGTTTTTAAAAACCATTTTCGTTTATGTAACATTTCTATAATATAGTCTTCGTGATTGTGACCCCTTAATATATTTTGCCACAAAATAAATGCAATAAGTGATACAGATATCTCCGAAGAAAAATGCCATGTTTCCGACAGAAATACTTTATTGTTGAGGAATTAGGTTAAATAATTCAGAATGTGCGTGTTATGTCCCCCAAATTATTGACAAAACGTTCGATATAAGAATTAATCGATAAACAAATTGTTTTTTATTTAATCTTAAAGAAGGCCGCGTATTTCTTGCAGCAAATTATTAAATAATAATAATTATTTACTAAATTTACATTAAATACCCATTAACTGTGTGAGCCATAAACTATTTTAATGGTTTAATAAGAAATTGATGTAAGGTGTGGACATTTTTCTCGCCAAATTGTAAATCAATTTAAATTTTAATTAAACTCTTATTAACTAATCTAATGAAAATTTAACAGTTTTGCTTCTAAATTCAGTGGCGTAAAAAATAGTTACTGTTAAAAATGTTTGTAAAATTACTACATTGTTACTAAGCAGTTGCATAGTAAAATTACAAAATGGTTTTCAGATTAATTCTGGGTACATGTTTATAACCCAACGATCTATCAAACTACACAAATTATGGCAGTCATTATAAAAACAAAAGAAGGTGATGGTAACTCAAAACAAAATAGGGAAGAAATTGTATGAAAATGTAGATTAATGTGTTTGTTTACATGTAAAACTAACTTTGTTTCAAAATTCCCAGTAATAACAATGTAACAACGATTTTTATTTTTTTTTTCAATTTATAAATTTGTAATGGAAGGATACTTGGTACACCCTGTATAATTTCAAGTTTGCAATGGCGCCTTATAATAGTCCAGCAAGATTTAATAACTAGTCTGGTACCTAACCTTGAAATGTATTGTAAAAAATTGCAAATATAGAAACTAAACATAATGTCAAAATATGATAATTTATTTATAAATTCTATTAGTGGACCATAAAACTTAATATTATGCTTTTAACAGGAATAAATTAGCAAACCCAAAAAAGTTATATAATAATTAATTAAGTAAATTTGAGTGTTTCTCACTTATATAATAATAATTATTAATTAAATATTTTTTTGTGACTCCAGTAGTTTTTAAATTTCAAATCAATATCTTTTGCCGTTCCCCAAAAACTTGTTATAACATATAACATATAACATATATGGACCTTAAACGTGAAACACCCTGTATATATCATACTTGTACAAAATAAATATCTTGAATATCTTTTATTGGCGCGCTACTGATGAAAAAATTCAACATTTAATAGCCATAAAACTTTCTGAAAGATATATGACTTATAAAAGATACAAATATTATATGGGCTGTTTTATTTCATACACGCATACAAATGATAGTGAAATTAGGCACGCGAATACATCATTTTCGTTTTTGATCATCTACTATAGGTACATAAACGAAATTATATATCACAAATAATAATTCCAATACAAGTAATATTAATATTTATAAAGACTTTATTGATTATAACAAATATAGAGGTTGTATTCCGCGAAATATCTTGAGGTTAACTATAGAAAACGTGATATGTTTTTCATGCCCCATATAATATATAATATATGGGTGATTCTACAAAAGTTGGACAACTTGATGGCATCAGTCAAAAGGACGTCTGTAGAAAAACATAATAAATATTCAAAACATCAGTACCTTGGCGTGTCACAACTCCTGAATCAAATATTTGAGTGATTTTATTTTAAAATATATTCAATTTATTTTAAATTTTTCAATTTCACTACAAACTATAAAACATTAAATAATATATTTTTCATATTTTATCATAGATTCGAATAATGGCAATTTTTAAAAAATTGATAATCTTTGTACTTACTTTTACCCGTCAGTTCCGTGTCCAATGTTAAAATTCAAAATTCCTGCCAAATATTAAAGTTTAAACGTCAAGTCCTTGTTTTAACTCAAGTGTTGGTAACATTACCTACAGAGCCCGCCCTTTGCACGACAGTCATCTTGAAAACAATGCAAGCGGCGAAGTTGTGGTGAATGCACGTATAGTTCAAGTCAAAATTTCAGTACTGTAGTTATTTTCTTACGTATATATATTTCATTGTAATTTATATAATTCAATTTAAATTCTGCTTGCGCAGGACTTGTTTATTTAATGTCATTATAAACTCATATAAATTTGGTGTGGGTCCCATATCTAATAATTGAGATATCGGTATACCCAAAATCCACCAGCCGCCACTGATGTGTGGTATTATTTGATTTTAAGAAAGTTGCAATAAATCTTATATTTTCCAATAAATTATGTATTTAATTAGTATACTAGTCACTTTCATTGCATTCAAATTTAGAAAACACAGATATTTCAGAAACTGTTTGAAAAAGTGACTGGCCCGGTCTGGAACAGTATATTTATTATATTATCTATGTTCTCATAACAAAATACTGTATAATGTTCTCCGAAAACTATATAAACAAAATGAGGTCAAAAGTTGCCCAACTTTTGTAGAATCACCCATATATTATATTATATCTATAGATTTTTTAAAAGTTGATTCCACCTTGTATAAGGGTAAATCAATATTACGGGTAACTTAAAAAGTAATAAAATTGCTATAATTAACATACGTGAGATCACCATCTATTATTAGCTGTTAAAGCCACTTTACGTGGCATGGTTTTTTAACATACCTGTTATAATTGTTTTCAATGTATTTATTTACGATAAATATTATGGTTTTCAATATCCATTGTAATCGGAACGTGCCTTTTTAATTAATAAAAAAAACAATCATAAATATAGTGCATTTATTTGTCGTTTATGTGAAAAATTACTTAATAATACAAATTAAATTACAATCGAATATTATACCGTGCAAAACATTACACATATCCATAAATAGAAGCTGTTTATCTAGATTGTCGGAAAAACATTAAAAACAGTTATCTATGCAATTGATACGCTAGACTTAATTGCATGGTGTCACCTTACATTTAGCTAATTTTGACATTTTATAAAAAAAAATCGATTGGAGTATTTTTATGTGTTTTAATGTACATGGGTATTAAAATAATAAAGAACAAAAAGCAAATGTTATTAGAAAAAATTATTTTATTTATTTCAAAATAATAATTCCTACAATATGGGTTGTTTTACATAATGGGACAATTACAGAGTTTTGTTTTTGGATGTAACTTAGGTTATAAAAAGTCACTATTGGCCCACAAAATATACTGGATGTCCCAAACTAAGTTACCATGCTCTAGTTTCCAAACCGTCTGAGATATTTCAGTGGAACAAAAAGCATAATTCAGCACTTTACAGTAAAATTTTAAATATTATTCTGTATATTTTTTGTAGAATCTACAGTTATATAATAATGCAATACTTAATATTTTTTTATTTATTTGTTTCAGATAATCAAGAAAGAGTGCAGAAGAAGACCTTTGTCAACTGGATCAATTCCTATCTATCTAAGGTAAAATAAATTTTATAATTAGGTACATACCTAAAATGTATTAGTCAAAAATGAGGCAGAGTTCTGTAACAAACATAGTTGACTGTATACAAGGTGAATAACTTAACTTGAAACTTTGCAATATCTATTATTTCCACCTGTGACTGTTGCTCGACGAACTCTTTTTTCGGTTTAACACTCCCGTTTGTAGTAAACTGCTTGACTGTGCGGTGAAATGAAGTACGTGATCGAATTTTATCCGGAAAACGCTGAGCGTAGATAACGGCATCATCAAGATTCCTGCCTGCTTCTCCATAAATCAAAATCATTTCTATTTTTTCTTCCACTGTTAAAAAATCCATTATGAATAACTGCTTAACGAAAGGAGGTCTTTTTGTTTGCAAATTAATCTTCGAACTAAATTGACTAAATAATGCTAAACTATAAATATTTCTTTTATACCTCAATAATAATTATTATTTATAACTAAATACGATTTATAAACCTCAATTAGGATTAAATTAATTAATTGACAAAATAATCTTTTATATACCTTAAATGAGGTATTTTTATTAAAATTGCTACAATAATCCGTTAAATTAAAGGATTTAATGCTGGCAGGTAAAAAGTGACCATGGTGCGCAATTGATAATTATCACCGAATGAAATAATGTATAAAACTAAAGGAAACTTAGTGGGTACTTAAAAAAATCAGATTTAATTTAATAAGATAATTATTACCAAAAAAGTGATATTTTTATAGAAAAATTATTGCAGAATCGTATACAGAAGAAAAATCGAACAAAATTGATTTTTTTCATTACAGCGCCATCTATTACAAATGTGAAAAAATGTTTTAGACAAAATCTACCTATTTTTAGTCAAATGACCCGAATTTGCAATAAAAAATAGGGTGAGTAGGTGAAAAATAGTATGAGGACCAATTTTTTATTTTGCATACCAACTGAGATATTTCAAAGTTTCAAGTTAAATGACACCCTGTATAATGGCGGCCGGCGAATTTCAAGTATGCTTACACGGCTATCTGGCACTGATGAGGTCTAATAAGACCGAAACAGGCTGTTTGTTTTGTGTAGCAAAAGCACGGAGACGAGGTCAGCTCTCATTGAAATTGTTCTTGGCAGTCAAATTTAGGCATTTTTATCACGTTAAAAGAGATCGAACGATATTTTTATCAACCGTGTTTTTTTTTTTAAATTTTAACATACGTATATATCTATAGATAAGATATAATTCATGTTTATAATAGTATATATTTATAGTGTAAGTGTAATATTGATTAATAGTGATTTATAATTGTTAAATATGGAAGGTGGTTCAAAGAGAAAGTGCAATAAAGATTCCTCAAATAGGGCAGGTGGTTCAAAGAAAAAGTGCAACGAAAATTCCAAAGATGATCTGGAACTTCCTACTGAAAATCCACACAATTTGATAAAACTTTTCGCTAAAGATTTTTTACCTTTATTAACAGTGAATAATGGGGGATTTCAGGAATACTTAAATAAAAACTTGTCCATAACAACTAGCTATGATGATGTATTATCATGTTTAAAAGAGGAACACAAAAAGTGCAAGGAGGAATTAAAAAATACATTGGAAAAAGTAAGACATATCGGGATTACAATAGATTGGTGGGAAGCAGGGAGAGATATTGTCTACATGACAGTGTCGTGTCATTATCTTAAGATGTGTTGAATTCAAACGTTTTGGAAACACGAGCAGGTTCAATAAATATCGAAAAGTTGGATGAAATTTTTGAAGAGTGGAATATAACTAATAAAGTGGTTCAACCACTGTGGTTGGAATTATGGCCAAGCCTAAGCCTAAGTTAAAAAAGGCTGTTGAAAAATATTCATATATTCCTTGTATGGCATATACATTTAATATAAATATTAATAATTATATTAGAAGTAATACTGATTTTTATGACTTGTTAAAGAAATGCAGAAAGGTAATTATCGATATAAAGAACAATTCGAAAAAATGGGATACATTATTAGAAAAAGTGCCCAATTTGTCAAAATTAAAACTGAATGATACATTTATCTGGAAGGATTGGTATAAAATGATAGAGCCTTTTTTTGATTTGAATGTTAAAGATATAAAAGGAATTTTCCATTTGAAGGAAGAAGAATGGAACATTTTAAAATCATATAAAAGTACTTTACAAATTGCAGACAAACTTTACCAAAAAGTGTTTAATGACAATAATATGTCATTTTCTATGATTTTAATGATAATAAATGATTTCATAAAAGATTTTGAAACTTTTAAAAAAGACAAAAATGAAAGTATGATCTAAATATGGCAGATAATATTATGGCAAATTCTATGGAAGAAAATAAAATTATTCGTGATGCTGCCTTTTTAGATCCAAGACATAACATACAAGGGTTTATTAAAAAAGAAGATGCAGAAAATACAAAATGGGCAATAATACGTGAGGCACATGAAATAAGTAAGAGGAAAACCGATACAAATTTTAATATAATTCAAAATGTTCAAGAATATTTAACATTGGTTAAAAACAGTACAATGGATCCTTCTTTATTTTGGTCAAATCAAGCAAATCAAGAACTACATGAGCTAAGTCTTAGGTACCTTTGTTTTCCAAAGACTTGTATTTTGTATGAGATTATTGTATCGGAAACTGGACGGTTAAGAAATAATAGAAGAAAACTCTACCACCGGAGGACGTGGATCCACTTATCTTTTTATGTTCTTTTAAAAAATATTAACATGTTACTGTATTTTTATTTTTTTTATTATCATATTGCTATTAATGGTGTTGGGGGATGTTATTATATTATATAAATTGTATATGGGTATTTATCAATAAACTTACTTTTTACACAATTAGTTTTTTTACCACAATAATTAATATCAATGTCAAGTATATTTTGGCAAAAATATGGTTTTATCAAAACTCTTTAAAAATAGATAATAACGTTTACTAATAGATAATGATAATAAAAATTAGAGTTATACATTGAATGTAGGTAAGATTCAAATATAAAAATATTAATTTTGAAAAATTTTAGATCAAAACTAAAATTATAAGTTAAGACATTTTACAAAGTAATTGACGACCTTAATTCGAACCAAGAGAAGACTTCATTTTGAAAGACAATTTAATTTGTAACAAAAAATTATTATTGCATAACTACCCTAAATTTAAAAATAAAAAATTAATAAGTACTTGCAGTTTTTGATTGTTGATAAATAATAAATAGGTTATTTTAATAATTTTTTGTTACAAATTAAATAAATAAATTGTCTTTTAAAATATGTAAAAATATACGGGGTGCTCCTTTAAAAAAGTGTATTTTTCGGAATTTCATAACTTTTTGTAAACTGGATATGGCCTGGCCTCCTAGATATCCTAATTTGATGACTGCCAACTTTAAAAACATAATTGTGGGGTTTAATTTTTTTTAATCGAATTATTCTTGGGTGCTTATTATATTTAGCAGTCAAATTTAGGTATTTTGATCGCGTTAATAAGAGATCAAGCGATATCGGTTTTCTGGAAAGGTCGCTGCCTCTGTAGTTGTCCGTACCATGCCCGGTTGCAATCAACGTCCCCCTTCATTCATTAATTGCCAAAGTTAAATGTTAAGCTAGGTAAGTGATTGCTCGAACGTAATTTACACGTCTTCACGAAGCACGATAAGTATGACGTAAAATCCTATTTTTTTAATAAAGGTTTACCAATAAACCCGTTCTAAATTTAAAACTTAATTAAACAGTAAATGAAAGAAAAAATTGCCAGGGGCAAGAGTATTTTATGTATGGTATCATGATATATTTGGTGCATAGTACGTTTCAAAAACATGTTTAGATGAGTATAAGAGTCGTCTAACCTCATCTCTTACCAGCCTTGCACAAGCCTCCGATATCGTACTGTACTGCCGGGCCGTTGCTATACGCCCATTAGGAACAAAAGGAGGTGAGGACGGGGGGGGCAGACATTTTGATTTTTATATTTTAAATAAAAAATATCAGTTAATTGTTTTTTGTTGTTAAATTCTTTTTATTGAGATTGCCACTGGTTATTCACATAAATATTTTTTTTCAGCGAGTTCCACCGCTGAGGGTAGATGATTTGATCGGGGACCTAAAAGACGGTACTAAACTTCTAGCACTGTTAGAAGTGTTGTCCGGAGAAAAACTGGTACGTAAAATTACTCTACAAACAACAAACGTGTGAAGACATATTTTTATGTTGTTTAGCCTATGGAGAGAGGCAGGATTTTGAGGAGACCACACTTTTTGAGCAACGCCAACACCGCCCTGCAATTCCTGCAAAGCAAACGAATAAAACTGGTTAACATTAATTCCAGCGATTTGGTGGATGGGAGACCGCCAGTCGTACTCGGACTTATTTGGACCATCATATTGTACTTCCAGGTAATTACATGTATTTTAACAAATGATAGTTTAAGGTCGTATAATTATTGGGCACTCTAACGTAGCTTAACCTATATAATAGAAGTATCGCTAAGGCACTTTTAACTAATCACCTACTAACAATTCTAAGCTTCGACGCAAGGATCTCTGGGAGGATGCGTCGGTAAGTTTTATGATTTTAGATGAATAAACAATTTTTAGATTCCAAAATGTTTTGCTTTTAAATAGACCCAAGAACTGCTTTTAAAAAGAACGCAAAAGGTTCATTCAAAAATATGTAAAACATTTTGGAATCAAATTGTTTATTATTAACCACACAGCTTTTTGGGGTATTGCTTTCTAATTTATAGTCGCAGCCAAATCTGTATGGGTGCAAATCATCAATGATATATAATGACGTCAGCATTACCAACTTTGAATTCTAAAGTTACTACCGTTAAATTTGCTTTTTTAAGGCCTGTTTGTTTCCCCTCTAAACACATTTAATCAAAATTTGCCCGTAACACTCCTAATTAGTTAGTGTAGAAGATTATAACAATGATGTTACAATTCCATCTTAATAAACAGCCAGACAGTAAATAATACACGAGCGTTAGATTGTGCCTGGGTACGTATGAACGCTGACGTCAAAGGCCGTTGATGACGCGCACCCAGGCAGATTTGGCCGCGACTATACAAATAATAATAATGATAATAACACAATAATAATGATAATAACATATAATTTGTTTAGATCGAAGAAAACAGCAGAGACCTCGACTTTAGAGCCCAATGGGGTTCCACGAGCAGCTTGGAGAGTGCCGGCACGACATCGTCGAAAGACAAATGGAAGCAGGGGGCCCGCAAAACGCTGTTGCAATGGGTTTCGAACGCCCTGCCCAGCGATTCCGGGTTGGAAATCAAGGATTTCGGCGCCAGCTGGCGCGACGGCATCGCCTTCTTGGCCATAATTGACGCGATCAAAAAGAATCTCGTTGACATAGCCAAGTTAAAGAAAGAAACGAACCGAACCAGACTCGAGACGGCCTTCGACGTGGCCGAAAACGAGTTGGGAATCACCAGGCTGTTGGATCCGGAAGATGTGGACGTTCCAAAGCCGGACGAAAGGTGCATAATGACTTACGTGGCGCAGTTTTTGCAGAAGTACCCGGAACCGAAGTCGACCGGACCGGACGCCATAGCATCGATTCAGGAAGAGTACGGCGAGTTTTTGGCCTGGCTCATGAAGAAAACGCAATACTTGGAACACCTCCAGCAAACCAACTCGTTGCCTTTGGACTACACTGAGTACATGGCGTTCAAGTCCGAAGTCGACGATAAAGAATCGATCCACAAAAAACTAAAGTCCCTTATCGAGTCGCAAAGCGTCATTTCTATCGCCAAGGAGTCTTGGTTCGACATAACCAAGCTGTGGACAAAACTCGAGCGCCAACTGCTCTACTGGTTGTGGCTGTTGGACTCTCGTCTGCCTGGCGACTTCAGATTCGTCGGCGAATGGCTCGCCAAAGCCGAAAAACTCATCTACTTGGACGAAATACCGTCTGCGATGAACGAAGAAACCGCCGCCATCATAAGCAGAAAACTAGAGGAGCATAAAGCGTTCTTTGCCGATTTGCCAGCGGTACAGCAGAGATTCGCACAAGTTTGCAACTCGCCCTTAGCCAGAGAAGTGCCTTCGGAACAGATAAACAATATGGCTGTCAGACTGAACGAAATAGGACCCAAAGCTGCTCAAAGACGAGTAAGACTGAAGTTTCTTGAACATAAGGTAAGATGAGAGAAGCAGTAAATAATTCGAATACAGTTATTAACTTTAATTATTTGTTTCAGTGTTGCCTTATTGCATTTTTGCAACTTACCGAAAACAAACTAAAGACGTGGAACGCGAAATATGGCCGCGTCGAACGGGTTATACAACTATTGGACCAGTACAGAAATTTTGTGTCTAAGAATCACATTTTCCAAGAGTTTAACAAAGCCTTCCAGGATATGCAAGCCGTGATTGAAGAATACAAACGCGACGGCAATATAAATAGAAAAGAGGCGATGGAAATAGACAGATTTATGCACGATATAGCCGAAAGATGGAAGCATGTGTCTATGGAACTAAGATGCGTGCAAAGCATGCTGGAAGAAGTCGTGGCGTATTGGAGGAGATGGGATTCACTTTCTCCGGAATTTGATGCTTGGCTATCGAGAGCAGAACAAGCCATGTATTTGCCAGAGGAGCAAAAAATGGAGTTCTTCCAGGACATATCCATGTGGAAGGACAACTATCAGATATTAGGCGATACCGTAAGCTTCCTTATAGCCACTGTTGACGATAAAATCGCCATGGAACTAAGGGATCGCTACCAATTAATGACCGACAGATGGGAGAAGATCTACCCGAATGTGAACAAGTACAGCCACGCAGGCGATATTTTGAGAAACCGCAATGATTTTAAATCTGGCCTGGATGTATTATCGCAGTGGTTGCGGAAGGCCGAAAGTGTGCTCAACTCGCCATGTTTGGGTTCGACGGAGAGAATCAGAGAACACACCGTCAATCTTTTGAAGCTGCAAGGAGAAGTCGAAGAAATTGAAAATCTGTTTAAAAATACCTCGAAGGCTTTCCAGACCCTAATACAAGACTTATCACGTGACGACGTAGAAAAAATGATGACCACATTAAAACAAGAAAAAGAAGCCTTAGTTAGAGTGAGAGCGTTGATACCAGCGCAAATACATTTATTCAATCAACTGTTGATCCAACAAGAATCTTTAGAAGCCGGACAAAAGGAAATCAATGATTGGTTGGATAACGCCGAGGCTTTACTGGGCACCTTATCACTTGAAGGCGACAAGGAACAACTTAAAGCTGAAGTGGACAAAGTTAAACACTTCTTTACCCGTACTTTGTACTACAAATCGATGTTGGACAGTAAAAATAAAGTAATGACGAACATCATCAAATCAGTGGACCAAGCGAATAATCCAGACGTTGCCGCAATGACAAACAAAATGGACGTCTTAAACGACAGATTCGGTTACGTAACGGAAAGCGCCCAACAATGGGAGCACCGTCTGCAAGAAACCATACGGTGCTGGTACAATTTCTCGGAAAGCCAAAGGGTCATTTCGAATTGGCTGAGAAACGCCGAGAAATTAATATCCGAGAAAAGGATCGACAGCAAAGAAATCGTCGAGGAACATAAAAACTTCTTCCAATCGGTGAATGAAAGGTGGATGAACGACCTGGTGCAAAGCGCTCAGGATCTTTGCAATAGCCTTCCAAAGGACCAGCACTCGCCGATATTGTCTTCCGTCAACCAGCTGCAGCACAAATGGAAGGAAGTGATGTCGTTTGCCCCGCTACACTTGATGCGTCTGGAGTTTCGACTTGACGAGACCACCTTTAACTATTACATCAAAGAAATAGAAAAGGAAATCAACAGCGAACACCTCTCGTTCAACAGGCAGGACAACGTGGACGCCTTAATCGCGCGAAACAAGGAGTTCTTCTCCGCCAGAGGCCCTTTGGGGGAGACCCACCGCTGCTTGGAAAACTTGAAGAGAACCAGTGAATTTTACGCGAGCAAATACTCTGAGGACAGAAGTTTAATTGACGCCGTGCAAAAGGCTGAGCAGCAATGGAACAACGTCAACATCAGAGTCGAAAACTTGAAGCAAGAACTCGACCAGATTCCGCAGAAATGGGACCAATACCACGAGAAATTCAACGCCATTTCCAAATGGATGGACCAGGTTGACTCCAACTTGAAGAACATTCTAAATGACGTGACCAGCGAGGAAGAGTTCGAAAGGCAGAAGAATATTTTCCAGGTAAGAAATTAACGTTTGTTTTATTTTTAATCTATTTAATATTGAATTATTATGCATAGCTGAAGGCAAAGAAATTAACGGTAAATTTAGTTTTTTTAATGACAAAAAAAATATATAGTAGTCTAATTTATAATATCATAATTTTATCAGCCGATGGTTTATCAAAAAATAAAGGTAGTTTCTCAGATTTTGCTTCCTTTTAAACTTTAAAAAGAGTTTAAGGAACAATATAAAATTTTCACCAGGAGGGATTTTCTTGAAATTTGGGACTTAATTTTCTATAGAAAATAATCTCTATAGAAAGCAATAAACCAATCAGAGCATATGGCATTATTCAACGTCGAAAATTTCAAGAAATGCTTACAGGTATAATATTTAAAAAAAATATGTTCATTTAGGTATAAATTAGGGGTGTCAATCCCGAGCCCATTTTTCAATCCCGGGCCTTTCGGGATCAGTCCCGAAAAAATATATATCATTAATTTTAAAACCAATTTAAAATAAAACAACAAACAGACTAACGAACGATATCTTTCGGACTTCACATTAGTCGGAAGAATGGTTTTCAAGAATTCGTAGGCACATTGTACCCACGTTTACTTCCATTAACAAATAATTCCATTTCTTTTATCAATCGGGCCTTGGTGAGTTCCAATTGGGGCTGTAACTTACATTAAAGTTATCAAGTTTGTGTAATTTTTTCAGGTTTGATGTTTGAAATATGTTATATTGTAGGTTATGTACATAAATTTATTCTACAGGGACCTGTAATTTTACATTTTCTTTGCTGATTTTTGGAACCACTCTTGCTATGTAATTTCAATGAATTTCATTATTGTACGGTGGTGTATAATAATTTGACTTGAACTGAGTAAAAAAATGAAGTGTTTATATATATACTTATGAGTATTATAATATGAAAAATGTCATACTCTTAAAAAAAGTCTATTTTATTCTTTGTAACTTATTACTAAGATCCCGGGATTGGGACTTTTAATCCCGGGATTTTCGGGATCGGATTTTTTACGGGATCCCGGGATTGACACCCCTAGTATAAATGCATACCATTTTTTTTTTTTTTAAAGAGGACACATTTTATTTGACAACTTATCTTTATTTTTTAATAAACTTGATGAAATGAAACATTTTAATTTATCTTTATCTAAAAAATCTTCTCTAGAATATTTGCAAGGACGCCGATTCAAAACGCGAAGACATAAAATGGTTGGTTCAGACTCACGACGCTCTATCGTCGCACTGCCCGGAGCAGCAAGCCATTTTGGAGCAGAAAAATCTCGAGGCTCTCATAATTCGCTACAAAAATCTGATACCGTCCATAGAAATAACAATGGTGAAAACCGACACCCTATCGAAGTGCTACACCTACCGCAGAGAGGTGCGGGAAGTGTGCGAACTGCTCAAGAAAGTCCGCGACCAAACGAAACAAAAACCTCAACCGCAGAGTCTCCAAGTTGTGCATCAACTGGTGAAACACCAAGAATCAACAATTTCGCAGTTGGATAACCAAAGACCAACTATTATGTCCCTTTTGCAAAAAGGCAAAGAACTCTCTAGAGACACGAACGCGCCGAGCTTTATGTCCGAGGAGGTAAAAACTTTGGAAACTGGTTGGACCGAAACTTACGACGAAACCATCGAAAAACTGCACAGTCTCATAGGTACTCAACATTTATGGACTAGCTACGAAGAACAAAAACAAGACATAGTCGATTTACTGCAGAGAGGCGAAGAAAATATTCAAAAAATCTCGCCGGCGCATTATAACCCCGTAGAGTTAGTCAACAAGCAGCAGCTTGCTCTACACCTTCGCGAAGATACCGAGGACATGCTAAATAAACTTAGGGAAACCTCTGCTAATTTGGGCAATCAAACCGGCCAACAGCAGCAGTTTAAAAGAGAAGTTCAAGAAATCGAACACAGACTCAATACCACACTAACCAATGTGCAAGAACAAGTTGTGCTTTTAACAGAGTACAACACAAAATGGACGACTTTCCAGAACAAAATAACCCAACTGCACAGCTGGACAGCCCAAACGGCGCCTCAGTTATTGTCCCAAGTGCAAGAGGACACCATCACGCCAGAAGACAGATTGACCAAAACGCGGGTTTTGCAATCCGAAGTGGCTCACAAAGTAAACCTACTCGACGATTTGGGCAGAGAGGCTCAACAGCTCGCCATAGAAGACAACCCCGAGGCTCAGAAGCTGAGAGCTGAACTGGCGTCGCTTCAGGATCGCGTGGTGTCGATAAACAAAACCGTGGAGGGTCAAGCGGCCACAGTAACACGTGATTTGAAAAACTGGCAAACGTACCAGGCGCACTTGCAAGAAATCAAACCTTGGGTGGAGCAAGCCGAACTTAAAGTGCAAATCGGGGTGCCGAAACCTGGCAGCCTCGAAGAAGCCATCTTGTTGCAAAATCAAGCCAAAGAGTTCGCCAAGGAATGCGATTCGCAACAGAAAAAATTACAAGGGGTTCAATCTTTAACGAAGAAGATGGAGATAAAGACCAACGCGCCGGACGAAGTTGACTCTATTCAGACCAGATGGACTATTGTTAACGATACGGCTGCGCAATGGGGACAAAAATTCGACAAGCTAGTGACAAACTGGGTGGATTTTGATAAAAACGCACAGCATTTGGAACACTGGATCGACACAAAGGGAAAACAACTTGCTGAGAAATCCGTGAATCTCAACACACCACATGTTGAAAAATTGGAGAAAGAATTAGCAAAACTTAAGGCGTTTAATAACGAAATATCTGAACAACAAGCCAAATTAATTGCATTAACTCAAAGTTCTGACAGTATAAGCTACAATGTCAGCCCAGAAGGTTCCACAGTTGTGAAAAACCAAGTGCAAGAACTCAAGTCGAAAGTAACGCAGCTGGCTGAGGGTGTGAGAGCAAAAATAAACGAAGTATCAGATGCTATCCTGGCCAAGCACGATTTCCAGACTAAAGTATCCGAATTTACAAACTGGCTGGACAATATAAATTCAAATATGATCCAAATCGACCAAATACCATCAGACAAAGTAGACAATGCGCTAATCAACGTGCATAATCTGCTACAAGAACATTCAGAGAAGCAACCATTGTTCAACACTATTTATAACGAGGTAAAGGATATCACTTTGCATACTCCGCAGATAGAGAACGAGGCTTTAAACGAAGAATACACCACCATAGTTCACCATAACCAAGAGATCGAACATAAATTGCAAGAGAAGAAATATTCGCTTGAAAGGTGGATAGAGTTGTTAAATTGGCACGGGGATTCTAACAACCAGCTCAACCACATCAAAAATATAATCGATAATGAGAAAAATACCCCCGAAACACTGCAGCAGTTAACGCAAGAAATAAACACAGTCATAAATAAAATCGTAACATGGAAGGAAAACGTTCCAGCAATCGATAGCAGGCAAGATATTGTGATACTTGATAAACAAACTGCCTTACCGAGAACAGCCGAAAATACTGTACGTGAAATAGAGGTTAAAGCGATTAACCTGAAGTCCCAATTGGCCGATAAACTGGATGGTTTACAGAAAGTTAAATCGCACTGGAATCAGTTCGAAAACATTCAACAACAAGTCAACGCTGATTTAAACAAATGCGCCAACCAGTTGAAATTGTTGATGAGCGAAGTTAAACACTCCAGCGATGTGCCAAAGGCCGTTGAAATGCTTGATAAGTTATTGGAGGATCAAGTAGAAAAATCGCCCATTAAAGAGGATTTGAGAAAAGAAGCCATGCAGCTTATGAAGGAAGACATACAAAATGTGTCGGTTATACAGAATACAGTTTCTACAATTGAAAGTAATTGGAATAAAGTAAACGAAGATATTAAGGAGAAAAAAATAAAACTGTCTGACATAATATTCGCTTGGAATGAATTCCAAGAAGCCAAAGACCGTGTGGTTAAAGACATCGCAAAAATTGACAAGACAGTGGAAAATCTGGAGACTCCAAACGATTTGGTGCAAGCCAATGTGAATCTGGAAAAGGCGAAGAAAGCCTTGGAAGCTCTGAAGAAAACCAAAACCGCTTTGGATAAAGCCGACAACAAAGGCTTGATCACTATTAAAAGGGCAGACAATATTCCTGGCATTGAAGAGGAAGTGCGCAGAGACTTGCAAATAGTGCACGACGTTTGGTCGAAAGTGTACGAAAAACTCCTTAAAGTTGTCCAAAATAACGAATCGCAAACCACAATTTGGAAGCATATCGAAGACACCAAGAACAACTTGCTACAGTGGCTCGAAGAAAACAACACAGCTTTGAGTCAAGCCGTGGAAAAGCCCAATGAACTCGAAGCTGCCACCGTTAAATTGGCCAAATATAGAGAAGAGTTGCCCTTGCATCAAAGACTTAACCAAAGCATACCGACTAAATATACGCAGCTATTGAAACTCACAGATGGAAAAGATGTACCATCCTTACAGGTTTTAGTTGATTCGCTCAACGAGAGGTTTTCTGAAGTGAAAAAGACTGCTGAAAAACTGGAAAGCGTCACGTCAACGTTCGGTGAGAAAGAAAGAGCTGTGAGAAACGACATTAAAGAGCTAAATAATAAAGTATCCGGCCTCAGAGAGGAGATAATAAAATGCGAAGATTTATCAGGCGATAATAATAAAATCTTGGAACGCTTATTAATTATAAGAACCTTTAAACAACAACTACTCGACTGCGATACAAACATAAAACAAGTAGACAATGATATACAGTCTTTAAGGCAAAATTATCCAACATTTACAGATGTGATACCCAAAGAACAGCAGATGCTGAAGAAACGCTACGAGGGCATACTCCAACACACCAACAAAATTGAAAATTCTTTGCTGAGCTTCCTTAAAAAATTCCACAACGAAAAATATGGAGCATTGCAGAGGATCATTGCAACTCACCGCGAAAAAATACAGTGGTGTCTTCCCGAACCTTCAAGCGACAAGTATAATTTGGAAGTAAAGCTGAAATCATTAGAACCCATACAAAGTGCAATAAATGACTGCGAAAATCGAAAAGTTGAGTTGGAAAATAGTTTGAAACTATTACAGCAAGTCGAATCGCCTGATTCCATCAAGCTTCTGACAGCCGAAAAAGACCACTTACTGTTGGATTTGGAGAGCTTAAGGCAAAGCTTTGCTAATACTAAACAAATTTTGGAAAAAAATATCGCGATCCACGAGAAATACGACACCCTTACAGACGGGGTGGCAGCTTGGTTAAAAGATACGGAAAATAGAATTAAATCAGAGAGCACCACGCAAATCGACTTAAACACAGTCGATGATAAAATTAAAGAAATTAAAACCCTGCAAAAAGATGTAATGGCGTACGAAAAAGAATTGCAAAAATTATCGCCAATTACCGAGGAGTTAACTAAAGAAATGCCCGAGTCCAGAGTTAGCCAATACGTACAACATCTCAACACGAGATATCAAGCAATCACCAAGTTCCTAGCAAGTTATTTGGAGAAACTCGACGAACTCAATAAATACAAACAATTGTACAGAAATAGCATTAACGATGTTGAAAGTTGGTTGGTACAGGCTGAAGAAAAAGTCAAGTCGTTTTCGCAAATCGCGTCGAAACCCAACCAAGCCACTTTAGAGGAGCTAAAGAAGTTTGCCAGCGAGAAAGAAACAGGCCAAAACTATTTAGCCAAAGCCGTGGAACATGGCGAAGCCTTATTCTCAGGCATCACTCCTGAAAACAGAGACGCCATTAGGGCAGAATTGAGAACCCTCAGAGACAAATCCGAAGGATTAATTGATAAAGTGAATGGAATCTACAAGCAAGTAGAAGGTACGCTGATGCAAAGGCATTCGTTCGACGATAGCCTTCAGCAAGTAAACTTGTGGATTACCGATGCCAAAAACAAACTTGGAGGTGAACCCAAATTGGATAGCACTTTGCTGGAAAAGAAACAAACCCTGCACAACTACAAAACTCTGTTGCAAGACGTGAACCTACACAAAACCATATTAAAGCAGTTGCAAGAAAAAATCGGCAATTTGGCCGATGCTGATGCGGAATCCAAGCTGAACCAAAACCTAAACAGCTACGGTGAATTGGAGAAGGAAGTAAATAAACGCATCGTTCAATCTGAAGAGTACGTGGCCAAGCACGAAGCTTACAACCAAGCGATCGAGCACTGTCACGATTGGCTGAGCGCCTTAACATCCGAGGCGGCCTTGCTAGTCGACGAAACATCGTTGGAATCGCCCGAAGCTAAATTGAACGTGGTCGAGAACCTTTTGGCCCAACAGGATCAAGGCAACAAAGTCATTGAATCGTGCAAGTTGCAACTGGAAGCAGTCCTAAAGCAAACAGCGCCAAGCGGTCATCCACCTTTAATTAACAGTTACGAGGACCAAGAAAGGTCGTGGAAGTTGTTCTTGGAATTGTGCACGGACGCGCAAAGCAAACTTAACGAAATCAATAGTCAGTACGCCGAAGTGGAAAAATTAAGTGAAAACTTGGAAAAGTGGCTGAAACAGAAAGAGAACTTGGCTAAAGATCAAAGTTTAAGAAGCACGGAAGATTCAAAGAGGGCGCATTTGGACAAATTAAAGAACTTGGGTATTGAGATTGTTAAGAAAGAAGCAGATTTTAATAACTTTTCGGAAATACTTAAGAATATCGAGCCTGACAATAAGCTAACACAACTCTTAACAAGATACCAAGCATTGAAGAATGCTTCGAAGGAAGCTATTAATCGTTACGAGGGTTTCGTTAAGGAACACAAGGACTTTAACGATGATTACAACGAATTCTTGCACTGGCTATCGAATAAAGAAGAAGAACTCCAAGATTTGTGTTTGATAGTAGGTGACTTGAACGTTTTACAAAACAGGCAAAAGGAAATAAGAGATCTGATCGAGGAAAGAAATCAGAGAGCTGCAGAGTTCGACAACCTCCTGGATAAGGGGGAAAAATTGTACGCCCATACTTCACCTGACGGCAGAGAAATTGTAAGGCAACAGCTCAGGAACCTCAGAACAATTTGGGACACACTGGCGGAGGATCTGCAAAGCGCCACCAACAAACTCGACCAATGTTTATTGCAATTCTCTGATTTTACTGCGGCTCAAGAACAGCTCACCAAATGGCTTAGAGACGTGGAGAAAGCGATGCATCAACACACCGAGCTAAAATCGACCCTGCAAGAAAAAAGGGCTCAGCTGCAAAACCACAAAATCATGCACCAGGAGATTATGTCGCACACCGCTTTGGTGGAGTCTGTCTGCGATAAAGCTCAGCAATTGGTTGATCAAACACACGATAAATCGCTAAACGTTTATCTGCAATCCATCAAACATTTGTTTGCCAGTATTGTGACGAAGTCCGAGGAGTTGTTGAAAAATTTGGAGGACTGCGTTGAAAAGCATAACGCTTACAATCAACAAGTAGCTGGTTTTAAGGATTGGCTGAGCGGGCAAAACGATAAGTTGCAAGAATATGATGATGTTAGCGGTGAAAAAGCAGATATCACAAAGAAAATTAACGGTTTGAACTTCTTGAAAAAGATCAACGAAGAAGAGGGTGTCAAGCTTTTAGATGGGTTAAAACAACAATTGATAGTTGTAGCAAAAAGTACGGCTCCAAATGGCGTGCAAATCTTGAAGAAGGAACTCGATGATTTCAACGATTCCCTCGATCAACACAAAACAGATATAGGTGAGATTTGTTTCCCAAAAACTGATAAATTTAAATTAAAACATTCCATTTTAGACTCTTTGCTTGCCAAGCAAAACAACGCACTTCAGCAGTGGCAAGACTTCGACGCGGAATTGGAAAATCTAAATCAATGGTTTAAAACAACGGAAGTAAAATTCCGAGACCAACCATTACAGGCGACTTTACCCGAAAAAGTAAACCAACTCAATAAATTCCAAAGTGGTCGCGAAGAAGTGTCAGGTAAAGAAAAAGATGTGGATCACTTTATGGACAAGAGTCACTCCTTAGTACACAGCAGCGGCGTGCAAAGAATTAAATCACTGGTTTCGCAAATAACCAACAAATATCAGAACTTGCACAGTCTGTCCAAAGATGTTGTCAATCGCTGGCAGAGCATTGTAGACGGCCACACCAACTATAAGAACAAAATACAAGAAACTTCCGATTGGCTTAAGCCTTTAGAAGAGCATTTAGCTGTAATACAGAGGGGCGATCTTTCTGGTAACGTAGAAGCATCTACCAACAGATTGCAAGTGCTTTTATCGGAAAGGGAACAAGGCGAGCATAAGATTAACTCATTAACTTTGCTGGGAGAAAGAATTTTACCCGATACGGCCACTCAAGGAAGAGAGTTAATTAGAAACGATGTACGCGAGATACGCGAAAGATGGGACAAACTATCCCAAGGTAAATATAATTTGGTATTAAATCTTTATAATACCACAATTTTTTTAAGGTATACAAGATCAACAAAAGCTCCAGGACGCGCAATCGTTGCAACTGTCAAGCTATCAAGAAATGTTACAGCAAACATTAACCTGGCTGGACTCCATGGAAAACCTTGTAAAAATAGACCCTTCCTCTTGGGTTTCGATTCAAGAAGTTCGGTCCAAATTACTGAAACACAAGACTACAGCTCAAGAAATATTATCCCACAAAAGAATTATTGAAGGTATTTATTTTTATATATATTTTGGTTTTTACCACCGTTGCAAATTGTTTTAGGAATCACCGAAAAAGCTCAGGCTTTAGTGCAACTGACAAACAATAAGGACAAAACTGCCGAAGTGGAAGAAAGCGTTAAATCCATAAATAATCGTTATCAAAACCTGTCCAAGGCAGCTCAGAACAATATTAAACAGCTCGAAGATTGTTTAGACATCTACCAACAATTTTACGACTTGCAAAAGGCCCAACAAGACAACCAAAAACAACTGTGGGATAAACTTAACAGTTTCCACGATAACGCTGGCAACAAACAAGTCTTACAGCAGCGTTTGGAGTCCGTTATAGAGTTACAAGACCATCTACCTGAAAGCAACATCAAGTTGAAGGAACTGGAAAACCTTGTAAAGAATAAAATATCGGTTCTGCCTGCAAGAGCCCAGGAAGCCATGAATAGAGACGTGGCCAATTTGAAATTCGACCAAGAAAAATTCGTGGCTGCCCTTATGGACATCAAATCCGCCTTGGAAAGCAGAATAAAACAATGGAACGACTACGAAAACTCCTTGGACAAACTTTTAGCTTGGCTCGCGGAAGCAGAGGCATCGCTCAAGAACTACAACCTTAAATCGACGGTTGATGAAAAGCAGCAACAGTTAGAAAAGTATCAGGTAAATATTTCGAGTTCTTAACGCTTTTCAAAGTTTTTGTGTGTGACATTTTTGTGTGCCCCTAGGATCTAACCAGAGTGATTGACTCGCGCAAAAGCGATATCAAGGAGTTTATTAAAAATGCGGATCATTTGGAACAAGTAAGATATAAGGAATTCTTACTATCATCTATTCTTTTTATTTTATGCTTTTGGTGTAGGTGTTATGCAGAGCACGTTTCTATCTTTACACTTCACTGTATTATTTCTTTCTAAAAACATGCTTCTACAATAAATTAAGATTTTCTTGAATTTCTTAGGCTCTGATCTTAAGTCTGCGGCAAAACGAGGCAGAATTCGACAAGATGTCTGACGAATCGACGGAACTTGTGCAAAGTAGCGGCGATACAAGAATTTCAGTCAACATACAACAAATAACGTCTCGATTCCAGTCTATACAAGTAACTGCTAGAGAGATCGTCAAGAAATGTGAACAGGCCGTCGCCGATCATAAATTATACAACGAAAAGTACAGACAGTGCTCTGATTGGATATCCACCGCACAATCCAGGTATTTATTAAATCTATCTACTCACCATTTTATTTATATTAATTGTTAATTCTTAGATTTAACAGTTGCAAAGATAACATTAAGGGAGATGCAAGAAACGCTCTTCAAGAGCAAATCAAAGTACTGGAAGAGCTTCTGTCAGAACAAACTAGTGCCACTCTTCTTCTTAACAACACCATTGAATTAGGAGAAAAATTATATCCTTCCACATCAGCTGATGGCAGAGAAATTATAAACACTCAACTGCAAGAATTACAGCAAGCCTTGGAGGCTCTATTTGATAACATCAGCTCATCCGATAGAGAGCTAAAAGAAAAGCTAACAAGATGGTCTGGTTTCGACGAGTGCCTAGAAAATATTCAAAAATGGCTTAAAGAAGTCGGCAGCCAATTGCCAGCTGAGATAGAACTAACATCCACTTTGGATGAAAAGAAAGCGCAACTTCAAGTGTACAGATCACTGCAGCACGATGTCTTAGCACACCAACAAGACATTGTGGATCTTAAAGATAAAGTGGACAGTTTGCCAGAGAAGAACGAACAAATCGATGGGCAGCTTAAAAACATGACCAAACAACATAAAAAGTTGGTAAAGAGAGCTCAGCATTTCGTCGAAAGGTACGAGGCTATAGTAAGCGATCACCAACAATACAGCAAAGCTGTTCTCGACGCAAACGAATGGATTGACGCCACACATAACACTGTCACTTTACTGGGTGACTTGGATTTGGAACGAATTTCATTGCTTTCGAACTTGGAACGACTTAAAAACTTACAGGCCTCCTTGCCCGACGAAGAGTCTAGAATTCAAACAATCAAAGCTCTGGGCGACAAAGTTATACCAGGCACTGTTGATTACGGTCAAGCGAATATACGATCTCAAATAGAAAACTCGCAACAAGAATGGGCCGGTTTAAAGTCATCTGTGGCCAACACCATACAACAAATCGAAAATAAACTGGAACATTGGGCCGAATACGAGAACCTAAAAGACAAATGCATGGCTTGGTTAAGAGACACAGACACCAAACTGCATTCTGTTGACTTAAAAGCAACTGCGGACGAAAAGAAATCTCAATTGGAAGCTTTGAAGACACTGCAGGGAGAAATAAGAGCCAAAGAGTTAGAGATGGATGCGGTCACAGATAGATCTCAGCAGCTTAATAAAGGTGTGTCGGCTAGGCCCTCGCAGATATCCGAACTGGGCGTGAAGTACCAACAAATTTGCCACAAAGTTAAAGACTTGACCACCCGTTGGCAACAATACGTATCCAGTCACCAAGACTTTAACTCGCAAGTAGAACAGTGCGATCAATGGTTGGACGACATAAAAGATAAGTTGGAACATTGCTCAGACCTTTCTTCCTCGTCACAAAAAGAACTAGAATTAAAATTGGAAACCATACAAGACCTGTTATTGAATAAGGAGGAAGGCTTCGGTAAGCTACAAGGGTTGGTGGAATTAGCCCAGACTGTTCTTGCAAACACCGCGCCTCAAGGTCACGAAAATATCAACCAAACTCTATCAAACCTCCAAGAAAAATGGTCCAACTTGGCCACAAAGATGGTAGAAACCAAGGCCCTTCTGGACGATGCCCTTACCAAATGGGCTGGACTTTTGGAGGAAATTCAGTCCCTGGATAAAACGATAGAATCGTTGGAAAGTCAATACTTGGAATTAACCATATTCCAAAGTACAGTTCCGGAAAAGAAATCTCAACTCGATAGAATCAAGAACTTGGAAGAAAGAGTCCGCGTTGAGAAAATCGAAGTCGACAACTTAAAATCGCAGGCGTATGAAGTGTTAGAAAGCAAAAGAGGTAGCCAAGCTGCCATTGATGCTCAGAAAATGCTCGACAGGTTCGACAAAATCGCCAAAAAGATTTCCGTAAGTTTCTAAAATTACAACCAAATTAACAATTTAACGAATAATTTTTAGGTCCTGCTTAGCGATCGCGAGGCTCAATACAGAGACCACAAGGCTTACAAGGAAGCCCACGATGAAGTCCAGACCTGGATGACGAGGGCGCAGGAAAAAGTGCCGCAGCTTAAACAAAGACCACTTAGTGACAAACTAACGGTTGAAACATTCGCTGGACCCTTAGACCACCTGCTAAACAAAAAAGCTCAGGGAGAAGTGCTTTTAGAAAATTTGGATCACACTGCTCAAGTCGTGCTGCCAAGCACAAGTCCCGAAGGACAAGACATTATCAAAAATGATATAAGAGCACTAAGAGAGAGTTTCGATAGGTTATTCAAAGGTACATTTAAGTTTCTATGAAGGTATATTTTGCTTATTTAACGTTTGTTTTAGATCTTAAACAACAAAGAGAACAACTTGAAGTCGTTTTACTGCATTGGCGCGATTACAAAGACGAATACGAAAGGGTATCCGATTGGCTTCAGCAGATTACGATTCTTATTAAAAACCATAAGATTGCTTTATTCCCCACTCTTCAAGAAAAAGAAAAGCAAGTTAAAGACGTTAAAGACATTCTGAAAAGACTCATTGATGGTAAAGATCAAATCGAAAACCTCAACGATTCAGCGAAGATACTACTGAAATCGCCTTTGGAAAGCCACGTTAACAACCAATTGCAGCAACTTAGCTCGCGCTATCAAGTGGAGTTGAATTTGGCCAAGGACGTATTAAAAAAAGTGGAAACCAATCACGAACAACATAACGAGTATGCAAACAATCTGGAAAAAACTCGAGGTTGGATCGACAATGCAAGGGAGCTCATAAGGAATTGCTCGGAAGCAGCCAACAACAAGAGCAAAGACATCTTGCAGTTGCACCTCAACAAAATACAAGACTTGATACAAAAACGGGAAGGAGGACAAAATTTGGTACACGCCACGGTCAACTGCGGCGAGAAGGTAATTAGAAATACCAGGTCCGATGGAAGGGAAGCCATTACGAAGGAAATAAAGGAAATACAGAGCGATTGGGAAAGGATCGTCAAGAAAATGTCCACGGTCAAGGTTCATTTGGAAACTGCATTGCTGCAATGGGCAGATTACGACAGCTCCTACTCGCAATTACAACAATGGATAACCGATCGCGAGGCCAAACTCCAACAAGTTACCGAACAAAAAGTCGTTAAAACCAGAAAGGCAGGTTTAAGCTCGTTGCCGATAGGAGAGAGAAAGGCGACGCTTAGAGAAACCGGCAGCATCGTACAAGATATCGTTTCCTTCGAACCTATGATACAATCTGTAACTTCTAAAGCTGAAGATTTGAAACAAACCTCACCAGCTTCGGAAATATCCTCCAAATACGAAACCCTAACGAAACAAGCACAGGAATTGTATGCCAAGCAAAAAGATACCGTAGATAAACACCAAGCGTTCGTCGATGCTGCTAACAACTTTGTGCAATGGTTACGCGTTGCCAAAGAACGTCTCGGCAAGTGCTCAGAACCGACGGGAGACAAAGAGAGTCTTGGAAGCAAGTTATCTCAACTCAAAGTGCTTCAAAACGAAGTTTCCGAAGGCCAAAAGAAACTGGAAGACGCCTTAGACCAAGGTGACAAGGCCGTACAAGTGGCTGACGAAATGGATAAGGAAATTATCGAGGAAGAGTGCGCTCTGCTTCAAGATGATTACGATAGCTACGTAGAAACGCTTACAAACACCAAAAACCTTCTGGAAATTGGTATTGTCAAGTGGACCGAATACGGAGAACAATATCAGGACGCACTTGAATGGCTATCGCAGACCGAAAAGCTAGTGCAGAACTACAACAAGCTGCAAGACAGTTTGGAGCAGAAACGCGTCGTTTTGGAACAATTCCAGGTTCAGTTGGAACAGTTGTTTGACTGGCAGTCGGAACTTGACAGGCTAAACATGAAAGCTCAAGTGCTGTTGGAAACGTGCGCCGACACCAGAGTGAGCAACGCCATAACACAACTGGGAACAAAGTATAACGCCATTTTATCGCTAGCCAAAGAAGTTATGCGAAGGTTGGAACTGCATTACCAAGAACATCAACAGCATAGCACTTTGTATCAAGAATGCCAAGATTGGGTAGACAGGACAAGGGACAAACTTAACAGTTGCACCGAAATACCAAGCACTTTATCAGAAGTAAACAATAGGCTACAGAGCGTTAAGAACATAAGAACTTCCCTGGAACAGGGGCAAAACAAGTTGAGGTACATTCACGAGCTCAAGGAACGCGTTATAATGAACACCGAACAAACGGGTGCTGCTAAAATACAAGAAGACACGCAAAACTTAAATCACGACATGGAAAAATTGCTTGCGGACGTAAACGAGATTCGTAATAAGTTGCAAAACAGAGCCACGCAGTTGGAGGAAGTCGACAAAATGTACAAACAAATTCTGGACTGGCTGCAAGATCAAGAAGCTCACATTCAATTCGACGAAGGCTTTTTGAATGAACTTAGCGAGAAAAAAGCTAAATTGGAAAAGCTCAAGGCCGTACAAAAAGAAATCGGTACTCACAACGAATTAATTGAAAAACTACAAAACAAAATTAATGAAGACAAATCGTTGAGTTCGAAGGATTACGACGAGGCCTTTAAACGTTACAATACTCTCAAGGAAAAAGTATCGACATCGATTGTCGACTTGGAAGGCGAGGTAGCCGAGCACGACCAGTACAAAAACATGTACAATAAAGCATCCGATTGGATTAAGAACTCTCAACTTAAAATCCAAAATTGCTCGAATATGCAAGACGAAATGGACAAAATTGTCGAAAAAGAATCCACGATTTCAGAAATCGCCCAATCTTTACAAGAATGTGACGATCTGGTTCACAAAACCATCGAAATGAGCATACAAGTTATGAAGACCACGGGCGAAGAGGGAAAAGATACCATCAGGCAAGACATCGATCAGCTTAATATGGACTGGGAAGGTCTGCAGTTGATCTGCAAGGAAACGCAAAAGAATTTGGGCAAATGCAAGGATGCCTGGAAGGACTTTAATGGGAAATACGACGCCATGAAGAAATGGATAGAACAATATCAAGGCACTGTCAACAACATCCAAAAACTAGAAAACAAAAAGCCCGAAGATTTAGAAAAATGCAAAAAAATCCTGAACGAGATTATAGAACAAAAACCTCGAATGGAAGAACTCACGGATGCTTGCGAATCTTTGCTGGAGTTAAGTGCAGTTGGCTGGGTTAGAGATAAAACAGTACAGCTACAAACTGCTTACACGAACCTTTTAACGAACGCACAAAGTTTGGTGTCCAAAGTGGAAAAGAACCTCTCCGATCACACCGAGTTCCTTAAAGCTAAAGCTGAGCTCGAAAAATGGCTAGGCAATGCGCACGAGTCCGTCCAAAACTGTCTTGGAGTCGGTGACGAAAAAGACATCAAAAATAAAATGGAAATCGTACGATCGATCGCTTCGAATCTCAGCGACGGTCAACAATTGTTGAACACTTTGCAGGACGCCTTCGGAAAAGCTATTAACACGTCTCCTGCAGACAAGCAGGATGAACTGCGTGACGATATGACCACTTTAAGAAACAGCTGGGATCAACTCAATATGGATATAACCTCGGTGCAAGCACAATTAAAGGCTTCTTTGGCCAGATGGGAAGAATACAACGACACCAAGAAGAATTTAGAGAAATGGCTGAAAGAAACTGAGAAAACGTTGGCAAAGAAGCCAGACACTAAAGGTGAATTAAGCGAAATGAAGACGCTATTGGAACGTTACAAAAACTTACACACCGAAATCGCCAACAAGCAAGCGGATATTACGAGATTGAATGCCGAATCCAAAGAGTTGAGTTCCTGGGTCAAACAGTCAAGCGTTGGGGACGAAGTAAACAAGCTGCAAGCAAGATATGATAAGCTTAACGTGTTATGCAACTCGCTTAAAGAGGAGGTGGAGAACCAGCTGCACGAGCTCAATTTGTACCAGCAAAAACTGCAGGATACAGAAAAATGGTTACTGCAAATATCCTTCCAGCTTATGGCGCACAATTCCTTGTATATTTCCAATAGAGAGCAAACTGAGGAGCAATTGGCGCAACACGAAGTTTTACTAGATCAAATACAAAAGTACCAAAATACATTGGACGACTTAAAGGCCAAAGGGCGCGGTCAGATTGAAAGGTACGCTTCTAAAACTCCCGGAATTAAGGATACTATAGAAAAACAATTGAATAACGTACAAGACAGCTACAATTCTTTGTTGAATACTGCCATTCAGATTAAGAACAGATTATTGGACTCGCTGGCGAAATTCAAAGAGTACGAAGATACCCTTGAGAGTATCATGCAGAATTTGGACGAACACGAGATTACTGTTATGGAGGAAGTTGAAAGACCCATTGAGAGCCTTATTGATGCCCACAGTCAACTGGAAACGGCAAAGGTAAATAAAACAATTGTTTTAAATTAAACAAATTATAATTTATGCTGTTTTAGATTCTGCATAATAAGCTTCAAAGCGAGAAGTCTCGTTTGGCTTTGGCAGTGCAAGCTTGCGAAGCTGCCACAGCTTCGATCAGTAGACCCAGCAGTCCCAGGGACGCTTTACCACCACCGATACCCATTAAAGAATTAGAATGTAGGACCAGATTAGAAGACCTTATCGATCAGGTGAGTTTTGAATCCATTAACGAAATTTGGTGTTTGATTTTAATATTAAGAATATACAGAATTAATACCATGTAGTTTTGATGATGAAATTAATCAATAACCCATTAACTGTATAATATTTTGTATGTTCTTAGCGGTGTTGTTTTGTTTTTTGTGTTGTTATTGCACGTATTTTTTTGCTTTGCACTAGACAAAGGAGTCACCAACTTCGGAAGCGTCTGATAAGAGACTGAAATTGTTAATGGACCAACTTATGTCGCGTAGAGTTATTAATAAGTTTAACACTCAGATCAATAAGGTAGGTAGCACAGGCAGTTGTGTTTTTGTACGTACGGTAGCTCTAGTCATACAAATACAAATCAATAAAACTATTCTACAACCATCTTTCTCTTAGGTACAATCTCATCTCAGCAATTTGACTTCATCGGTTGCTGAATTTGAAGAGCAAGAAAAGCAGAGAACAGCAATTAAAAATTGGATTTTGGCGCAACGTCAACAAGTAAATGAATGGAAGAATAGGCCGATTAAGTTGCGAGCCGACGCTGCCAAACAAGAACTAAACAGCATGAAGGACTTGCTGACGTCTATTGGTCAAAGAAAGAATCAACTGATCACCGAAATGCCAGCGTATGGCAATGAAAACGACGAGCTCGACGATATGCTTAACAAACTTGAAGAAGACGTAAGCGAGTTGATAGTTCAAAGACAAAACAACCAGGAAGTTATCGACGAATATCGAAATCATGTCCAAGTCGTCAATAATTGGTTCGATAATCTGGCAAAGAGAATCGATGCCGTCGATAAAGGCTCCGGTCTCAATTGCCAACAAAAACAGACCACGATGGGCGAAATACAGGCGGAATTCGATGACCAAGGACCGAAACGCGTCGACGAAGTGAAACGCCTTGCCGCTCAAGTCATCGAGTTTGTGAACAACCTAGACTCCCAACAAGTCGAGGAACAACTGAAATCGATCGAAAGACGTTACAACGACATCTCCAAACGCATGCAGCGCAAAGTGCAAGTATTGGAAATGACAAGGAAAGGCATAGAAGACACTAGAAACGAAATAGAACAAGCGCGGGAATGGGTCAAAGAGAAGTTGGTGTCTTTGCAAAGACCGCAGCCTTTGGGCTTCGAAAGCCGCAAAGCCGAAGATAAACTAACCAGCCTTAAAACCTTACTCAAAGAAGCCGATAATAAGCTAGTCCTTAAAGACACCTTGAGTAAACGCGTAAGCAACATGGTGAACGAGTTGGAGCCCTCAGAGCAAAACCAACTCGAAGCCGCCTTAAAGAATCTCGGCACGGAACAGGAACAGTTGGTCGAGAAGATAAAATCCGAAATCGATCGAATTACAGCCGCGGCCAACACAAGAAGAAACCTCGAAGATAACCTCGAAAAAGCCAAATCCTGGCTTAAAACTAAGAACGCTGAAATCCGCAAGCTAAGTGGTTATTTGCCTCTGAAATCGACTCAAGTCGATAATGAAATATCGCAACACAAAAGCTACGAAGCGCAAATCAAAGAGTTCAATGAGGGCGATCTTAACGACCTCCTGAAACTTGGCAACAGCGTGCTGAAGGAATGCGACGAAAACGATAAGGAACGTCTGCAGCAGCTCTTGCAAGAGGTTAAGGACGAATACGAGCATCTTAAATCGGAATCCTCGCAAAAAATTCAGGCGCTTTCAGATTTGCAACAGGGCCGCAAACAGTTCGAAGGCGAAATTGATGAGTGCATCGATTGGTTGAAGGAAGCCGAGGTTGCCACTTCGTCGGAAATCCGCGCTCCTAACCTGGAGGTGCTGGAAGAACAACTCGCTAAATATCAGAGTCTCGAGGAGGCTTCGAAGAGAGTACAGTCGAACATAGAGAAAATAGTCGAGCAAGGTAAAGCTATACTGCCTACAATAAGCGAGTCGGATAAATTGATTCTCAATGAAATGTTGAGCGATATAAAGGATCGTCACAGAAGAATCGCTAATTTGATACAAGACAGAACAAACGCCCTTAAACAAAATATACAGCAGATTAAGGATAACAAGGCGCGATTGGAAGAAAGCGTGCAATTTGTGCAGGACATCCAAAACCAACTCAAAGAACTCAATAAACCAATTGGTACCAAAGTGGAAGATGTCCAGCAAGTACTCAGCACCTACGAAAGAATTCTTAAGGATTTAAAGGATAACAAAGCCAAATTCGGTGACGTTTCCGGCTCGCCGGAGCTACAGAGCGTTCTGAATATGCAAGACGAACTAATTAAATCAATTGAAGATCAAATAGCCAAACTTAGACAACTCCTGTTACTTAGAGAACAATATTTGGCGCTTATAACCGAAATTATGACTTTCATAACGAAATACACCGAAATAGTGCGGGATATAGAACGGTCCGGGGGTACGATAGAAGAAAAGATTAAAAAGTACGACGACGTCATCGTGAAAATACAAGAATGCGAAGCCATGCTCGCTTCGGCGGCCGACAAAGGACAGCAAATAGCAGCTGACGGGTCCGCACAGGACAGCAACACGATCACGCAACAAATACAGTCGCTGAAGCAGTCCTTGTTGAATTTGAGACGCGCAGTCGAGAAACAAAGGCAAGAACACGAGAACACTGCGGCTGAATACAAAAAATTGGCCGCGGAGCTGGAGGAGATCCTCGATTGGCTCCACGCTAACGAAGCCAACGTCAAGTCGAGACCGTTGTTGAGCAGGGACGTTGACAGTTGCGAAAAGGAGATAACCAAGCATAGAGAGTTGGCTTTGAACGTGAACACGTATTTGGATAAAATAAGGAAGATCCAGGAGGGCAGCAGGCACGATGAAAGCATGCCGGGGGCGTTGCAAGAAAAGCTGTCCGAAGCTAATTCGCTGTTGACATCGTTGCCGCGCGAGTTGGAAGATCGCGGCAAGTATCTGGAAAACAACAAGCAGCTGCGCGAGGCTTACGCCTTGCACAAGCAGAAGTTGTACGACTGGGTGCGCGAGGCGGAAATCCGGCTCGGCAGCCACAAGGACGGCGTCGACTTCGAGAACATCGTCACGGACTTGGAGGAGCACAAGATATTCTTCAGCACGGAGAGCAACGTGCGCGAGCTGGTGTCGCAGACGATTCAGCAGGCCGCCGACAAGATTTGGCCCAGTTTGACTCCTCTGGAGCAAGAAGAGCTCGGCAGGGAGCAACAGCAACACACGCAGGTGCTGAAGAACACCCTCAACTCTGCTAAGTCGCAGCGCGCGCAGCTGGAACAGGACTCAGAGGTTTGGAAGAAGTACTGTCAAGCTCTGGACAAGATCAAGGCGGCCATTGCCAGGACGAAATTCACCGACGAACCGGTCTCCACATTGGCAGGACTGCATTTCAACGTGCAGAAGATAACTCACGCCCTCAACGATATACAGGTTAGTAGAGTTATTTATTTTGCGATTTTGTATCGGAAATGACCTTGACATATTATGTTAATCTTTTGTAGTAAAAAACTACACACTAGATAATTTTATAAATATAGCAATGCGAATAAGTTCTATAAATAACTATGTTATTCTATTCTTGGAAGACATTTTATAGTTAGGTGTTTCTTACGTAGTCTTTTAAGTTCTTCAGACTTTTTCTTAGAAGCACAAACAATATTTGATAAATAATTTGATAATTAATTTTTGGTCTAAAATTTGTTTCTTACATTCTAAAATATGATTTGCCTTTAAAATAAATTTTGACATTTAAAAACTATTTTTTACTCTAAATGTTTTCAAAAATATAATATAATAATTGCTTTACAATTCTTTTTGCATTAAATTTAGTATATCTTTAAAGTCTTCAAAAAACCTACCGTATTCTTAAACTAAAATATTTTTTTCTGACAAGTTTTTGAGCATTGAAGCTAAAATATAAAAATGGTTACTATCAGGAGTGTTACAGTAGGCAAAAAAAATTTTTTGGTAAATTATAAGAGTAAAATGAAACTATAAAGATCATAAGCTTCAAACTTTAAGACTTAGTATTTTTTTTTAAACCCAAAACATCTGTTTCTCTAAAGGTGTGAAGTACCTACTTTATTGAATGCCCCTTTGCGGAGTTATGTTACAGAACTTCTGTATTATTTTGAATATTTTAAGTAAGAATCTTCGCATTTTTTATTGCTTGAAAATATTTTAAAAAGGAGGTTACTTAATACATTTATGATATTTATGATATGGTTGCATAATTAAGGAATCAAATATATTTAAAAAAAAAAATGACGTTGAATAAAATAAACAATTATAACATTGATCTAAAAATACTTAAAATTAATTAATGAATTCCAATAATTACCAAGATTAAATTTGTAAAAATATGTAAAATAATAGCATAAAATTAATATATGCAGAGAAAAAGAATATTTTCTAGGTTAGCCGGCATTTGACCATGCTTTTAAACTACAAAGGTAAACCGCATTGAAAAATGATGTCATACTTTAAATTTAAATAATATTTTATCAGAATTGACATCATATCAGTGGAGTTGCAATCACAAATAAATAAGTATGTCACATAATAAATAAATAAAATCGGTATCATTATTATAAAATTGTCAAAAACGTTAAGTAAGGATAATAATATATTATATTAATCAACAAAAAATCTCCATTAGTTCTAGTTTGTTAATTTCGTGTCTAAAGTACGGATTATAGTGTGTGTGATCGTAACCCTCCCAAAATCTGTAAGCGCGCTACTGAACACCAAGGACGGAATTTGACTTAAAAATTAACAATTTAGTTAATAATATTCCGCTTGTAAGTTAAGTCTGAAATTTAGTCTAGTCCTATTTTTTTTAAGTGCATGTGGTACTTGTGATTTTGTTAATTTTAAATTATTTATTTATTATTTTTGTGATAAGTGACTTAAGGATTTTAATTAGGTACCTACTTAATCAGTTAGTTTACAAAAAGGTGCGTAATTATAACATTTTAATAAATTTTAAAAAATTGGTCATTCACTTTTAAGTTAAAACTTAAATGTCGAAATATAATTAAAATTCAATGTTAAATTTTATGGTTTTATTAAAAGTGTTTGATAAATATTGTGCATAAGTGTCATGGTTTATTTTAAGATTCAGTACAACATTTTTATTCTTAAATATTTAGGTACATATTTTTGAGGATACCTGACCTATGTATTTTAACTCTACTAGGTTATAAATATGTATGACCTTATATTCTAAAAATAGTTTATTTTATTTGATTACAATAAAAGATAAATTTTGTACAAATTCGCTTGTAAAAAAAAATCGCGTGGTATGGTGCGCCGAATAATTTTCCAAAAATAAAAAATTAAATTTGTTAATAATTTTTAAAAAGGTGTATATAAACATTCAATTTTCTAAGTTTCTTCAAGAAACTGTCTTGACCCATTACTGGTATTATTTAAAAAAAATTAACCTTTACCTCGCCAGAGTTTTTGTTTTAAATGCGTTCCATCAACTTCAAATACCGACAAAAGACTACCTGAGCTTATATACTGCCCACGTAAGCCAACAGAGGCGAGATGTAAGAACATCAGGTTCAATTAATTTATGTATTTATAATAATAAGATAATTTAATTTTAACCCAAATTATAAAAATAACAATTGATGTTTTCTCCGCAGAATCAAAAACCCGATCTCGACGTCCTTTTGCATCAGGCTTCGGAAATATCAAAGCAAGCCGACGAGCGAAACCGTCAGCAAATCAAGTCGCAGAGCGAACAGGTGTCAGAAGAGTGGCGCACGTTGGTCAGCGGTTTGGAGTTGCGAAGAGACACCCTAACGCAACTGGCGCAAATCTGGGAATCGTTCGAGGGCCGCTGGCAAAATTTCGAAGGGATACTTTCCGGTCTGGAAGAACGCTCCAAGCACATCGATCAAGTAGTCAGAAACAAGGACCATGTGATTGGCACAGTCAAAAGTGTTGAGGTAAGAACTCAAGTAAAGCACATATTTTACAACCTTAATGTCAATCAAGCTAAGCTAAGTTAAAATAACATGTTAAAATAACATGTTAAAATAACATGTTAAAATAGCATGTTAAAATAACATGTTAAAATAACATGTTAAAATAAGGATTGATTAAAATGCTATAATTATAGCTTAAGCTATGTTATAATGGTGACAAGATAAACCCGACTGTTAGACATTCTAAAAAAACAAAGCTAAAATAATATGTTAAAAGAAACAACCTGAAATAACGACATGTTGAAATAACAAGATAAAACGAAGACAGACTGCAATTTAAATAATAGGCTAAAAATACATGTTAAAATTAGGAGCAGTTAAAATGATAACATGTTAAAATCATAACCTCTAAAATTAAAAACTAATAATAACCTAAAATGTTAAAATAACATGCTAAAATCAAAATAGTTAAAATGATAAAAAAATGTAATTACGATATGTAACCTAAAATGATATGTTAAAATCATACAAGATAAAATACATGTTAAAATAACAAGTTAAAATGATAAAATGCTAAAATTATACAAGAAAAAAATTATAAAAAAATTAAAGACAAACAAAAATGATAACATGTTAAAATAACAAGCTAAAATGTTAAAATGAGAGCTAGAAAACGACAATTTAAGATAAGAACATGCTAAAATCATACGAGCTAAAACAATAAAAATGAATTTAAGGCAAGCTAAAATGATATCATGACAATCTAAAAAAAACTCGAAGCAAAAATAACATGTTAATGAAACACGCTGAAATAACGACATCTTAAAATAACAAGTTAAACTTATAAGAATAAAGACAGTAAGCTAAAATGACGACAGTTTAAATAATAGGCTAAAAATAACATGTTAAAATGACAACATGTTAAAATCATAAACTCTAAAATTAAAAAATAATAATAAGCTAAAATGTTAAAATAACATGCTAAAATCATAAAAGCTAAAATGATAACAAAAATGTAATTACGATAGGTAACCTAAAATGTTAACATGTTAAAATCATACAAGATAAAATACATGTTAAAATAACAAGTAAATTATAAAAAAGTCACCAAAATGACAATAACAATCTAAAATGACGAGCTAAAATGATAAAAAAATTAAAGACAAACAAAAATGATAACATGTTAAAATAACAAGCTAAAATGTTAAAATGAGAGCTAAGAAACGACAATTTTAGATGCTAAAATCATACGAGCTAAAATAATAAAAAATGAATTTAAGGCAAGCTAAAATGATAACATGACAATAAAAAAAACTCGAAGCGAAAATAACATGTTAATGAAACACGCTGAAATAACGACATATTAAAATAACAAGTTAAACTTACAAGCTAAAATGACGGCAGTTTACATAATAGGCTAAAAATAACATGTTAAAATGACAACATGTTAAAATCATATATAAATAAATAATAAAATTAAAAAAAGAAGCAAAATTGTTAAAATAAAATGCTTGAATCATAAGGGCTAAAATGTTTAAAAAAATAAAATTACGACAAGCTGAAATGAAAACATGTTAAAATCCTACGAGCTAAAATATTAACATGTTAAAATAACAAACTAAAAACGCAAGTTAAAATGAAACATGCTAAAATTATACAAGCTAAAATTATAAAAAAATCACAATATACCAAAATGATAACATGTTAAAATAAGAAGCTAAAAAAAAGTTAAAATGACAACATGCTGAAATTAGGTAAAACAAAAATAACAAAAAACCAATATAATAACATGTTAAAATAACAAGCTAAAAAACGACAATATGCTAAGATCATCTAAAATAATGACATGTTAAAATAACAAGCTTACAATACGATAAATCTAAAATGACAACATGCTAAAAGATGACATATTAACAAAGTTAAAATAAACATCAGTTAAAAGAACGATATGTTAAAATAACCTCCTAAAATGATACAAGCTAAAATGACATTTTAAAATAATTGCAATTGTTAATTTTGTTATTTTTTCAGGAGCTGCAATCGGAAGCAGAATCCCTGAAAAGTCACCAAAAAGAAGTCAACGATTTGTCGAATACTGTGCTTATTTTCTTGAAAGAGTGTTCAGCTACTTCAGCTTCAGCTCTCACTGACAAGTTGCAGCAATTGAATCAAAATTACGAAAGGTAAGTTTTTTGAATTTTATTTTATTACATCCTATTTGCATTTTATTTTTAACGAATATGTGTGTAATTGTTACTTTGAGTTTGTACATTTTTATAGGATTTTAAGTACTATTTTTATTACCGATTTAATCATACTCATAAAAGGATTCATACTTTTAGTATTTTTAAGCAATGTTTAAATTTTGCAGTACCTATCTTATTTTATTTTAATTTTTTTACGTCCTAAACAATTGAAACGTATTATATAAAAATATGTTGCGGTTCTTCTACTTTTGGCCGTCTTCCAACATGTTAATCGTACACATATATTTCTGAAGGTACAGGAAGACAAAAATAAATTTTTAAATTAATTCTTTTTACTTGCTAAATGTACCTTTTAAAATATTTAACTGGATATCAAAGCTTGTTTTGAATAAATTAAAAATGCTAATAAAAATAAAAATCAATTTTTTTAACATCCATAAAACCCACTCAGTGAAGTAATACAATCATGTTTCCGGTTTTAAAAAATTACCACATTTTTTTAATAATAAGTGTGATCTAATTTAAACTATTTTGATCTTTAAACCGTTGATAATATCAAATATATCAAATATATTATATTTGGTGTACGAAATAAAATCAAAAATATTTATGATATGGTTTTTATTTTATCAATGAAATCCCTGAAAATGTCAAGGTTACACAGAGGTTTTAATTTCCCTTTTTTGCTTTAAACTACATAGCATAGAATTAATGATATTTAGTCTATTATAATATTATTATTAATACATCTATTTTAGCGTCAAAATAAAAAGACAGATTTACAGTTTTTTTTCGTATTTCCAATATTTAGAGGCACAATGCTCATTTAGCCAGTTCACTTGAGTACAGATTTTATAGACTAATTAACTTAAAAATTACGCGTTTCTTCTAGTTTTTTTTCTCCCACATTATAATTTGGAATGTTTTCTTTCAAAATTCATGCATAAGATTTAATGCGAAAAGAACATATTTATTTTTTTACTTAGTATCGTTTGTCCTTATTCAAAAACAATTATTTAATATAATTGGTATAAAATGAATACAATATTAAATTTTATTACGGTAATAAACAAAGTACTTACATAGTAAATTCATAAGGCATAAATATTTTCAATACTAATGTTATAAATGATAAATAATTATTTAAGGATTTTGTAATATATTTTGTTTTTTTACGATACCTTAATAAAATTAGCAAATCTTTCTATTTTAAACGGTTTTTTCAACACTACCAAAATCTGTGGTCCAAAAGTGGTTAACACAGCTTAAGAAATTTGTTTTGTTTTTTATAAGCATTTAGGGATTTTTTACATAGAAAAGTTGGCAACGCTGATTATCTTAGGAATTCCTCGATATTTTTTGGTTACCTAAATTTACTACATTTGGAAAATCTCTGCCAAAATCAAAAAGTAAACAACCATTAACTAATAGGCGGTCATGCGCCGCGTCTCAAACGCACAGTGAGAAAAATTATCCATTTTATTGTTATTAAATTTAAATTAAATAATTTTATACGAAATCGGCAGTAAAGTAGTCAACAATCGGCAGTAAAGTAAAAGAAATCGGCATTAAAGTAGAAGTTTACCGCCGATTTAATACGAGTATTGTATGCAACCCATTATACATTTTAAGATGTGTCTACTGCTCCTCAGCAGCAACTAAATAATATTAAAAAAAGCACCGTCGCAGAGGGTATTGGACCCTTTCATAAAATGTTGTTTAATAAAAATAATAAGTTAATTTTATTAATTAGATTAAAAAATCGTCGCGGCGGGCAAATATATAATAACCGTTGCAACAAACAGTATACGTAGAAACGTCCTACATTCAAATGACATTTGATTTAATCATCAATATTAATTATTAGTATTATTTAATGTAATTTCGGATAAAATTTAATATGCACCTCGGCATTAAAGTAATTTTTATAACTCACGTGGTTATTTGCCTCGGCAAATGATTTCCACATTCGTGATAAAAAATACGACTTTACTGCCTTGATACATAAATAACTATTGTCAGAAAAGGGAAATCAAAAACACTTAGAACTCATTAATCCCGCCGCATTCGCCATTTTTAAAAGTCAAAATTCGTTCAGTCGTTACACACTTTTAAAAATGGCGAATGCGGCGGGATTAATGAGTTCTAAGGTGCCTTAGGTTTTTAGAAAATCTTGTCATACAAATAACTTTAAACGGATTTGAACCATTGCGACGCAAACACTCGATGAGTTTTACGATTTTAAACTTTTACATTTGTTGCACTGTGCGCCGCGGCGTCGCGCTTTCCCCAAATCTAAACGGGCCCACTTCACAGTAAAACATTCGACTGGATGGTTGAAGAGAGCGATCCCGAGATTCACACTGCCTGGTACCGAGAACACACGCGTGCTTCCTAGTGATCCATTTTGTTTAAACGAGTTTTTCTTTTCTTTTCGAAATATCGCGGATACATTTGCTGAGTCCCCGGTATAATTTTTATTTGACGACGATATCCAAATTGAGTGTTGCGAAGCCACAAAAATAAAGGTGATGAAGTGATGTTCGCTAGTGCGGTGGTTGTGAATTTGTAGACTGACCCAATTTTATTAAAAGCTATTTTTAGATTTTCCTTATTCGCGAAATGCTATGCATAGTTTAGGTTTATTATGTAAACAACATTAATAATGCATCAAAATTTGTTGTTCAACATTATTGACTTAATTGTTAGTCAGGCATCGCCTTCTATATTTATTTTTATACATGCGTTTTCCGTCTAGATCCATTATAATTTTGGCACGACCAAGTATGAGGTCGAGATCAAAAATAGACAAGCGTTTTCCTAACGCTTGCAAAATTTGCCAGTATACACTTAAAAAAACACACACCACGTTCCGCGGAATAATAAATTATTTTATTGTGTTTGTTGTAATTTAAACAACTTTTCTGTTTCAGGCTTCTGACAAGCTTGAAAGAAAAACGCACCAAGTCCTTAAAGGATCTAAGCGACATTGAACGCGCTCTGATCGAAATAGCTCAAAAAAGGCTCCTCCTTAAAGAACTCAGTCAGGAGGTGCAAGATTTTTACATTTACGGTCAAAATCTACAAGAGACCGAATCCAACTTTAACCAGCTTCAAACCAAGGTCAAGTCCGAGGTATTCGAAGCTAAAAACTTGTGCGTCGAGCTGCGAAACAGTTACAATAAGTTTCAGCAGCTCGTACCGTCTGACATCGCTCAAGAGTTGAACCAATTGGAGTTGATTACCGAGTCCATTACGAACGCGATGGAGGAAAAAGACAGGGAGTTCAAAAAAGCCAGGACCACACGCACCGAATACAACAATGACGTCGAGGAAATTCAAGGATGGATCAAAGATGCAGAAATTAAGGTAATCGGCCTTGAGACAAATTCAAACCTTGACCTCTAACCTTTTATTTTTTTAAACGTAACGAATATTTTTATAGTTAACAGCCATTAGTTTATTTTAATATGATCTTGAATCTATTTATAAACTGTTGGGAATTCAATTGTTAAAACTTTTACTATTTAACTGCAGGTACAAGATCGCTCAATCGAACCTCATGTATTCCAAGAATCCCTTCAACAAATCCAATCCGAACTGTCCAACGTTACCGAGAAGATGGAGAAAATCACGAAAAACGGCAAAACCATAATCGAAAATACTCGCGACCCGAAAGAGAAGCAACTCATTCAATCGACAATAAAAGACCTGACCGACCAACTCAACCAAATCAGAACGTGGCTGGAGGAAAAGCGGCAACAGGTCGGCGAAACTTTGGACGCTTGGCAACGTTTCCTCAACCTGTACAAACAGGTCATGCAGTGGGTCCAAGAGAAGAGGGTGTTCTTAAAGGAACCACTCTATATTAGTACTCTGCCGGAGGCCAAACAAAAACTACACGATTACTCCGTATGAAATTTATTGTATTATTATTATATATCATAAATAATTATATGTGTTTTTTAGAATGCTGTTAAAAGCTGCAAGTCAGTAACAAAGAATCTAAGCGATATGGCTAAAGAATTGGAATATATAGGTGGCGTTACCAGCGTTGGAGATCTTCCTCATAAGATGGAAGAGGCGGAGGAATTGAAGACTGAAGTGGAAGCTCAAATTTTAGAGAGGGTAACAGATAATTATAACGTTATAAATATATTTCAATGTTTTATTTTTTAGAACGCTTTACTTCAAGAAACGTCCGAAGAATGGGAACAATGCGAGAAAAAGATGAAGGACGTTCGAGGTTGGATAGAGAAAACTAAAACGGCTCTGGATTCTCAACAGAACAAGAAGAAACCATTGAGGGACCAACATGCGCTTAGAGAGAAAATGCTGGGCGACATACAAATTCAAAAGACGAAGATATCTTTGTCTGTTGAGAAACTTCAGGTACACCCATCGGTAAATAAACATGCGTACACTCGAATAAGTGTTTTCGTTTTTCAGCTTCACTTTAGATCTGGAGTGGGCGGCGATGCCAAGGTGACGCAGTCCGCGAAGGAGCTACTTGCCGAGTTGGACGACTTGAATGGTTCCATCAAGAGCCAGATCGAGCAATTGGAGAACGCCATCAACCAGGTGGACCAGTACCAGTTGGAGGTTCAGCAGCTCCGGCAGCAGATCGTGCAGGTGGAGCAGCAGTTGCGAGCCGCCATGGCTCCGACGTACCTGCCCAACGACCGAGACCAGGCGCTGAAAGAGCAACAGGTAGGAATCAGTGTACTAATGTTTCCGTTTGTTTTTTCTTTTTTTTGTAAAGTTGTTTAACGATTTATTAGAATAGATGGAAGTGGCATGAACTGTAGTGGCGTCATTTAGTCGCCCGATTACAAACAAATACTTAATGCTATTTTAAAAGGCGACTTTAAGTCTTAAAAGCTCATTTTATTGTTCGATGGCAAAGTAAGTATTCCATCATTCATCAAGTCATTAATTCATATAAACTTATTAATAAAGGAACTATCGCTTAACTGTATCTCTTAAAATTGTAGAAAGTAGAGCTAGAGAAATAATAACAGGTGTCGGGAGAAGTTGTCACTAAACCGATTAATGCCAGATCATGCCACGGCCATAGATTCCGCAGTTGCGCACCGCAAATCAGTAGTGGAGCCCATATTTTGAAAATTTATAAAAAATCTTCCATCTGCAATCTTGTCGAAATTTAAATTACGTCACAAATTATTTTTGCTATGGCCACGCTAATATGAACTGTAATCAATGTAAGATAACTGTTGATATTTCATGTGGCCATTGGGAAACATTTTGATGTAGAAGGGCAGTGCAAATGGTGGCTGTAACGTTCATCAAGGTGTTTCCTCTAATAATTAAAAAAATATATATTTTAAATGAACCCCTCCCCCTCTCTGGCAGCTGGGGATTGTGTTTTGTTTTTTGGTTTCGGGCTCTATTTTGTTGCTTTGTTTACGCTATAACCGCTTTTAATTTTGTTTAACTCATCCACACATGCTTGTAGATTATCTATATACTTTTATGTATACGATTTTGTTGCCAGCGTTTACACAGTTTTTCACTTGGTTTTGTGTTCACCTTCTTACTCATTTGCCACCGCACACCATACAAAATTTGTAGTGCTTATTAATAATTAGCATATGGGGTGCGTTTGCTACAATACTGGGACGATCATGAGTCATGCTTACATATATAATTTATACATTGTACATATACAACGGGTGAGCCAGAAAGCGAACACAATCGAGTTACATATGTTTTGCTCATTTTAATTGTTTCTCACGGAGCGTTTTGTTTTTTTTATCATTATTTCTGCTGCATCCTTATCCTGAATCCTTGTGTAGGCGTTGAAGGACCGCGTGCGCACTTTGCAGATGAAAGTGGCGGCTCGTAACGAGCGCGTCAAGTTGATCGTGCAAAGGGGCTCGCCGGACTCGGAGCCGCTGACCACCTAGTACCCACCACCCAAACACGCACCCTAAACACCGATTTCGACCCAAAATTACCCGATTATGACCAACCAAGACGCGCGTTTCAGCCACCATTTTATGCGCGTCCACACAAAACTTATTGCGCTCGTACTGATATATTGCATTGTTGACACGTGAACAGGCGGACATCCGACAACGCATCGCCGTCCTCTGCGGATGCATCAGGCGCGTGGATCCTTACTGCGTCGTAGCGGATCCCGAGCCCTTGCTAGGCGCGTCTTACGCGGACATCGCCGCAGGACGATCTCACTCGCAAGACAGAAGATCCCTGTCACCTGCTCACCCCGCATCCCGAAAACCGGTCTCTGAGACAACAATTAAAACTCACATCACGCACCATACAGAATCGGTGCCTACGATCGTCGAGCCTGTGAAGGAAGTCCAGGCGACGCCCCGTAAAAGTCGTTCGCCCAGAAGAAGAGCCGAAACGCCCCAGATCAAGGTTGAAACCGAGCCGAGCGAAGAAGTCATCCGCATGACTTTGGAGCCATGCGAAAACGAAAATATTTCAGTCACTATGACTACCGTTGACGTTACTAATAAACCGATTCGTTCCGTGTCTCCTTCAAACTACTTAAGGTCCGAAAGTAAAGCGAGAAGTCGCTCCAAGAGTCCCATGTGGAATCCTGGTTCGACTTCTTACGCGGAAATGCTTAGAGGACAATATTTAGAGCATTATCAGCTAGGTCATAATGCATCTGAAATTAACGTTACAATGAAAAATAATCCAAATCAATTAAATAGAGTCGAACAAAGACCAGCTCAATATTCCACGCCTATTGAAGTACCCAAACCTGAACCGCAAGTTGCAATTACAAGCACAAATACACAAATGACTTATTATCCCACTCAGACTATCGAGGAAACGTTACCTCAAATGACATACCAAAACGTACAACAACAAATGAACTATCGCACAGATCAATACATAGACACACAAACCTGGAACCAGTACACGCAACAACAGTACACTTACCAACAATTAGCGCAACAATACAACCAAGCACAGGGCTACTATCAAAACCCGCAGCCAAACATTTTAGACTACATTCAGCCGATTCCAGACATGGTCAGTTTCATTGCAAACAATCAGCAACTAATGGATTCCGGTTTGGGTAATTATCAAACTTCCGTTCAGTATCCTGATATGTACGCGGTAAATCAATCGGTTTATGATAACGCAACGGCTTACTACGGCAACGTGGACCTTCCTACACAGGTTTACGAAAGTAGACAGCAATCTTATGGCGACTTGCCTCAAACCCAACCTGAACCGCAAACAACTCAAGAGGTTATGATTCAAACGCAGCAGCAACCAGCTGAATATTTAGAGAGCGAGAGCGATCAGTTTTCGTACGCGCGAGTTTTGTCTCAGGGACTGGGCAGTGCACCTTTTCAACCATCCAGTACACCGCAAACGCAACCGACCGCACGATACGCTCCCGAACACAAATCTTCGATGCGTGGACCTCGTTCCAAGCATACGGAAGAAACGAGGGAGCACCAAACGCGCAAATCAACAAAGGATAGTCGCAACTCTGCGACGAATCCCAGTGTTGCGGCAAAGCAACACGTTTATAGCAGTAGAAAAGATTATCGAGACAACGAATTTGATAGAGTTCAAAGACCGAAACACCATGGAGAGCCCCGAGGGGGTGGTGTCGACGTTAACGAACGTTTTCCCTATGAACAAGACTTTACTAATAAATCCTATAGTGATGTAGAAAAGTTCCCGAATACAGATAAAAAGATTCGAAAACAAACTAACGAGAATTACGAAATAACGAAACATATCGAGCAAAAGCCTGATAAAAATAAGTCGCATGTTAAGCAAATCAAAGTAACGAAGACTACAGAAACAACAGTCGAACCTGTAATAATCGATAAGAATGTCAAAACAAAACAAATCGTTATCAAAGAAACGAAAACAATGGTAACAGACCAACCAGAAGAAACAATTACTAAAACCAAAGAAGAGTCTTCGCCAGAACCAGAACCAAAACAATCTATCATAGGCAAAGTTATATCCTCAGTCTTTGGCAAAAAGACCAAAAAAGAAATCCATAATGAGCCTTCGGGAAGCCCAAACTCATGGGCTTCTATAGCCAGCAAACCTGCTAAGCCTCAAGAACCTAAACAACCACAGACAAAAACCACCGAAGTTCTAATTATTAAACCTAAAGATAAAAAAACCAAAAGACCAAACATTTCAAATGAATTAATTGCAAACGAATCTAAATTCGATAAACCACAACCATCTACGCAAAGTAAAAATCGCAAGATTCCCGAAGCAGTTGAAACCACCAAACTTGTCACCGCACCAGTACCAGAAACTTTTGAAACAGTAGAAACTGTTACTACCACAGTAACGACTAATTCCTGGGCTAATATCGCCAGTAAAAACGCAAAACCAGAATTACCTAAGGTTGAAGCTCCCAAACAAAAACCCAAACCACTATGGATGACGACACCAATATTTAAAAAATCAGAACCGGAAAAGGAAGATGTAGAAGAACCTCATGATAGCGAGGAAAAGAAATCGAAGAAAAAGAAACATAAGAAGAAGCCTCATGAAAATGTTACGGAGCATAAACCTTCATTTGTTATCAGAGAAGAAATATTGCATATTTCCGATAAGGAGGAGGATGAGCCTGAATATAGGCCACAAGTACCCAAAAAGAAAAAGGGCAAGAAAACTATCACCAAAACAAATTCAAGTGAAACAGAATCAGAAACAACAACTTGGGTAAACAAAACCATGACAACCATCACTACAACAGGTGGAGAACATGAGGACAGTGCAAAATCATCTTCTGATGAGGATAAAAAATCCAAAAAGAAGAAACACAAGAAAGAAACAAAATATGTAGATAACATTAATACTACTGAAGAAATTCTCCAAAAGAAATCTATTGAGCCTAAAGTTACGAAACTTACTGAAACAAGTAGCAAAATTGTAACTCCTGATCAAAATAAGGCATTTATTAACAATGAGAAATTAATTCAAGAAACACTTACTGTATCAACTACAACCAAAACAATTGTTACGGAAATACCATCTACTACTGAAACGATTTCTTGGGCTAATGTTACTGGCAAAAATGCCCAACCAACTACAAATGTGGAAAAAATAGCTGAAAAAGAGGTTAAACCTATTGTTGAAAAAATAGAAACAATAACCTCTGTTGTAACAGAAGAAAAAGCTTTCCCATCAGATGATGAGGTATCCACAGATGACAAATCTAAAAAGAAGAAACGCAGGAAACAACCAAAAGAGGAAGACAACAAACCTGCTTTTACAATTACCGAAGAAATTCTACACATTCCTGATGAAGTTGAAGAATCGCAGAAACCCAAAGCCCCTAAAAGGGAGAAGAAAAAACCTGTTCAACTTAAGGTCACAGAATTTACTGAAACAATTAATAAAATTGTAACTTCTGATCAAAACAAGGCATTTATTGACAATGAAAAATCATGCCAAGATAATGTAATGACTACCACCAAAACAATTGTTACGGAAAAACCGTCTGCTACAGAACCAAATTCTTGGGCTAATATTACAAGCAAAAATGCTACAACTGTGGAAAACATAGTTAAAAAAGAAGTGAAACCTATTGTTGAAAAAATTGAAACTGTTACAACTGTTGTAACAGAAGAACAAGATTCCCCATCTGATGAGGAGATATCCACAGGTAAAAAATCTAAAAAGAAGAAACACAAGAAACATCCAAAAGAGGTGGAAAATAAACCTGAATTTACAATTACCGAAGAAATTCTACACATTCCTGATAAAATTGAAGAACCAGAGAAACCAAAAGTACCTAAAAAACAAAAGGGCAAGAAACCTGGTGATGAACCCAAGATTACCGAATTTATTGAAACAAGTAGTAAAATTGCAACCCCTGATCAAAATAAGGCATTTATTGACAATGAAAAATCAACTCAAGAAACAGTTACGACTGTAACAACTACTAGCAAAACAATTGTTACGGAAATACCATCTACTACTGAAACGATTTCTTGGGCGAATGTTACTAGCAAAAATGCCCAACCCACTAAAACTGTTGAAAAAATAGTTAAAAAAGAGGTAAAACCAACAGTTGAAAAAACAGAAACATTAACCACTGCTGTAACAGAAGAAAAAGATTCCACATCGGATGATGAGGTATCTACAGATAAAAAATCGAAGAAGAAGAAGAAACACAAGAAACAACCAAAAGAGGTAGAAAATAAACCTGAATTTACTATTACCGAAGAAATTCTACACATTCCTGATAAAATTGAAGAACCAAAGAAACCAAAAGTACCTAGACAACAAAAGGGCAAGAAACCTGGTGATGAACCCAAGATTACCGAATTTACTGAAACAAGTAGTAAAATGGATATTCCTGATCAAAATAAGGTATTTATTGACAATGAAAACTCAACTCAAGAAACAGTTACGACTGTAACAACTACCAGCAAAACAATAATTACGGAAATACCATCTAGTACTGAAACGATTTCATGGGCTAATGTGACTAGCAAAAATGCCCAACCCACTAAAACTGTTGAAAAAACAGTTAAAAAAGAGGTAAAACCAACGGTTGAAAAAATAGAAACATTAACCACTGTTGTAACAGAAGAAAAAGATTCCACATCGGATGATGAGGTATCCACAGATAAAAAATCTAAGAAGAAACACAAGAAACAACCAAAAGAGGTAGAAAATAAACCTGAATTTACTATTACCGAAGAAATTCTACACATTCCTGATAAAATTGAACAACCAGAGCAACCAAAAGTACCTAAAAAACAAAAGGGTAAGAAACCTGGTGATGAACACAAGATTACCGAATGTACTGAAACAAGTAGTAAAATGGATACTCCTGATCAAAATAAGGCATTTATTGACAATGAAAGTTTAACTCAAGAAACAGTTACGACTGTAACAACTACCAGCAAGACAATTGTTACGGAAATACCATCTACTACAGAAATGATTTCTTGGGCTAATGTTACTAGCAAAAATGCCCAACCTACTAAAACTGTTGAAGAAATAGTTAAAAAAGAGGTAAAACCAACGGTTGAAAAAATAGAAACATTAACCACTGTTGTAACAGAAGAAAAAGATTCCACATCGGATGATGAGGTATCCACAGATAAAAAATCGAAGAAGAAGAAACACAAGAAACAACCAAAAGAGGTAGAAAATAATCCTGAATTTACTATTACCGAAGAAATTCTACACATTCCTGATAAAATTGAAGAACCAGAGAAACCAAAAGTACCTAAAAAACAAAAGGGCAAGAAATCTGGTGATGAACACAAGATTACCGAATTTACTGAAACAAGTAGTAAAATGGCAACACCTGATCAAAATAAGGCATTTATTGACAATGACAAATCAACTCATGAAACAGTTACGACTGTAACCACTACTAGCAAAACAATTGTTACGGAAATACCATCTACTACAGAAACGATTTCTTGGGCTAATGTTACTAGCAAAAACGCCCAACCTACTAAAACTGTTGAAGATATAGTTAAAAAAGAGGTAAAACCAACTGTTGAAAAAATAGAAACATTAACCACTGTTGTAATAGAAGGAAAAGATTCCACATCGGATGATGAGGTATCCACAGATAAAAAATATAAGAAGAAGAAACACAAGAAACAACCAAAAGGGGTGGAAAATAAACCTGAATTTACTATTACCGAAGAAATTCTACATATTCCTGATAAAATTGAAGAACCCGAGAAACCAAAAGTCTCCAAAAAACAAAAGGGCAAGAAATCTGGTGATGAACCTAAGATTACCGAATTTACTAAAACAAGTAGTAAAATGGATACTCCCGATCAAAATAAGGCATTCATTGAGAATGAAAAGTCAACTCAAGAAACAGTTACGACTGTAACAACTACCAGCAAAACAATTGTTACGGAAATGCCATCTACTACAGAAACGATTTCTTGGGCTAATATTACTAGCAAAAATGTCCCTTCAGATGAGGTATCCACAGAACAACCAAAAGAAGTAGACAACAAACCTGCCTTCAATATTACTGATGAAATCCAAGATATTTCTGAAGTTAAAGAACCTAAAAAACCAAAGGCTCCAGAAAGACAAAGGAAAGACAAAAAACAACCTAGTGAAACTGTTACTAAAACTGTTACAACCACTGAAGACATTCCATTAGAGGCGGGTGAAACAACCAAGAAAACAACTACTACAACAACCGTTACAACAGTAACAAGTCAATCTATGGAAACATTGACAACTAAAAGCAACGGTGTTATCCAAGAAACAACTGTAAAAGAGGGTAATTCTGGTGATGATACCAAACAAATAGTGGGAACAGAAAGGACTGTAATAAACGGAGGTGCTGATAAAAATACGATTGTACTTATAACTCATGAAGAAGTGAGGATGAAGCCTGTGGTTTCCATTAAAATGGAATTTGTACAACCTGAAGTACTGGAAATTGAACGCATAGAAAAGGGACCAACGATAACTGAAACCGTTGTTTCAGAACAAAAGGTTATTAAAGAGGTTAGCGAAAACGGCAGTTTAACAACTGTTACAACTTTAAAGGAAACGTATCCAATTGTGACAGATACTAAAACGATAATAACAACAACCACCACCAGTCCTACTGAAGACGAGGTTGATGTGACTGAGTTTGAGCAAGTTATATTCGGTTCCGTAAAACCAAGACCGGGTCAGAACAAAAATCAAGACTTGGTCATCGAAAACTTATCGAAAGAAGATAAAGCGTATTGCAAACAATTGGAAGAAAAGATGAAGAAAAAGAAGAAACGAGGGGGTTTACCTTTGGAGTTTTTGTTGGAGGACCCGTCAGTTCTAGCTGGTCCTAAGTCAACAGAGGTTGACATAAATGTCACACAGACAATGACAAGATCGGACTCGATTGTTGAATTTGAAGTAAATGATATTCAGGACGTTATGAATGTTTTAGAAACCAAAGACCAACAGAAAATTAAAAGTAAAGGCAAACAATCAGACAGTGAGAGTGATTCAAAGGTTACAACTACTACTGTTACTACTCAAAATGTTGTTGTAGAAGGTAATAAAACGTTCGAATGTAAGCAAGAAACAACAGTAAAAGGTGATTTAGGTGATTTTGTTAAGGTTTTAGATGAAAATAACGTTATTTTAGATGAGGGGGGTAAAGATAGTAATAATAAAAAAGGTAATAAAAAGAACAAAAATAAGCCTGAAACAGCAGATGAAGAAAGTGTTAAACCTAACTTAGATATTCGTAAAAGTGATATTAAGAGTGAAACAACAAAACTAATAGAGAGTGAAAGTACATCACAGGTAACGGAAATTATTGACCAAAATAGGTTAAGTATAATTCAACAAATGATGCAGGAAACTAAACAGAGATATTCATTTAAAGAGGACAAAGAACCTAAAAAAGAACCAGAGCAAGATTCATCAAGCTCCAAGAAGAAAAAGAAGAAGAAACAAAAAACGGTTTCGTTCGAGGAAATACCTCACGTAATTCAATTACCGGAAGTTGAGGCTGTTAAAGATGCAGTAGACGATCAGTGGGTGAATGTTGAACCTGTCAAAGAAGAAAAACCGGCTTACAAAGGTTTACCAATCGATCAGTCCACAAGTATTTTTGACATCCTTGACGAAAAAATTGTTCTTTCAGATGACGAAATCGAGGCTACCGGGTGGGAGCATATTGAACCGGCAGAAATAAGCGGGCAAAAGGTTGACGATCTTTCGGAGTCCTTTGTTAAGATTCCATTGAACAAATCTGCTACTAAAGAAGATTTGTTCGAAAAGGTAGTCGAAAACGAACCAGCATTGGTTATAACGGAAGAGGTTGTAGTTATACCTGAAGAAATGGTCGAAGTATGTAAAAAACCTAAGCTACCAAAATGCGATATAGATACTCTCAAAGAGTTTATTATCAATGAACAGACTGATATTATCGTAAAAGAACAACCGCAAATAATAAAAAAGGTTGAAACTACAGCAACCATTAGTTCTTTGGCAAATATTGCCAGCAAAAATGCACAACCTGAAAAATCAATTATTTCCATTGAAAAATCGGAAGAGAAACCAGAGCCTACACCACGACCAATTGTTGAAATTAAACCTGAGAAGCCAAAAGAAAGTGTAACTATCGTAGAAACAGTTAAGGAAACTGTAGTTGAGCAACCAAAGATAAGTGAAACTATGGAAACAATAGTCACAACGACAAGCTCCTGGGCAAATATTGCTGGTAAAAATGCTCACCCTGAACAGCCCATCATTTCTGCAAAGGAACCTAAAAAATCAAAAGAAGAACCTATTATTGAAGCTAAGATTATAATTGAGCCAAAAATAGAATCAGAATCTGAACCTGAAGACTCTGTTTCTAAGAAATCTAAGAAGAAGAAACACCACAAAAAACATCACGATGAGAAACCAGAAAGTAAACCAGCATTTGTGGTTACTGAGGAAATAACTCATATTTCTGGAGACGATGAGCCTTCGAAATATCAATACCAACCACCTAAGAATGCACCAAGAAAGAAACCAGAGCCTACATCACAACCAATTGATGAAATCAAACCTGAAAAGCTCAAAGAAAGTGTAACTATTGTAGAAACAGTTAAGGAAACTGTGGTTGAGCAACCAAAGATGAGTGAAACTATCGAAACAATAGTCACAACAACCACAAGCTCTTGGGCAAATATTGCTGGCAAAAATGCTCACCCTGAACAGCCCATAATTTCTGTAAAGGAAGCTAAAAAATCAAAAGAAGAATCTATTATTGAAGATAGGGTTGTAATTGAGCCAAAAATAGAATCAGAATCTGATCCTGAAGATTCCGTTTCTAAGAAATCTAAGAAGAAGAAACACCACAAAAAACATCTCGGTGAGAAACTGGAAAGTAAACCAGCATTTGTGGTTACTGAGGAAATTACGCATATTACTGAAGATCAAGAACCTTCTAAATATCAATATCAACCTCCTAAAAATGAACCAAGAAAGAAACCTGAACCTAAAACTGATCCGGAGCCAGTCAAGGATATTAAACCTAAAAAATCCGAAGAAACTGTGTCTATCGTAGAAAGTACATTAGAACAACCTATTGTAATGGAATCTAAAGTTGTTTCTAAACCTGATTTTAACACTCAATTCATTATAAACGAACAAACTACTGTCGACAATAAAACAATTGAAAAGCCCAAAGAAAGTGTAACTATTGTGGAAACAGTTAAGGAAACTGTAGTTGAGCAACCAAAGATAAGTGAAACTATGGAAACAATAGTCACAACGACAAGCTCCTGGGCAAATATTGCTGGTAAAAATGCTCACCCTGAACAGCCCATCATTTCTGCAAAGGAACCTAAAAAATCAAAAGAAGAACCTATTATTGAAGCTAAGATTATAATTGAGCCAAAAATAGAATCAGAATCTGATCCTGAAGATTCCGTTTCTAAGAAATCTAAGAAGAAGAAACACCACAAAAAACATCTCGGTGAGAAACTGGAAAGTAAACCAGCATTTGTGGTTACTGAGGAAATTACGCATATTACTGAAGATCAAGAACCTTCTAAATATCAATATCAACCTCCTAAAAATGAACCAAGAAAGAAACCTGAACCTAAAACTGATCCGGAGCCAGTCAAGGATATTAAACCTAAAAAATCCGAAGAAACTGTGTCTATCGTAGAAAGTACATTAGAACAACCTATTGTAGTGGAATCTAAAGTTGTTTCTAAACCTGATTTTAACTCTCAGTTTATTATAAACGAACAAACTACTGTCGACATTAAAACAATTGAAAAGCCCAAAGAAAGTGTAACTAGTGTAGAAACAGTTAAGGAAACTGTGGTTGAGCAACCAAAGATAAGTGAAACTACGGAAACAATAGTCACAACAACGAAAAGCTCCTGGGCAAGTATTGCTGGTAAAAATGCTCACCCTGAACAGCCCATAATTTCTGCAAAGGAACCTAAAAAATTAAAAGAAGAACCTAGTATTGAAGCTAAGATTGTAATTGAGTCCAAAATAGACTCAGAATCTGAACCTGAAGATTCCGTTTCTAAGAAATCTCAGAAGAAGAAACACCACAAAAAACATCACGATGAGAAACCAGAAAGTAAACCAGCATTTGTAGTTACTGAGGAAATAACTCATATTTCTGGAGACGATGAGCCTTCGAAATATCAATACCAACCACCTAAGAATGCACCAAGAAAGAAACCAGAGGCTAAATCAGAACCAATTGATAAAATTAAACCTGAGATGCCCACAGAACCAATTGATAAAATTAAACCTGAGATGCCCAAAGAAAGTGTAACTATTGTGAAAACAGTTAAGGAAACTGTGGTTGAGCAACCAAAGATAAGTGAAACTACGGAAACAATAGTCACAACAACGACAAGCTCCTGGGCAAATATTGCTGGCAAAAATGCTCACCCTGAACAGCTCATAATTTCTACAAAGGAACCTAAAAAATCAAAAGAAGAACCTATTATTGAAGCTAGGGTTGTAATTGAGCCAAAAATAGAATTAGAATCTGAACATGAAGACCTTATTTCTAAGAAATCTAAGAAGAAGAAACACCACAAAAAACAGCACGATGAGAAACCAGAAAGTAATCCAGCATTTGTAGTTACTGAGGAAATAACTCATATTTCTGGAGAAGCTGAACCTTCGAAATATCAATACCAACCACCTAAGAATGCACCAAGAAAGAAACCAGATCCTAAATCACAACCAATTGATGAAATTAAACCTGAGAAGCCCAAAGAAAGTGTAACTATTGTAGAAACAGTTAAAGAAACTGTGGTTGAGCAACCAAAGATAAGTGAAACTATGGAAACAATAGTTACAACAACTACAAGTTCGTGGGCAAATATTGCTGGCAAAAATGCCCAACCCCAAAGACCTGTGAAACCTCTCGAAGATATTAAAAAGCCTGAGTACAATCCAGTTGTCCAGGCCAAGGTTGACAAACAGCCTAAGACAGAATCGGAATCTGAACATGACGATACGGTTTCTAAAAAATCTAAAAAGAAGAAGCATCACAAAAAACATCACGATGAAAAACCAGAAAATAAACCAGCCTTTGTTATTACAGAAGAAATTAAACAAATACTGGAAGATAATAAACCATCTGAATATGAATTCAAACCGCCTAAAAATAAACATAAAAAGAAACAACAAACTACCACTTTTGTAGAAAAGGAAACTAAAGAACAACAAATTGTAGTGGAGTCTAAAGATGTCGCTAAATCTGACATTAATACTGAATTCATTGTAAATGAAACTACTGTCACTGTTGTAGAACAGCCTAAAATACCTGAAATTACTAAAACAACAGGTACTACAACAAGTTCATGGGCAAATATTGCCGGTAAAAATTCTCAACCTCAACAACCAAAACCTGTGGAAGAATTCAAAAAGCCTGAATCAAAACCAATTGCTCACCCCAAGATTGACACTAAACCAAAGGTAGAATCACCTAAAAAGACCCAGGAAATTGTAACTATTGCAGAAACTGTGGTAGAGCAACCAAAGATAAGTGAAACTATTGAAACAATTGTCACAACAACTACAAGCTCTTGGGCAAACATTGCCGGCAAAAACGCCAAACCTCAACAACCAGCAATAACTCCTGTTGAGATTGTTAAAAAGCCTGTGTACACACCAGTTTTCTTGCCAAAAACTGAGAAACAACCTAAGACAGAATCAGAGTCTGAACAGGATGATGCCGTTTCTAAAAAATCTAAAAAGAAAAAGCATCACAAAAAACATCAGGATGAAAAACCTGAAAGTAAGCCTGCCTTTGTTATAACAGAAGAAATTACGGATATTACTGAAGATCAAAAACCTTCTAAATATGAATATCAACCTCCTAAAAATAAATCAAGAAAGAAACCTGAAGCTAAAACTAAGCCGGAACAAGTCAAGGAAATTAAACCTAAACAACCTGAAGATGTTTCTAAACCTGATTTTAACACTCAATTCATTATAAACGAACAAACTACTGTCTATTCTAAACCAATTGACAAACCTGACACCAAAAAGCCTAAAGAAATTGTTACTGTCACAAAAACCGTGGAAACTATAAAAGAACCTAAATTTACCGAAACTACAGAAACAACAGTTACAACAACGACTTGTTCTTGGGCAAATATTGCCGGCAAAAATGCTCAACCCCAAGAACATATTGCTCCTGTTGAGGATGTTAAAAAGCCTGAGTACACACCAGTTGTTCTGCCTAAGATTGAGAAACAGTTCAAGACAGAATCAGAATTAGAACAAGGCGATACGGTTTCTAAAAAATCTAAAAAGAAGAAACATCACAAAAAACATAATGATGAAAAACCTGAAAGTAAACCTGCCTTTGTTATTACAGAAGAAATTACGCATATTACTAAAGATCAAGAACCTTCTAAATATCAATATCAACCTCCTAAAAATGAAGCGAGAAAGAAACCTGAACCAAAAACTGATCCTGATCCAATCAAGGATATTAAACCTAAAAAATCCGAAGAAACTGTGTCTGTCGTAGAAACTAAATTAGAACAACCTATTGTAGGGGAATCTAAAGTTATCTCTAAACCTGATTTTAACACTCAATTTATTATAAACGAACAAACTACTGTCGACATTAAAACAGTTGAAAAGCCCGACGATAAAAAGCCTAAAGAAATTGGTACTGTCACAAAAACAGTGGAAACTGTAGAACAGCCTAAAGTTACCGAAACTATAGAAACAACAGTCACTACAACGACTTGCTCTTGGGCAAATATTGCTGGCAAAAATGCCCAACCTCAACAACCTATTGCTCCTGTTGAGGATGTTAAAAAGCCTGAGTACACACCAGTTGTTCTGCCTAAGACTGAGAAACAGCCTGAGACAGAATCAGAGTCTGAACAGGATGATGCAGTTTCTAAAAAATCTAAAAAGAAAAAACATCACAAAAAACATCATGATGAAAAACCTGAAAGTAAACCTGCCTTTGTTATTACAGAAGAAATTAAGCATATTACTGAAGATCAAGAACCTTCTAAATATCAATATCAACCTCCTAAAAATGAAGCAAGAAAGATACCTGGACCTAAAACTGATCTTGAACCAGTCAAGGATATTAAACCTAAAAAATCCGAAGAAACTGTGTCTGTCGTAGAAACTAAATTAGAACAACCTATTGTAGTGGAATCTAAACTTGTTTCTAAACCTGATTTTAACACTCAATTTATTATAAACGAACAAACTACTGTCGACATAAAAACAATTGAAAAGCCCGACGATAAAAAGCCTAAAGAAATTGTTACTGTCACAAAAACAGTGGAAACTGTAGAACAACCTAAAGTTACCGAAACTAAAGAAACAACAGTTACAACAACGACTTGTTCTTGGGCAAATGTTGCTGGAAAAAATGCCCAACCTCAACAGCCTATTGCTCCTGTTGAGGATGTTAAAAAGCCTGAGTACACACCAGTTGTTCTGCCTAAGACTGAGAAACAGCCTGAGGCAGAATCAGAGTCTGAACAGGATGATACAGTTTCTAAAAAATCTAAAAAGAAAAAACATCACAAAAAACATCATGATGAAAAACCTGAAAGTAAACCTGCCTTTGTTATTACAGAAGAAATTACGCATATTACTGAAGATCAAGAACCTTCTAAATATCAATATCAACCACCTAAAAATGAAGCAAGAAAGAAACCTGAACCTAAAACTGATCCTGAACCAGTCAAGGATATTAAACCTAAAAAATCCGAAGAAACTGTGTCTGTCGTAGAAACTAAATTAGAACAACCTATTGTAGTGGAATCTAAACTTGTTTCTAAACCTGATTTTAACACTCAATTTATTATAAACGAACAAACTACTGTCGACATTAAAACAATTGAAAAGCCCGACGATAAAAAGCCTAAAGAAATTGTTACTGTCACAAAAACAGTGGAAACTGTAGAACAACCTAAAGTTACCGAAACTAAAGAAACAACAGTTACAACAACGACTTGTTCTTGGGCAAATGTTGCTGGAAAAAATGCCCAACCTCAACAACCTATTGCTCCTGTTGAGGATGTTAAAAAGCCTGAGTACACACCAGTTGTTCTGCCTAAGACTGAGAAACAGCCTGAGATAGAGTCAGAGTCTGAACAGGATGATACAGTTTCTAAAAAATCTAAAAAGAAAAAACATCACAAAAAACATCATGATGAAAAACCTGAAAGTAAACCTGCCTTTGTTATTACAGAAGAAATTACGCATATTGCTGAAGATCAAGAACCTTCTAAATATCAATATCAAGCTCCTAAAAATGAAGCGAGAAAGAAACCTGAACCTAAAACTGATCCTGAACCAGTCAAGGATATTAAACCTATAAAATCCGAAGAAACTGTGTCTGTCGTAGAAACTAAATTAGAACAACCTATTGTAGTGGAGACTAAAGTTGTTTCTAAACCTGATTTTAACACTCAATTCATAATAAATGAACAAACTACTGTCGAAACTAAACCAATTGAAAAGCCCGACGCCAAAAAGCCTAAAGAAATTGTTACTGTAACAAAAACAGTGGAAACTGTAGAACAACCTAAAGTTACCGAAACTAAAGAAACAACAGTTACAACAACGACTTGTTCTTGGGCAAACATTGCTGGCAAAAATGCCCAACCTCAACAACCTATTGCTCCTGTTGAGGATGTTAAAAAGCCTGAGTACACACCAGTTGTTCTGCCTAAGACTGAGAAACAGCCTGAGATAGAGTCAGAGTCTGAACAGGATGATACAGTTTCTAAAAAATCTAAAAAGAAAAAACATCACAAAAAACATCATGATGAAAAACCTGAAAGTAAACCTGCATTTGTTATTACAGAAGAAATTAAGCATATTACTGAAGATCAAGAACCCTCCAAATATCAATATCAACCTCCTAAAAATGAAGCAAGAAAGAAACCTGAACCTAAAAGTGATCCGGAGCCAGTCAAGGATATTAAACCTAAAAAATCCGAAGAAACTGTGTCTGTCGTAGAAACTAAATTAGAACAACCTATTGTAGTGGAATCTAAAGTTGTTTCTAAACCTGATTTTAACACTCAATTTATTATAAACGAACAAACTACTGTCGACATTAAAACAATTGAAAAGCCGGACGCCGCAAAGCCTAAAGAAATTGTTACTGTCACAAAAACAGTGGAAACTGTAGAACAACCTAAAGTTACCGAAACTAAAGAAACAACAGTTACAACAACGACTTCTTCTTGGGCAAATATTGCTGGGAAAAATGCCCAACCTCAACAACCTATTGCTCCTGTTGAGGATGTTAAAAAGCCTGAGTACACACCAGTTGTTCTGCCTAAGACTGAGAAACAGCCTGAGACAGAATCAGAGTCTGAACAGGATGATACAGTTTCTAAAAAATCTAAAAAGAAAAAACATCACAAAAAACATCATGATGAAAAACCTGAAAGTAAACCTGCCTTTGTTATTACAGAAGAAATTACGCATATTGCTGAAGATCAAGAACCTTCTAAATATCAATATCAACCTCCTAAAAATGAAGTAAGAAAGAAACCTGAACCTAAAACTGATACGGAGCCAGTCAAGGATATTAAACCTAAAAAATCCGAAGAAACTAAATTAGAACAACCTATTGTAGTGGAATCTAAAGTTGTTTCTAAACCTGATTTTAACGCTCAATTTATTATAAACGAACAAACTACTGTCGACATTAAAACAATTGAAAAGCCCGACGATAAAAAGCCTAAAGAAATTGTTACTGTCACAAAAACAGTAGAAACTGTAGAACAACCTAAAGTTACCGAAACTAAAGAAACAACAGTTACAACAACGACTTGTTCTTGGGCAAATATTGCTGGCAAAAATGCCCAACCTCAACAACTTATTGCTCCTGTTGAGGATGTTAAAAAGCCTGAGTACACACCAGTTGTTCTGCCTAAGACTGAGAAACAGCCTGAGGCAGAATCAGAGTCTGAACAGGATGATACAGTTTCTAAAAAATCTAAAAAGAAAAAACATCACAAAAAACATCATGATGAAAAACCTGAAAGTAAACCTGCCTTTGTTATTACAGAAGAAATTACGCATATTACTGAAGATCAAGAACCTTCTAAATATCAATATCAACCTCCTAAAAATGAAGCAAGAAAGAAACCTGAACCTAAAACTGATCCTGAACCAGTCAAGGATATTAAACCTAAAAAATCCGAAGAAACTGTGTCTGTCGTAGAAACTAAATTAGAACAACCTATTGTAGTGGAATCTAAGGTTGTTTCTAAACCTGATTTTAACACTCAATTCATAATAAATGAACAAACTACTGTCGAAAGTAAACCAATTGAAAAACCCGACACCAAAAAGCCTAAAGAAATTGTTACTGTAACAAAAACAGTGGAAACTGTAGAACAACCTAAAGTTATCGAAACTAAAGAAACAACAGTTACAACAACGACTTGTTCTTGGGCAAATATTGCTGGCAAAAATGCCCAACCTCAAAAACCTATTGCTCCTGTTGAGGATGTTAAAAAGCCTGAGTACACACCAGTTGTTCTGCCTAAGACTGAGAAACAGCCTGAGGCAGAATCAGAGCCTGAACAGGATGATACAGTTTCTAAAAAATCTAAAAAGAAAAAACATCACAAAAAACATCCTGATGAAAAACCTCAAAGTAAACCTGCATTTGTTATTACAGAAGAAATTACGCATATTACTGAAGATCAAGAACCTTCTAAATATCAATATCAACCTCCTAAAAATGAAGCAAGAAAGAAACCTGAACCTAAAACTGATCCTGAACCAGTCAAGGATATTAAACCTAAAAAATCCGAAGAAACTGTGTCTATCGTAGAAAGTACATTAGAACAACCTATTGTAGTGGAATCTAAAGTTATTTCTAAACCTGATTTTAACACTCAATTCATAATAAATGAACAAACTACTGTCGAAAGTAAACCAATTGAAAAACCCGACACCAAAAAGCCTAAAGAAATTGTTACTGTAACAAAAACAGTGGAAACTGTAGAACAACCTAAAGTTACCGAAACTAAAGAAACAACAGTTACAACAACGACTTGTTCTTGGGCAAACATTGCTGGCAAAAATGCCCAACCTCAACAACCTATTGCTCCTGCTGAGGATGTTAAAAAGCCTGAGTACACACCAGTTGTTCTGCCTAAGACTGAGAAACAGCCTGAGGCAGAATCAGAGTCTGAACAGGATGATACAGTTTCTAAAAAATCTAAAAAGAAGAAACATCACAAAAAACATCCTGATGAAAAACCTCAAAGTAAACCTGCATTTGTTATTACAGAAGAAATTAAGCATATTACTGAAGATCAAGAACCCTCCAAATATCAATATCAACCTCCTAAAAATGAAGCAAGAAAGAAACCTGAACCTAAAAGTGATCCGGAGCCAGTCAAGGATATTAAACCTAAAAAATCCGAAGAAACTGTGTCTGTCGTAGAAACTAAATTAGAACAACCTATTGTAGTGGAATCTAAAGTTGTTTCTAAACCTGATTTTAACACTCAATTTATTATAAACGAACAAACTACTGTCGACATTAAAACAATTGAAAAGCCGGACGCCGCAAAGCCTAAAGAAATTGTTACTGTCACAAAAACAGTGGAAACTGTAGAACAACCTAAAGTTACCGAAACTAAAGAAACAACAGTTACAACAACGACTTCTTCTTGGGCAAATATTGCTGGGAAAAATGCCCAACCTCAACAACCTATTGCTCCTGTTGAGGATGTTAAAAAGCCTGAGTACACACCAGTTGTTCTGCCTAAGACTGAGAAACAGCCTGAGACAGAATCAGAGTCTGAACAGGATGATACAGTTTCTAAAAAATCTAAAAAGAAAAAACATCACAAAAAACATCATGATGAAAAACCTGAAAGTAAACCTGCCTTTGTTATTACAGAAGAAATTACGCATATTGCTGAAGATCAAGAACCTTCTAAATATCAATATCAACCTCCTAAAAATGAAGTAAGAAAGAAACCTGAACCTAAAACTGATACGGAGCCAGTCAAGGATATTAAACCTAAAAAATCCGAAGAAACTAAATTAGAACAACCTATTGTAGTGGAATCTAAAGTTGTTTCTAAACCTGATTTTAACGCTCAATTTATTATAAACGAACAAACTACTGTCGACATTAAAACAATTGAAAAGCCCGACGATAAAAAGCCTAAAGAAATTGTTACTGTCACAAAAACAGTAGAAACTGTAGAACAACCTAAAGTTACCGAAACTAAAGAAACAACAGTTACAACAACGACTTGTTCTTGGGCAAATATTGCTGGCAAAAATGCCCAACCTCAACAACTTATTGCTCCTGTTGAGGATGTTAAAAAGCCTGAGTACACACCAGTTGTTCTGCCTAAGACTGAGAAACAGCCTGAGGCAGAATCAGAGTCTGAACAGGATGATACAGTTTCTAAAAAATCTAAAAAGAAAAAACATCACAAAAAACATCATGATGAAAAACCTGAAAGTAAACCTGCCTTTGTTATTACAGAAGAAATTACGCATATTACTGAAGATCAAGAACCTTCTAAATATCAATATCAACCTCCTAAAAATGAAGCAAGAAAGAAACCTGAACCTAAAACTGATCCTGAACCAGTCAAGGATATTAAACCTAAAAAATCCGAAGAAACTGTGTCTGTCGTAGAAACTAAATTAGAACAACCTATTGTAGTGGAATCTAAGGTTGTTTCTAAACCTGATTTTAACACTCAATTCATAATAAATGAACAAACTACTGTCGAAAGTAAACCAATTGAAAAACCCGACACCAAAAAGCCTAAAGAAATTGTTACTGTAACAAAAACAGTGGAAACTGTAGAACAACCTAAAGTTATCGAAACTAAAGAAACAACAGTTACAACAACGACTTGTTCTTGGGCAAATATTGCTGGCAAAAATGCCCAACCTCAAAAACCTATTGCTCCTGTTGAGGATGTTAAAAAGCCTGAGTACACACCAGTTGTTCTGCCTAAGACTGAGAAACAGCCTGAGACAGAATCAGAGTCTGAACAGGATGATACAGTTTCTAAAAAATCTAAAAAGAAGAAACATCACAAAAAACATCCTGATGAAAAACCTCAAAGTAAACCTGCATTTGTTATTACAGAAGAAATTACGCATATTACTGAAGATCAAGAACCTTCTAAATATCAATATCAACCTCCTAAAAATGAAGCAAGAAAGAAACCTGAACCTAAAACTGATCCTGAACCAGTCAAGGATATTAAACCTAAAAAATCCGAAGAAACTGTGTCTATCGTAGAAAGTACATTAGAACAACCTATTGTAGTGGAATCTAAAGTTATTTCTAAACCTGATTTTAACACTCAATTCATAATAAATGAACAAACTACTGTCGAAAGTAAACCAATTGAAAAACCCGACACCAAAAAGCCTAAAGAAATTGTTACTGTAACAAAAACAGTGGAAACTGTAGAACAACCTAAAGTTATCGAAACTAAAGAAACAACAGTTACAACAACGACTTGTTCTTGGGCAAATATTGCTGGCAAAAATGCCCAACCTCAACAACCTATTGCTCCTGTTGAGGATGTTAAAAAGCCTGAGTACACACCAGTTGTTCTGCCTAAGATTGAGAAACAGTCCAAGACAGAATCAGAATCTGAACAAGACGATACGGTTCCTAAAAAATCTAAAAAGAAAAAACATCACGATGAAAAACCTGAAAGTAAACCTGCTTTTGTTGTTACCGAAGAAATTACGCATATTACTGAAGATCAAGAACCTTCTAAATATCAATATCAACCCCCTAGCAATGAATCAAGAAAGAAACCAGAGAAAGATATTAATACAGATTTTATCGTAACTGAACAAACAACTCAAATTACAACTACCGTACAAAAAACCGATAAGTTGGCTGAATTAAATATGAAAGAAAAAACTCCCGAAGAAACGGAAGAAATTGTTATTATCGTGGATGAAGAAATATTAACTTTATTAAGATACGATATTCTTCAATTGTATAGAGAAGAAGAAATTTATTACATTAATAGGGAACAAGAACAAGATGTGGTATTAGAACAAATTAATCCTGTGGTTATAGATGAGAAATTGCCTTATGATATATTGTCTTTGGAAAACGCCGAAATAAAATGGTATGAAGATAAAGCCAAGCCCGCAGCTACAGATCCTAAAGTAATCGAACCTATAGTAATCGAGGACGAACAAACTGACATTGACATAACAGAACCTAAATCCTTCCTTACACCAACCGCCCCAGAGTTCGTTCCTCAATACCTAACTCAAACGGTCACTGCTACCAAGCCGTCCCAATTCGAAGCTATACTCGAGACCGCGACGGAATTCGTGCCGAAATCCGAACAGTCGCGTCTTAATCCGTTCGCGGCCGAATTCGTGCCGGTATTCGAAGTTAAAACTCCCAGTGAATTGGTGCAACCGAACGTCGAACTTCCGCAAACCTGGATTTACAACGTGGTCGACGAAAACATCGAAATACCGCCCGATCACGCCAGCAACTTGTGGGTGGATCAGATTCTCCACGAACCAGCTCTGGACGAGGAAAGCCTCCTGCCAAAAGACGTGGTTTCAGAGTTAAGTGCAGGCGGTGACGAGATAACGCCTAAAGGCGGGATTTTGTGGGCAAACATAATCGGCTCCAAAAAATCGTCGCCAGTTGAGACTGTCAAGAAGGAACACAAACCTCAACCTGTACCAGAACCTAAAGATAAGAATCGACCAAAACCTAAAGTACCAGAACAACCTAAACCAAAAGTACAAGAATCCAAACCTGAACCTATTTTACAGCCTGTAAACGTTTGGGAAGAATTAAAGAAAGGCGACAAAACTTACGCTGACGTAGTTGCTACGGCAAGCGAACATCCCGTGGAAACCGTTAAAGAAACCGTTACGGTTAAAGTCCAAAAAGTAAAACCAGTTGTTGAAATACGCGTCCATGAATCAGAGCATCAAACCACTGAACCTTTGGTGGAGGTTGACAAAGATGGTTTCATAGTGCCTAAACACGATAAGAAATCACGTTCTAGATCTAGATCTAGATCAACGCAAAAACATACACCTAAAGTAACTTTGTCTGAGGAATCTCCTGATGAAAAACACAAAGAAAAGGAACCGAAGCGCAAGTCTAGAAAACCCGAAGAACCAAAACAACATCATATTCCAGTAATAGTAGTACCACAAGAAGAAGTGATCGAAACTGTGGTAATTGAAGAACAAAATGTATTTATCAGGGACGTAGAGAAGTCAAAAAGCTATGCCGGCATTTTGGGTAGCAGAGAACCATCTCCAAGACCTAAATCTAAAGAACCGGAAACAATTAAATCAGACGAGGAAACCAAAGGATCAATAAAACACAAAAAAAGAGTTGAAAGAGTTTCTTCAGATGACACAGATACTGAAAAATCCAGGACAAAACACAAATCCAGAAAACGTCCTGGACATACTCACAATATAACCGAGTTTGCCACCACAGAAACTAAACCTACAATCGTTCAAGAAACAGTTACTACCACAATAACTGAACCTATAATTTTGCAAGAGACTGTTGAATATCCGAAACCAGAAGATTATAAACCTGCCCCCAACTCCTGGGCCAGTATAGCAAGCAAAAAACCAGAGCCGGTTGTATCAGTCGTAGAACCTAAACCTGTTGCCAAACCAAGAGAGAAAGTGGAAAAACCTAAACCTAAGCCCAAACCCAAAGAGCAAGTTGTAACAGTTACTAAGGAAATACTATCAGAACCTGTTCTTATGACAGAAAACATAGTTCAACAACCTAAAATAACCGAAACTATAGAAACTGTAACAACTTCAAGTTCTTGGGCGAACATAGCCAAGAAAAACGCTAAACCCAATGCTCCAGTCAGAGAAATTTACGAAGTAGAAAAACCGAAACCATTTGAATTTAACATTGTTAAAACGTCGACTGTTAGCGAAGATTCCACAACTGATGATGAAAAGCCCAAGAAAAAGAAACATCATAAGAAGAAGCACCAGGAACCTGTTGCTCAAGAACCAGCATTCGTCATCACAGAACAAATACTGCACATTCCAGATGTTGCAGAAAGTGAGTCTGACGAGCAAACTAAAAAAGAAAAACCTATGAAAAAACCCAAACAGATTAATGAACCAATTATTTCTTCCGATAATGAGGGTATCGAAGAAACTGACGACTTTGTTTTTGTCGATACTAGAAAAGAAACTCCAGCAGAAACAGCGACAGCAGAGTTTATCAACAAAGAATCAATAATAATTGAAGAACAAGAACCACAAACTATTGTCACGACAGATTCCAATGTGATTATTAAAACCACAACTAGTTCCTGGTACACAGATACTCATGAAAATAAAGAACTTATTGAAGTTAAAGAACCACAGGTCGAAATGCCTGAAGAAAGCAAAAAACCAACAGAAAGTTTTACAATAACCGATGTTGAAAAACCTGTTGAAGAAGAGGTTCCCGATAAGAAATCAAAGAAAAAGCATAAAAAGAAACTACATGAAGAACCAATAGAAAACAAACCTGCATTTGTAGTAACCGAAGAAATCAGACTAATTCCTGAAGTAATAGAGAAACCGAAACCAAATGATGTTTCATCGGCTTTTATAAAACAAGAACAAATAACTTTAGCACCAGAAGTTAAAACTGCAGAACAAAAACCAGTTGAAGTTAAAAAGGTTGAATATAAGGGTCTTCCTGTCGATGACAGTACCAATGCCTTTATGGACATTCTGGATGAACCAATGACGTTCTCAGATGATGAAGATAATCAACCAAAAACATCAGAAATCACTACAACTGAAACTACTGTCACCACAAAACCAACATCTGAAATTATAACTACAGTAACCAAAACTACAACTAGTTCTTGGGCTACTATTGCAGGCAAAAATGCTGATCCAGAAGAAGTTAAAACTCATAAACCAGAAACAACTAAGAAAGAAAAAGAAGATATTAAAACTGTAGAATTTCTTGTAAAACCTGCAACGGAAGACGTTTCAGACAAAAAGTCAAAGAAAAAACACAAAAATAAACCCCATGAAGAACCCAAGGATACTAAACCTGCTGTTGTAGTAACAGAAGAAATTCGACAAATTGAAGTAACAAAACAACCAGAAACTATAGAAGTATCAACAACTAAAACTGATAGAATTCCTAAAAAATCAACTGAAATTATTTCAACTGTTACAAAAACAACCAGTTCTTGGGCTACTATTACTGGCAAAAATGCTAAACCAGAAGATTTCGTATCAGAACCTCAAGTCAAAATGCCAAAAGAAAGCAAAAAACCAATAGAAACAGTTTCAATAACCGAAGTTAAACCTGTTGATGAGGTGCCAGATAAGAAAACAAAGAAGAAGCATAAAAAGAAACCACATGAAGAACCAAAAGAAATCAAACCTGCATTTGTAGTAACTGAAGAAATTAGACTAATTCCTGAAGTAATAGAGAAACCAAAACCAAAGGATGTTTCATCTGCTTTTATAGAACAAGAACAAACAATTTTAGCACCAGGAGTTAAAACTCCTGAACAAAAACCAGTTGAAGTTAAAAAGGTTGAATATAAGGGTCTTCCTGTCGATGACAGTACCAACGCCTTTATGGACATTCTGGATGAACCAATGACGTTCTCAGATGATGAAGATAATCAACCAAAAACATCAGAAATCACTACAACTGAAACTACTGTCACCTCCAAACCAACATCTGAAATTATAACTACAGTAACCAAAACTACAACTAGTTCTTGGGCTACTATTGCCGGCAAAAATGCTGAACCAGAAAAAGTTAAAACTGACGAAACAGAAACAACTAAGCAAACAAAAGAAGATATTAAAACTGTCGAATTTGTTGAAAAGCTTGTAAAGGAAGACGTTTTAGACAAAAAATCAAAGAAGAAACACAAAAATAAACCACATGAAGAACCAAAAGATACTAAGCCTGCTTTTGTAGTAACGGAAGAAATTCGACAAATTCCTCATGAAGTAACAAAACAACCAGAAACTATAAAAGTATCAACAACTAAAACTGATAGTATTCCTGAAAAATCAACTGAAATTATTTCAACTGTTACAAAAACAACCAGTTCTTGGGCTACTATTACTGGCAAAAATGCTAAACCAGAAGATTTCGTATCAGAACCTCAAATCAAAATGCCAAAAGAAAGCAAAAAACCAATAGAAACTGTTTCAATAACCGAAGTTAAACCTGTTGATGAAGTCCCAGATAAGAAAACAAAGAAGAAGCATAAAAAGAAACCACATGAAGAACCAAAAGAAATCAAACCTGCATTTGTAGTAACTGAAGAAATTAGACTAATTCCTGAAGTAATAGAGAAACCAAAACCAAAGGATGTTTCATCTGGTTTTATAGAACAAGAACAAACAATTTTAGCACCAGAAGTTAAAACTCCTGAACAAAAACCAGTTGAAGTTAAAAATGTTGAATATAAGGGTCTTCCTGTCGATGACAGTACCAACGCCTTTATGGACATTCTGGATGAACCAATGACGTTCTCAGATGATGAAGATAATCAACCAAAAACATCAGAAATTACTACAACTGAAACTACTGTCACCTCAAAACCAACATCTGAAATTATAACTACAGTAACCAAAACTACAACTAGTTCTTGGGCTACTATTGCCGGCAAAAATGCTGAACCAGAAAAAGTTAAAACCGATGAACCAGATACAACTAAGAAAACAAAAGAAGTAGAGGAAGACGTTTCAGACAAAAAATCAAAGAAAAAACACAAAAATAAACCCCATGAAGAACCAAAGGATACTAAACCTGCTTTTGTAGTAACGGAAGAACTTCGACAAATTCCTCATGAAGTAACAAAACAACCAGAAACTAAAGAAGTATCATCAACTAAAACTGATAGTATTCCTGAAAAATCAACTGAAATTATTTCAACAGTTACAAAAACAACCAGTTCTTGGGCTACTATTGCTGGCCAAAATGCTAAACCAGAAGATTTCGTATCAGAACCTCAAGTCAAAATGCCAAAAGAAAGCAAAAAACCAATAGAAACTGTTTCAATAACCGAAGTTAAACCTGTTGATGAGGTGCCAGATAAGAAAACAAAGAAGAAGCATAAAAAGAAACCACATGAAGAACCAAAAGAAATCAAACCTGCATTTGTAGTAACAGAAGAAAATAGACTAATTCCTGAAGTAATAGAGAAACCAAAACCAACGGATGTTTCATCTGCTTTCATAGAACAGGAACAAATGACTTTAGCACCAGAAATGAAAACACAGGAACAAAAACCAGTTGAGGTTAAAAAGGTTGAGTATAAGGGCCTTCCAGTCGATGACAGTACCAATGCTTTTATGGATATTCTGGATGAACCAATGACGTTCTCAGATGATGAAGATAATAAACCAAAAACATCAGAAATCACTACAACTGAAACTACTGTCACCTCAAAACCAACATCTGGAATTATAACTACAGTAACCAAAACTACAACTAGTTCTTGGGCTACTATTGCCGGCAAAAATGCTGAACCAGAAAAAGTTAAAACCGATGAACCAGATACAACTAAGAAAACAAAAGAAGTAGAGGAAGACGTTTCGGACAAAAAATCAAAGAAAAAACACAAAAATAAACCCCATGAAGAACCAAAGGATACTAAACCTGCTTTTGTAGTAACGGAAGAACTTCGACAAATTCCTCATGAAGTAACAAAACAACCAGAAACTAAAGAAGTAACAACATCTGAAACTGTTCGTATTCCTGAAAAATCGACTGAAATTATTTCAAAAGTTACAAAAACAACCAGTTCTTGGGCTACTATTGCTGGAAAAAATGCCAAACCAGAAGATTTTGTATCACAACCTCAAGTAGAAAAGCCAAAAGAAATTAAAAAAATTACAGGACCTGTTACAGTAACCGAAGTTAAAAAACCTGTTGAAGAAGTGGTGCCCGATAAGAAATCAAAGAAAAAGCATAAAAAGAAACCACATGAAGAACCAACAGAAAACGAACCTGCATTTGTAGTAACCGAAGAAATCAGACTAATTCCTGAAGTTATAGAGAAACCGAAACCAAAGGATGTTTCAACGGCTTTTATAAAACAAGAACAAATAACTTCAGCACAAGAAGTTAAAACTGCTGAAGAAAAACCAGTTGAAATTAAAAAGGTTGAATATAAGGGTCTTCCTGTCGATGACAGTACCAACGCCTTTATGGACATTTTGGATGAACCAATGACGTTCTCAGATGATGAAGATAATCAACCAAAAACATCAGATATCACTACAACTGAAACTACTGTCACCTCAAAACCAACATCTGAAATTATAACTACAGTAACCAAAACTACAACTAGTTCTTGGGCTACTATTGCCGGCAAAAATGCTGAATCAGAAAAAGTTAAAACTGAGGAACCAGACACAACTAAGAAGACACAAGAAGTAGAGGAAGACGTTTTAGAGAAAAAATCAAAGAAGAAACACAAAAATAAACCCCATGAAGAACCAAAGGATACTAAACCTGCTTTTGTTGTGACGGAAGAACTTCGACAAATTCCTCATGAAGTAACAAAACAACCAGAAACTAAAGAAGTATCAACAACTAAAACTGATAGTATTCCTGAAAAATCAACTGAAATTATTTCAACAGTTACAAAAACAACCAGTTCTTGGGCTACTATTGCTGGAAAAAATGCCAAACCAGAAGATTTTGTGTCGCAACCTCAAGTAGAAAAGCCAAAAGAAATTAATAAAATCGCAGGAACTGTTACAATAACCGAAGTTAAAAAACCTGTTGAAGAAGAGGTACCCGATAAGAAATCAAAGAAAAAGCATAAAAAGAAACCACATGAAGAACCAATAGAAAGCAAACCTGCATTTGTGGTAACCGAAGAAATCAGACTAATTCCTGAAGTAATTGAGAAACCAAAACCAAAGGATGTTTCATCGGCTTTTATAAAACAAGAACAAATCACTTTGGCACCAGAAGTAAAAACGCTTGAACAAAAACCAGTTGAAGTTAAAAAGGTTGAATATAAGGGTCTTCCCGTCGATGACAGTACCAACGCCTTTATGGACATTTTGGATGAACCAATGACATTCTCAGATGATGAAGATAATAAACCAAAAACATCAGAAATCACTACAACTGAAACTACTGTCACCTCAAAACCAACATCTGAAATTATAACTACAGTAACCAAAACTACAACTAGTTCTTGGGCTACTATTGCCAGCAAAAATGCTGAATCAGAAAAAGTTAAAACTGAGGAACCAGACACAACTAAGAAGACACAAGAAGTAGAGGAAGACGTTTCAGAGAAAAAATCAAAGAAGAAACACAAAAATAAACCCCATGAAGAACCAAAGGATACTAAACCTGCTTTTGTTGTAACGGAAGAAATCCGACAAATTCCTCATGAAGTAACAAAACAACTAGGAACTAAAGAAGTAACAACAACTGAAACTGTTTGTATTCCTGAAAAATCAACTGAAATTATTTCAACAGTTACAAAAACAACCAGTTCTTGGGCTACTATTGCTGGCAAAAATGCTAAACCAGAAGATTTCGTATCAGAACCTCAAGTCAAAATGCCAAAAGAAAGCAAAACACTAACAGGAACTGTTAGTATAACCGAAGTTGGACCTGTTGATGAAGAGGTGCTAGATAAAAAAACAAAGAAGAAGCATAAAAAGAAACCACATGAAGAACCAAAAGAAATCAAACCTGCATTTGTAGTAACTGAAGAAATTAGACTTATTCCTGAAGTAATTGAGAAACCAAAACCAAAAGATGTTTCATCTGCTTTTATAGAACAAGAACAAAGGACTTTAGCACCAGAAGTAAAAACGCTTGAACAAAAACCAGTTGAAGTTAAAAAGGTTGAATATAAGGGTCTTCCAGTCGATGACAGTACCAACGCCTTTATGGACATTCTGGATGAACCAATGACGTTCTCAGATGATGAAGATAATCAACCAAAAACATCAGATATCACTACAACTGAAACTACTGTCACCTCAAAACCAACATCTGAAATTATAACTACAGTAACCAAAACTACAACTAGTTCTTGGGCTACTATTGCAGGCAAAAATTCTGAACCAGAAGAACTTGTATCAGAACATAAGAAAGATGAACCTAAGGCACCAACAGAAATTATTAAAACTGTCGAAGTGGTTCAAACACCAGTAGAAGAAGTCGTTTTAGACAAAAAAGACAAAAAGAAACCACACGAGGAAACAAACGAAACTAAACCAGTATTTGTAGTCACCGAAGAAATAAGACATATTCCTGGAGTTATAGAAAAATCAAAACCAAAAGATCTTTCTTCTGCTTTTATAGAAGAAGAGCGAATTACTATAGCACCAGAAGTTAAAACTGCAGACCAAAAACCAGTTGAAGTTAAAAAGGTTGAATATAAGGGTCTTCCTGTAGATGACAGTACCAACGCCTTTATGGATATTCTAGATGAACCAATGACGTTCTCAGATGATGAAGATGAAAAAGTGGTATCAGAACTTAAGAAAGATGGATCTAAGCCTCCAACAGAAATCATTAAAACTGTCGAAGTAGTTCAAGCACCAGTAGAAGAAGTTTTAGACAAAAAATCAAAGAAAAAACACAAAAAGAAACCACATGAGGAACCAAAGGAAAGCAAACCTGCTTTTGTAATAACAGAAGAAATCCTACAAATTCCTTGTGAAACCGTTAGTAATCCTGAAAAATCAACTGACATTATTACTACTGTTACAAAAACAACTAGTTCTTGGGCTACAATTGCTGGTAAACATGCTAAACCAGAAGATTTTGTATCAGAACCAAAAGAAACAACAAAAACAGTTGCTGAAAAACCTTTTGAAGAAGAGGTACCAGATAAAAAGTCAAAGAAGAAGCCTACAAAGAAATTATACGAAGAAATTATACCTGCATTTGTAGTAACCGAAGAAATAAAACTGATTCCTGAAGTTACAGAAAAAACAAAACCAAAGGATCTCTCTTATGATTTTATCAAACAAGAACGAATTACTTTAGCACCAGAAGTTAAAACTCCTGCACCAGTTGAAGTTACAAAGGTTGAATATAAGGGCCTTCCTGTCGCTGATAGTACCAATGCATTTATGGACATTCTGGATGAACCAATGACGTTCTCAGATAATGAAGAGGTAGATAGTATACCAAAAACTACTACAGAAATTACCACAACTGAAACTACTGTTACCTCCGAACCAACAACTAAAATAATTACAACAGAAACAAAAACTACAACAAGTTCTTGGGCTACTATTGTTGGTAAAAATGCTAAACCAGAAGAAAAAGGACCCAAAAAATCAAACAAAAAGCAAAAGGAAGAACCAAAAGAAAAGAACCCAGCATTTGTTGTTACAGAAGAAATAAAATTGCCAGCTCAAGCAGCAGTAGAAACAGTCGTTGAGGAAACAATCAAAGAAACTATTCCCTCGCTTAAAACCAAAGAGGAAGTCGGTTCAATTGTTGAAGAGGTTAAACCAGCCAAGAAAATCGAATACAAAGGCCTGCCTATCGACGATACCACAGACATGTTCATGGATCTTCTCGATGAACCGATGGTTATGTGGGATGATGAAACAGATGCTACTATCGTTACTACAGTTACAACTACCACGGCAGAGCCTGAGAAGAAACCAAGAAAATCTCGCGAGCCCAAACAAGGAGACAGAGTTATAGTGCCGGAAAATCCCAACAAATCGCTGCTGAAACCCTGGTTGGGAGATACGTACGCTGAAGTTGCAAAGCGAAGCAGATCCTCATCACCAATGCCAACTCATAAAACGCTGATAACCGAACAAGCAATAAGCCCAGTCGAGCTTGAAAAAGAACTGAAACATCTTGAAAAACCGGCTGAAGTTACTATGACGAGGGAAGTAACCGTAGAACAAATACCAACTGCCAATGAAAGCAAACAAACCATAACTAGTTGCGCAACGATTGTGCAAGTTAAAACGGAATATTTGCCAACACATGAAATTACAATCACTAAAACATCGAATATAGATCCGATTGTAACAACTGAGGTTCATAAATCGAATAAAACAGTTAAGAAGGATTTAAGCAAAATCAATGTGGACACTGTGATAACCAAAACCACAACAACCAAGAGTTATAATCCATTTGAGGAGGAACCAGTCGAAACACCTGCAAATCCATTTGACGAAGACGAAAAAGTATCGACAGCTGAAGAAGTTTTGGTAACGTCCGATGAACACGACGGAGACAAAAAGAAGAAGAAGAAAGGTATCTTTAAAATGTTCAAAAAAGACAAGAAGGATAAGAAGAAGAAGGATCCAGTCGATTCTGGTTCGCTTATTTCCGAACAAACTGTAACGTCTGTGGAGTCGAACCAAGTTGATGAGTTTGTCGAAGGTGAAAAAAACGTGGAAAAACGCGGTAGTTTTATAAGCAAAATGATTTCGAAGGTAAAGAAGGGTAAAAAGGATAGGAATGCGACCGATGACGAAGGTACTGATACGGAAAAGTCATCGAAAAAATCGAAGAAAAAGGACAAGAAGAAAGAAGAGGAGTTAACTCCTGCCGAAGAAAGCAAACTTTTTAGTGAAAAAATGGATAAAAAGTCGAGCGTTATTTCAACGATTGTAACCAAGATTTCGGAGGTATTTAGTCCGAAGAAGTCTAGGAAGGATTCCTTGTCGTCGGACGAGGAACTCGGCCATAACATATCTTTGGAAGACAATGTGTGGATCGCCAAATGCATCTACGACGACGCGGAGGATTTGTACCATGAGAAACTTGCGGAAGAAAAAAAAAAGGGAAGATCGGACGGCGGTAAGCCAAGTGAAAGTGACGGCAACGATCGCGGCGACGGCGGCGGCGGCGGTTCCGGCGGGGACCGCCCGGACAAACCGGACAAACCGGACGACGGTTTCGGTAGACCGAGCGCCAACGGCAGCAACTACATGATCTATTCGTTACCGGGTAGAATAGCGGGTTGGAAGGACAAAAGCACCTACTTGTCGTCCGAGCCTCTGGTAGCATCAAATGCTCCCAACGAGGACAAACATTTGCGCGCGGCTCAAAGACTTTCCGAAAGCATGGCCGAAGACGTGATATCAGACCCTATAACCCCAACCCCCCAACAACCTTACAATCCTTCTCTAGGGCCCCACAAGCAGCCATCAACACCAGGTCCCCTCACCGACGACGAGAAGCAGCTCAAGAAGGTGAAATTTTGTGTTGTTAGGGATTGCCGAGTTTTTTGCATGCTGATCACTAACATTGCTTTTATTGTCGTTTTATGTTTATGTAAAGATGTTAATGTATGGCTGTGATTTTACTAATAAATTATTTAATTCTATAATTGTTTTCGGTGGTGGCTATTTTTTGTACATAAGGCTTTTTTATATTTTATATTTATAGGTAAGTTGTTTGGTTGAAGACATGCTCTAGGTTAAAGAAAATATACCACTGTGTTGAGTTCAAGAAGGTCCTTATTATTGGTCATAGTTTTAACAAATAGGTTTTAAAAATACATTTTAATGAGGATTTTTATATTCATCCAGTAATGTTTCTTCTTTAATTAAAACTCATCATTAACATTGTTCATTTTATCAAGAATGCCAGTAACCCACTTATTTAATCCAAAAATTAATTGTTTTATCTTTAATCGGTCTATAGTTTAAAGATTATTGTTGTCAACATTTGTTAACAAAGTGATTGATTATAGCATATATAAACAAATATTAGAAATATTTCCCAACACCACCTAACATATCAGTGGTTCTTTTTTTTGTATGTACTTAAACATGATTTAGACCAATAGGGTTAGGTTTTTACAGCCTAGGAAGTAAAAATTCATTATTTACCACTTTGGGCCAATACAAAAATTGCACTTCTATCAAATCGATCTAACCTCATAATTATTGTACCTACAGTGTGACCCATTTGTTTGCGACTCACCCCTGTAAAATCTTTATTTATTGTGCGATTTTAACCGGATTTGTTTTAAAGTGTAGATCTTGATAAACTGTATTTTTGGAGCAAAAAACGCCATATTAATACAAAATACAAGGCCTACTATGTCAGTTTTTAAGAATAAATTTTTAAGAATTCATATTAGCGATTTTTTTAAACAAAATATAAGCACGGCACTGGATTCAACACCCCTCAAAACTATCCTATACTAAATTTTATAAAAAATTTTAAGAAAAAAAATGCACAAAAATATCTACAAAAATTTATTCTGTCAAGTTATCCATGAAAAAAACATTGAAACAAAATTAAACTAATATTAACATGGTACTATTACTATAAGTTTAATTTTATTTCATTGTTTTTTCATGGATAACTTGACAAAATAAATTTTTGTAGTTATTATTCTGCATTTTTTTTCTTAAAATTTTTTAATAAAATTTAGTTTAGGGTAGTTTTGAGAGGTGGTGAATCCAGTGCCGTGCTTAGATTTTGTTTAAAAAAATCGCTAATATGAATTCTTAAAAATTTACTCTTAAAAACTGACATAGTAGGCCTTGTATTTTGTAAAAATATGGCGTTTTTTGCTTCAAAAATACAATTTATCAATATCTACAGTTTAAAACAAATCCGGTTAAAATAAATAAAGATTTTACAGGGGTGAGTCGCAAACAAATGGGTCTCACACTGTATGTTTTATGTATGGTTTCGGCCAAGAAGTGTCGTCAAACTTTGGGCCTAACTCTAAAAGACTTCCTTCTTGACCTAATAATATAAATAACTATTTTAGGTCTAATTATAAAAATGCATGTGCTTTCAAATTTTTTATATACAAAGTTCTTAGCTTCCAATATTTGACTTTCTGACTTTTCCGCAGGATATAACTGAAAATGTGGATTCTCTGCAAAAAGCTCTACAATCTACCGAAACCAATATAGAAGATCTACCATCTGAAGGATATGATCAAATGATATTAGCTTTGGAGGTAAGATTAGTGACTTTTTATGTTTCAAAGAAATATTTTGGTGGTGGTCTTTTACTTTGTAGTTTTCGTTTATTTTGAGAAAATCGTATGAGGTAATTTCAATTTGTGTTGACATTTAGGTTAGGAAGACGATAATTAATATTTTTGGCAAAGGTGCAAAAGAAAATGTTAAACAAGCCTCATAAACTATATTCAATTAAGCATGACTTCATTTCTTAAATATTTTATAGTAGTTTCGAAAATATCTTTTTTTAATATAATTTTATAATATTAATTTTGCAAAAGACTTTGGAATCACCCATACATTGTAAATTTTAAAAATACCAAACAGGTATTGAAAAAGTAATGTTTGGTGTATAAATAGAGATTGTGGAATAAATAGTATAAAATTTGCCAAAACTAAAGCGGAGGTCACCCGTAAAAATAACAGATGATGTCATATCTTGTTAAGGAAATAAATAATCAAAAACATTGACTTGAGGCATTTCTATTCAAAAAATGTTTGTTGAAACGATTACAATTATGATTAATATTTAGCAGGTTGATTTGGTCATTGTAAAAATATGTTTAAACAACATTGAGATTGTAATATAATCATGATTATATTACAATGCATTGTTAATTTGAATAAATTAATAGTTAAAAGGATACTAGTCAGGGACCCGGACCCAAATGAAATAACGGTTCCGGTCCGGTTCCGGTTCCGAGAGAAATGACAAATTTCGGTTCAGGTTCAGTTACGGTTCCAAAAAAAATATTTCGGTCCGGTCCGGACCAATCTTTTCGGTCCATACGGTTTTTTTCGGTTCCAATTTTTTTACTAGGTGTAAATAAGTACTTAAATTATAAAATGAAAAGTTTATTAATTTTTTTTATTTTCTTTTTGCAAGTAATTAAATAAAGTATTACTTTGTCCCTTCTTATTTTTTAAATGAGGTTCTCTAATTTTAGGGTCTTCATTCTCTTCTTTATTTTTATTATCGATCGGCTGGCTTTCTTTATTTTTTTCTTCTGATCTTGTGATTGAGAAACTAGAAAATTTATAATTAAAATAAGTTATATAAAAATAAAAAAAACTAAACTTAGAGCTTTTGTTCTTCTTTTTGATGGGCTGGGTTAGTTGTTTTTCGTCCCATTTTAACCAAGTTTGAACATAGAGAATGGCTTAGAAAACCCCAAAGAAGCACATACATATAAAAGATGGTCGTTCATTTCTTACAAAATGGCGCGTCTTTCAATTACTTGTATGGACATTTTTCACATACTTCGATGCTGCCATCTGTAGGCAATTTCACTAACATGTCATTGACATGATGTTAGTCATAGTTGTTTTGCATTGTTGCCAAAATAATCAAAAATTATTTGGTTAAAAAAATTTTTTTTTAAATTTTTGCAAAAAGAATTTAAGAAAAAAACCGAAAATAACCTAAAAAACCGTTTTAAATTTAAAGGGTTTCGGTTCGGTCTCTAGACTTGCATTTAAAAATAATATGGGTTCGGTTACGGTTCCGGTCCACAAATATATATCGGTTTCGGTCCGGTTTTCTGTCCAAAAACGGTCCGGTCCGGGTCCCTGATACTAGTACATAGATGAAATAAAAACCAAACAATAAAATATTTTTTTAGGAATTAAATTACTGCAAAATGTTGTTCTTTGACCATTGTAATGTTGTAATATAAATAACGTAAAATAATCCACCAAAAAATTATATCCCGGTATCATTTTCCTTAAAACTCAATTTTTGACATGTGTCATTTTCACAACACTTCTTCTATATATAGATAATTGCGTAAGCATCATCATCTCGGATCAGCTGTGCGATTTAACTTGTTAATGGGTTTTTTGACCTACATTTGACATATGCCGCATCTGCACAATTTAAACCAAAATTGCCAAACCCCGAAAAACAACAACTTTAAAAAAATAAATAAATGTTTGAAAGTTTGATTGGGGGAGGCTGTGTACGCCCGTCATCGCCATAAACAAAACACAAACGATGACTTCAGCAGCCAAGATAATCGTGGTTAGCCTTGCCTTGGCCAGTACAACGCCGACCGCGTTAGAATCAGTATAACTTTTTCGATTTTGTGTACTATTAGTTTAACACTTTTTAGTAATTTTTATACGCGTTCTTTTGAGTTTTTTCGTCATTAAGTGTGCTACAAAATAAGGTACAGGTCTATAACAAAAACAATTATAAGATTTTTTTTTTCGGTCAAATTTAATTTTGAAATGTACTATAGTTTTTTGTTTATTTCTATAAAATTTAGGGTTTTGGGGGCACATGATGGAAAAAATAATATTTTGAAATTAATTTATATTTATGTGATTTTTTATATAATATAAAAAAAAATTGAAAAATAACTTTTTTGTCTTAATGGTAGGTATATTATGTATCAAGTTTTATAAACGAAATTTTAGTTACGAGTTTTATTAGGCACGAGCGAAGCTTGCGAGCGAGTGTTTAATAAAAACGAGTGTCTGGAGAATTTTATAAAACGAGTTGCATACTATACTCTATCTACGACAAACAGAAATAAGAATTTAAAGCCAATTTTAATTTATAAATATTTGACATTTGACAAATTTAACCTGACTTTTTAGCAATTTATAATAAAGCTAACTTCAGCCCGTGACTAAAATGCCCAAAAGCCACTGTTGTTCACTTCAGCCCGTGACTAAAACACCATAAAGTCACAGCTCTTCAATGTAGGAGTCTCATTTAATGATTTTCCTTCTTATATTTTTTTCTTAAAAAAGTTATAATTTATTTCTGTTCTTATCAACTTTCTCAGGAAATCAAATTTAAACCAACATTACATAATATTTATTCTTAATATAGTAATATATAATTGCACTTTTATTTATTTATTTGGCAATAATATATCTAATAAAAATGTTTGCCAGAAATTCACGTTCAAGGTTACATACCAAAAATAAAAATGAACTTAAGTTCAAATTTGCATTTATTTTATTGAAATTCTTTGAAAATTGCTCATAGATATCAGTTAAAATGTTCAATACTTGAATCATCGCCAATATAACATATTTTATTATCGATTTTTAGTAGATGTAAATTACACAGGTTTACAAAAATAAACCGACCTAAGAATTGCTCCATCAGGTCAAGTTTTTAAGAAATTATATCCCAAAAGTGTATAGATTTAATTAATAAGCGGTTTTTATTTTAGCACATCACTGGGGAACTCAAGAAGCATGCGGCAGAGGCCATCCGCTTGGAAGGGCTCATCATAGTTCTGACTGCAGATCATGAGGCTCAGACGTTGGCAGCTCTTTTGGCAGGAATACGGACCAGGATTGCCAGCCTGCTGTCGCAAGCCGAAAACGGAAGGATTCTAATAAAGGTAAGGCAACAATCGATTGCATTAGTCGGTATATTTAGCCGGCGTCTTATAATAAATTGACTTCTAAAGCATGTGAATGCTCGGAATGGCGGAAGACTAAAATATAAATACGCCGCCGCATTGCTGACAGGTGCATGATCTTTATTTAAAGGTTGGCTCGATTATAATTAGTTTTGTTTTTTTTGTTGCAGAATGCTCAGCAATTGCATTTGAAGAAACAGCAGGAGGTTCATCAATACGAAATTTTGCTGACCGATATCGAGGTCTGGTTGATAACGTTTAAGAAAACCATCGACAGTTTCGTAGCACCAAATAGTGAATCGCAAGTGCAATTATCCCTAAGTGAAACTGAAAGACTTCTTAGAGAACTTCACGATAAAGAAAACAGACTTAAAGAGTTAGCGGCAGTGTGCGAAGAGTTCAACAAACATTCAGATTTAAAAACGTACGTGGAACCGTTATTGCAACAACTTCACACTATAACGTTGATTATAATCCAACAAAAAACCGTCATCACCACGAGGATAGAAACTTTGAGGATACAACTCATCGAACTCAAAGAAAAGGAGGATTTGTCTCTGGAGAACACTTTGGACTCCAGTTCTATGCCCATAGAGGAAACACCCGTGCAAGGTGTTCACATAGAAACGCAAACCGGCAGAAGCTTATCCTCACCTGCACCTGCACCTCAGCAAACCACAAAAGACTTTAGTGTTACTTATAACGTACCAGTAGACGCGCAAATTCAAGCAGAACTTTCTAGAAGTTCCGCCGAAGAACCTTTGGCCCGACAAAAGGAAACGATCACAATTTCGAAGAGTGTACTGGGTGGACAAGAAACCATACAAATAGCGACCATTCCGATGGCGGAACCACAGCCCATAATCGAGGAACCCGATGACGACATCACCGTGGAGGCCAACTACAGGAAAGAACCGGACACAGACAACCGCATCACGGAACTTAGTATTGTAAACGCAAAGGCAAACCAACCATTCGAAACGGTATTCGTGGAGCCCGATGAAACCACCACCGAGGTCATAGTGGACGCAGATGGTACCAAGAGAATCATCGTCAAGAAACTCCACAGAACCGTGGTGCGTCATCAAGAGTCCCATCGACAACAACAGCACTTTACCACGCTTAGCACCATCGAAGGTGACGTCCCGGTAACCCAGTCGTTCTCGCAGGTTACCTTGAAGGGACAGCAAAGCAGCACGACCGTGGCGAGCGGCGATGGCAAGTCGGCCACCCTGACCAGCCAACAGTACGGCGGCAAAATCGTATCCGGAGCACCTGGTGGCGAAATCAATGTACAAGAGTTCCAGTCGGAGCCCGAATCGCACTACACCTACGTTGGTGGTGCCATAAGGCCCGACGAGGTTGAAGTCCAAGGTATCAAACTACACGAAGGCGATATCACCTTGGTGGATAATCAAAGCAACAAATTAGTGCCCGTTGGTGAAGGCAACATAACCTATGAAGGCAACGAAATTCATACATCCAGCTCGAGTGTAAGAGCTGTTGTGCAACAGGTCACGCGAAGAATCATCCGTAAAACCCGAAGAATCATTCGCAAAACCGTCGTTATTGATGGCAAGGAACACGTGACCGAAGAAATCGTCGAGGAACCGGAAGAAATTGAGGTTACGGAAGAAGGAATACCCAGAGTCAGCATTAACGTAACGAGAACAGAGGATGGGCGTGTGGTTGAAGAACCAATAGTTATACCACAAGAGCCGACAGTGAAAGTGCAGGAAACTACTATAACTCAAGAACCAGAAACTGAGAGGTACGTTGTAGAACAGCCCATAGCACTTCCAGTTGACACTGCACCAAATAAGGTCGTCATCGACTTCCTAGATAACGAACGGCTTGTAACGAGTAGCATTGATAGTAGTACAGTTGTTAAAGCACCTAGTGGCTCCTCCACACCTCCAAATAAAAAGGAGAGAAAGAAAAAGAAAGACAAAAAGACTCCCGATGACGAGTCTGTAAGTAGTACTGAAGCTGATAAAGTTGTTTCTGTTACTGTAGTCGAAACGACCAGCCCTCCTACTAAGGAGCAAAAATTCCCGTCACCAGTATCCGAGAAAACATATACAATAGAAGAACCAAAGGAAAAGATCACTGTTGTGGGAAAGACGCCAAAACAATCACCTGTTGAGACAGCCTCAATTACAAAAACCACTACAGTTATTAAAACTCCAGAGCAAATAGAAACAGTGACAATTTCACCAGAAAAAAAAGAGTCGCCAGTAGAAACCACCATTACAAAAACCACAACTGTAATCCAATCCCCAAAACAACAAGAGAAAGTATCCCCAACCGAACCTACCACAGCTACCGAGATAATTGAAACTACATCAAAATCACCTATTGCAGAAACAATAACAACTAAAACAACAATTGTTTCTTCTAATGATAAACCTAAGGATACTGTATTAAAGCAACAAACTATAGACTTATTGGAAGCGGAGAAAAAGCCAGAAAAACTGGAGCTACAAACAATATCGAAAATATACAAACAAGAACCAGAAGAAAGTAAAACTAAAACACCTGATGTTCCTAAAACGCCTACTCAAGCAGTTACAGAGGTAACCACAGTAACTACAAAGGTATTTAAATCTGAAACACCTAAAGAGGAGCCCAAACTTAAGAGTGTTACACCTGATGTCTCTAAAACTCCTAAAGATGAATCAAAATCTGTCTCTCCCACAAAATCTGAAACTCCTAAAGAAGAACCAAAATCCGAAAGGACAACTCCAGTGCCCAGTGCCCCTCCAGAAGGCGATGTGTCTCCAAAAATGAGTTCGTTGACTCAAAATTTTATCTTAACCGAACAACTACACGATCCTACTTCACCAGTGGCGGCGAAATCGCCGGAAGAATCCGCTGAATCACCAAAAGGTAAAAAGAAACGTAAATTTTCGTCTTCCAAGAAAAAACTGTCACCGGGTACGCCAAGATCGCAGAGCCCTGTAGACGATGCCCAAGCAGAAAATATTGTCGTCGAGGAAACTAAAATTATCACCTCAAAGACTGTCGATCCACAGCAAGGATATGAAATTGATTTGACTTTGGAAGAAACGCAAAAAATGTCCGATATACCGAAACTAGAAAAGACTGTTGAAATCGAAAAGCCACTAGGCACTGCTCAGACTGTAGAAATCGAATTATCCCTCGAAGAAAAGCAGAAGAACCGCGATATCAAGACACCGAAAGTAGCAGTATCGATGAAAATCGAGGAAGATCTTAATAAGACCGCAGAAATACTGCAAAAAGACATCAACGTGCAGCTACCAAGGGAAACAATTGAAGCTTCATCGCCGATTGTTCCAAAACACGAGGAGGAACCGGCTACTCCAAGCGACTTTAGCGGTCGAAGTAGTAAAAAGAAAAAGAAACACAAACCACCCAGTCGAACACCAACCGAAGAAAAATCATCTTCCATGGAAATAGACATCCCAGAAGACTCGCATGTCTCAGAAGAAACGCCAAAGCCATCCCAGGACATTTTTGAACCGGTCACTGACTCCGAAGAAGGCGATTCAGAGAAAGGATACGAAGCCGAAAGAACAACGGTAGACGAAAGCCTCGCCGACGATGACGACCAAGACAAAAAGAAACGACGCAAGAAGAAACGCAAGCAGAAGATCAAGGTTAAAGAAAGCGAAGATTCTCAGGTACCACAATCCATAACGGATTCATCACCAATCGGCGATTCTGTGGCCTTCACCGATGACGAACCGTCACAGCCGAAACCTACGGAAGAGCCTAAGAAGTCCAAAAAACGCAAGTCCAAGGGCAAACGCAAACAATCTGAGAGCGAGCAAGAAATGGAATCTGAAACAATTCAGGAAGCCAAAGATGAGGAAATACAATCTCCCAACGAATCCTACCATACAATTTCTACTCAATCTGAACCAGGCACTGTCAAAGTAATCGAAGAACAAATGATTACGTCACCTACTGAATCACCAAGAGTCATAACCTCGGAAATAGTCACCACCGTGCCTGTGCTTGAAGGGGTTATAACCCAAGAAAACATCGTACAAACTTCTCCGGTGAATATTACCGCCGATTTTATCGCAAACGAAAAAGCATTGGAAAAACCACAGGGACACGAAACTTCAGCGCAAACTTCACCTGAAGTACCCAAGGAAACCTTAGAAACATCGATACAAACATCGGAGGAAGTCGTGATAAAACCCGAGACCGCAGAAAGTACCACTCAAATTGAATTGACAACGTCCGAAACACTAACACAGACAACACCGCCTAAATCGCCAGAAGAAAAAGTAACAGTCGAGACTAAAGACAAATCATCGTCGCCAATAAAAACCAAGGTGACCGAAGTTGCTACGGCTACAACACCAAAAACTATAAGCCCTGAAGTTCCCAAGGAGGAAAGACCAAAATCTGAAATGTCCATGCAAACCACCGTAATTACTACTGAAGAAGTGAGCATGCAGACCAAGTCGCCTGAAGTTGTCGAAACTACTGAAATATCAACGCAAATGCAACCTGAAGTCAACGATCAACAGACGTCGCCCAAATCAATGACTCCTGTTGTAACTTCTCCTGAACCCTCCGCTTCTTCAGAACCAATTTCTTCAACACCTAAAGAAGAATTGCCCATACCAGAACCTTCTCCTGTTGTAACTTCTCCTGAACCCTCTGCTCCTTTAGAACCAATTTCTTCAACACCTAAAGAAGAATTGCCCGTACCAGAACCTTCTCCTGTCCCAAGTCTCAGCGAAACCACCCCATCTTCATCCGAGTATGAAGTACTAGTCAAAACAACTGTAATTTACCCATCGGATACATCTGAAAGTACTGTAACTCCAACGCAAGATACTTCCAAATCTTCTAAAGATACCAACGTAGAGGATGGTTCAGAATATTCATCCGATGAATACTCTTTGCAAGTCGAAGTGGACGGAAAACCATTGGACAAAAACTCTGTTTCCACGTTCTTGGAAGCAGAACGCGAAAGCACTGATCCCAAAAAACCAAAACGTAAACGTAAGAAGAACAAGAAACCAACTGACAATGACTCCAAACAAGAAATAGAGAAAGATTTGTTTTCCGCTTTTAAACAGCAGGAGGGTGACCATTTGGATCCAAAGGATTTATATTCTGATGTGGCCAGGAAAGGTTCCAGACCAGTTTCACCGATCGTACCTGAAGACACTGAAGTGTTTACTAAGGTTTATACTGACATCAATGAGGAGCAAATTAGGATCCATGATGCACCAGAAGAATCATGGGTCAACGTTTCCATTACACTTCCACAGAAACCGGAAATAACTCCGGAAGACATCGAAATTATCACCAAAGATGTCTTGAAAACTAAACATGGCAAACCTAGTACCTTCAAAGTGGACTCCATGTTAACCGAGGCGGAAATAAAAAGCAAACATGAACCTCAAGACACCACAACAACAGTTGAACTATCTATTCAAACTGGTAAGTCTATAGAAGAAAAGCCACTCAAGAAAGTGGAAGAAATTAAAACCCCAGAACCCGATGATAGCACCTCAAGTGAAGACGTTATTTTCGTCGAATCTGTACAACTTAAACCTGTAAAACCCGGCACCAAACCAACAAAGAAGGAAGCAGCGGCCGATTTTTTGGAACAAGAGAAAGCTGTAAGCCAACCTAAACAATCTGACGTATTCGATGCCAAGCCTAAAACTACACCATCTAAACCCAAAGGCAAAAGCAAGCACGTTTCTTCGGTTACAATAGAAGAAGTACAGTCACCTCCTAGAGTAGCCGATACACCGTTAACTCCTGGAGCATCCGATGCTCCATTATCACCGCCAAACTATCCAATTATAACTTGGAAACCGGCGGAAGTTTCGAAACAAACAACAGAAAAGCAACTACCGATAGTGCTACAAGATGTAGATATTAGATGGAGCCAAGCTCAAGCTTTGGAACGATTCAAGAACTTACAGAATGCGAAGAAGACAACGCATTTAAGCGACGTTTTGTATCTTGCAACTCTAAACGAAATAGTCACAGATGAAACTGTAGAACAACGCAACAATAATGTTCAAGTGAGCTTGGACACTTTGCAGAGAGCCCTTGAAAAACGCGATGTTGTTGTAATCCAACAAACTATAATAACAACGGTGGAGACCATAACAACTTGGTTGGAAACTATAGAATATAGAATTTACGTGAACAGACAACAAACGGCGGATGGTCCTTCAAAAGAAAGAGTACAAGAGTTTAACAACTTAAGGGATGAAATTTCTAATATCGAATCCAAAGTCGACCAACTGCAAAATGTTATGAGTATTGCTGATAATATTTACAACGAAGAAGACAGAGAGCGCATGAGGAGCTACATTGAATCCCTACAACAACAAGTCAAGGTTATCGAGGAGGTAACCGAAGAGAACGAATTACTGGCTGCCAGCGATCTAAAGAGATGGGATGAATTTGTCAACGGAGTGGAAAATGTAGGTCACGTGGTTCGTAATTTGTACAGACAGCTAAGCGACCTTAAGGAATCAGATGCTTCCCCACAAACAAAGCTCAACGAACTGGATAAACTGGAAAATACCAACCGAAGTCATATGCTCAAAGCAGTACATCTCAAAGCAACAGCTAAGGGGTTGATGAGGGATTTCCCTACAAGAGAAATACCTAATGAAGTTTATGCTGTACACGATCTGACTAAACAATTAGAACAACTTATAATAACGGAAAGGGAGAAGGCTTTACAGTTCCTGTCTTTGGCTGATGATTATGAACAAACTTTAAAGGAGTTCAGTCAAATTATTATTATTGCCGAAGCCTTGGTAGAAAGTTCAATATCAGTGAGGAACTTGGAACATCTTGAAGATGAAATGCAAAATCATCGCAAATTCTTTGTGAATCTAAGCCATTGCAGAGCTATTTTGGAATCCCTAGAGGAAAATCTTGACTCCGAAACAAGAGCCAATCATTCAGAATTACACAGGAATCTTTACGATCGTGCTAAAGTAATCCTCGACAAATCGGCAGGTCGTTTCCAACAAATGTCCCTAGCAGCATCCAGATGGACCATCTTGGAACAAGGCACCAAGGAAGAAATTAAGTGGCTTCAAGTTGCCCAACAAAGAATACCAGATCTGAGCAACGTAACCTCATCCGATTACGATCGCTACTTAAATCTATATCAAGCATTAGCTTACGATATAGACCAACATCATACGAAACTATTACATCTAAACGATGCAGCTCAGAGATTGCAAGAACTTGTGAGCTGTCCAGGTTTGGAGGACGCCTTTACGGAATCTTTGGAGATTATCGTTAAACTCCAAGATGATGTTAACAACAAACTGGAACGGTTATTGGCTTTCAAGGAAACCTGGACCACCTATAACATTCTAGGAGATAAATTGGAGGCTTGGCTGAGAGATGCTCAAATCCAACTCAAGAAAATTGATGTCTCTTCTGGACCTAGAGTCCATCTAAGACAATTCTGGGTAAATATCTATATAAATAATTAATAATCTTTGACTGATGATTTTTTTATTTCAGGAACTCAAAGCTCAGCATGAAGTCAACAATGGCGCCCGTCTAAATGCCACTCAAGCCTTGGAAAAATCTCTGCAAGTAGTACCAGTTGCCGACGAGTTAATTCAACGTAAATTCCATGCCGACCTGCAATCGCAATGGAACAAAGTATCGGATAGGATTAACGTTATACAATCGAGCATTTTGGATACCATATCGGCGTCCGATAAACCAGTAAACGAAAAACTGGCTTTGCTAGAACAAGAGTTGGCGGATTTGAAGGTTGATGTGGATAACTTGCAAGGTATTATTAAGAACGAGGAAGAATTGAATTTGTATGTTGAAAGACTGCAAATAATGTCATCGAGAATGGATACCATCCAAAACGAATTGGGACGATTAGGTTTACTATCCGCCGATGAGTCGGAGAAGGTCGGGTCGCTATTGGCTTTATCCAAACGACTCGAGTTGGTGATTGCGGAAGAGTTAGAAGGAGGAATCATGCTGAAGGAAAGACTTCTATCCATAGACAAAGGTATCAGCAGAGTGCGCAGAAAGCACTCGGAATTCAGCCGAGGCCTCGACCAATGCGAAACCGCGGAAAAACTGGGCAGCGAGGCTGTCGAAAAGGCGGTCACAGACTGCAACGAAATAGGCGAGGAGCTGGTAACCCTTTGGCAGGACCTCATGGGGCTCAGACAGCTCCTCCACACCCTCCCGATGAGGCTCAAAATCACCGTATCGCCGGTCAAAGTCGAAAGAGAGATATCGCAATTGCAAGACGACCACACCGCGTTAGAAAAGCGATGCGGGCAACTTTTGGCCTTGCTGAGAAGTAGACTGAGCCTCTGGCAGCGATTCGAGAGGCAGTTGGAGATGGTTCAACAAAGCGTTCAAGAAGCCGACTTCATGATGGAGCTGCTCACCGTTCAAGGCACCGTCGATTACGAACGGTTGAGGAAGGCTACAGAGCGGCTTGAGGTGAGTAAAGTACATTTTATTTTCATAAATTAAATCAATTATAATTATTAGCTAATTGAATAAGAATGCTAAATTGCTCTATACGGTTTTTATTCTATTTTGGTATTAATAATTCAGAATACTTGTCATTAAAGTTCAACAAGATTTCAAATAAGGAAAGTATGAGGAAATAAATATTTATGAGGTAATTGAAAAACTTGTGAGATCGCTCGAGAAGCTAAAGTCAATATTTATCATTTTAATTTTAAATTGGTTTTTTCAACAAGATGCGGTTTTAAACAGAAATGAGACCAGATATATTCCTAAAGGTTTTTGATGTGTTAAACCAAATTTCACCTCAGAATTGCTCCATAACATTAGGTTTTTTTAAATCTACACAACAAAGTTTATTACATCACAAGGTAGTTTTTTTTCATAAAAGAGACAAATTCAAAAGTATTTTGAAGGGTAAGGATGGTTAATACCTTTAGATGGTGCAACGAGTTTTGTGGAAAGAAAGGATTCGAACCCGAGCCTCCTGGATGAGAGCAAATCAAATACAGTAAATTTCTGGGTAAGGCATAAGGGTAAAAAACAAAAAAATAAATTTTTCAATAGAGCCTTTAACGTGATCGCAATAATTCAGGAAATATATTTATGTTTAGCGGGTATACGCTTTTGTTAGCATATGACATGTGGTAACAAAAGAGTATACCCTCTAACCATAAATATGTTTCCTGAATTAATGCAAATACGTTTAAGGCTCTACTAAAAAATTGCCTTTTTTGACTTATCCCTTTATGCCTTTTACACACAGAAATACTTAGAAAGAATCATTGGAGATCCGCAATGCGGTGGTGTGGTTGGCTGTAAAAAGGCGCGTGGATTGTGGTCCCGCATCCTGACCCTACTTACAAAGCCCTTGATATGTAAGATGGAATTGTTGCTGGCCTTTTCTTGCTAGATTCAGATGAAAGCAGTAAGCTAAGTTATAAAGCAAAACAGAAAGATGAAGATAGCCACGTATTCTGGCCACTAGACCATACGGGATGTACATATTATTTTTAGGTTTATAAGTAGTTGTCCAACTTCCAATACATTCCCATAAAAAATACCTTGTGATGCAATATACCCTCAATTTTCACTTTTAGATTAAAATTTTTTAAAACTGACATTATAGCGCATCAAAACCAAATGTATAGCATATTCAACAAAAAAAACATAAAATCAAATGTGGTTAAGTTTGCCTGATAAATTGCGGTCCGCCTCTGCGTATCGTCTTTCTTGGCATTGAAACGAACGATTGCCGCGGACAAAAGCGCGCATCGTGGCGCGAAACGTCAAAAATCCATGGCGCACCACGTTGTTTTTGTCAGTTGCACGCGGCGCGCCGTCTTAAACGAATCGCGGAACGCGAGAAAGTGATTTTTCGATTTTGTTGTGCACTCTCAAAAATTGTGCATGGATAACAAAAAACCGCAAAGGATAAAGTAAATACCAAAAGAAAGTGAGTCGAAGTATTCAGACAGATAAATCACCCATTAAAATAAGGCCATGCTTTTGTTTTTTATTTGGGGTTCTGCCGATTATTTGTAGATGTCGTTAATCCAATTTTAAAAAATTATAATATACTTAATATAATTAACAATTCCAAGTATAACCTTGTAAACATACATATTTATGAGTTTATTAAACACACCAAATTTCCTTGCGATATTAATAATTAAACAAATTTAATCTCGCTCGACATAAAACTTAATTACTTACTTATTATAAAAGTGATGTCATTTGAGAGCATCGGTATGTAAATTTAACACAGGCTTATATTTCCAGTATGCAGGAATTCAATTTTTTTCGTGGTGTGTGAATAAATGTTTATTTAGCATGTCAAGATTTATCTTATTTCCTATGCGGTTTTATCTATCTATATATAGACAGGTTTTTATAAAATTTTCTTCAGCAAATAAATACCTCGACACTGCAGTACATCTGCTGATGATTTTTTTAAAACTAGGCCATCGATTTGTTGTTTACTTTGTTATTAATATTTATAAGGGGCATGTGTTGCAAAGCAGCAAACAATTATGTCCAAGAAATCAAACTTGCGAAATTTAAACCTATTAATAGATAATATAATTAAAATTTATTTATTTTACTTTTTTATGTAGGTATGTACAGTCAAGGAAAATATTAATGCATATCCTATTTAGGTTCGGTAATTAATTTAGCGAAACAAATTTCTACAAACAATGCAATATTTGCGTTATTTATCGAAAAGTAAACATAATACCTATTGCCCCGTTAGTTGGGCTGTAAACTAACTAATTAAAATCTACTTTAGCAATTATAATCTAAACTTTATTTGACTCGTAAAAAACACGTAGTTGTGAGAAAATTGGCTATTAAAATATTGTGTGTATGTTCGAAAACTCTTTAACACATATCATTTAATTGCGGACATTTTATATCTGTAAGTAAACATTTATTTAAATTATTCAAAGACATGCAATGCAGAAGCTTTGCATTGTATGCAATTAATTTTTTTAACGGAGGTCAACGATTTTTACTGCAAATAATATATAGGTAACTGTGTTTATTTTTAGTACACTTGTTATTAAGTTTTGTGCGAATTTAGAAAATTTTCCTTGAAAGTTAGAATTTAGAATAATTTTTTCTTAGGTACTTCTTAATTTTAACCTTAAATGGTAAAAATATACAAATATACAAAAAATGGAGTTTTGAAAAAATTATAACAAAAACAATTCTTTACAAAATTTGATAGAATTCTAAAAAATAATGATATTTAGATTAATATTTTTCATACAAAACAGTTGTATAGTCGCGGTCAAATCTGTATGGGTGCACGTCATCAATGCGATATGAAACGTCAGCATTAACAACTTTGAAATGTAAAGTTACTGCTGTTAAAAAAATATCATTCATTTGAGTATTGTTTACCAAGAAGACTTCTAAGGTTATTTTGTCTTAATAATTAATTTTTAAAAAACATTTGTTTATGATGTTTTTATTACAAATGGATATTATTAATTGTAGAAAAAATAACCAATCTACAAAAATGTCAGATACCTATATGTATATTTATTCAGTTACCCTACCCATCATCGTTGACAAAACTCAAAATCCTACACTAATGTTGTTTCTATTACACCAAAATAATAAATAATAATTATATCTTACTATGAAGGGGCTGATTATGGCACATAATTTCGGTTTTGACTTGTCAAAATTCACTATTTTATAAAAAAATTAAAAAAAAATCGGCGGTATCAGGCATTTATAAGATGTCTTTAGAACATTAAATGGAGATATCTCTATCAAAAGATGTCTTTTAGACGTCTTGTTTAGATCTTCAGACGTTCAGGCATAATACAGACATACAAAAGACATCTTCAAGACGTTGTGTGCTATCTGGGTAGCTTAAGACTGGCGCGCACCGTTCAATATTATTGACGTTGATGACGTACACCCATGCAGATTTGGCCTAGATTATACAATGTATATGTGTATTTACATATATTCTACACCCATACAGCACAAGATGTCCATTGGACGTCAAATGGACGACCATTGTACATCCAAACGTCCAATGTAAGTCCATTTGACGTCCAATGGACATCTTGTGCTGTATGGGCATATTCTACAAAAAACACAAATCTTATTTCAGAGCGTGTCTGGAGACCTAGTGACGCGCGAGACCCTCGTGGAGGAGCTCAAAGAAGCTGCCAAACCACTGACGGACAGCTGCTCTTCGGAAGTGTCCGCCAAAGTTCAGGCGGCGGTACAGGAGGCGGTGACCGCCTACTCGACCACCTGCACGCAGCTGAAAGACCTGTGCACCAAGTACGGCAACGCTGCCGAACTCTGGAAGCAGTACAGGGAAGCTGCGGATCTAGTGCGCGAATGGACCGAAAAGCCTATGGAATCGGTGGACGATTTGGAGCCGGACGAGGCAGTCGCCAGGGTCAAGGTAAGTTATCATTATATTATAATTACAAAAGACATTAATTTTAATGGTTCAAGAATGTTTTTAAAGAGTTTTTTTTTAAACCGTGAGGCGCATTATAACGCACATCGCCTTCACGCCATGCGGAATCACGTTGTGACTGCAATATGCGTAAATTATGAACATCGCAATGTTTCTCCAACCATCACATGTGCTGGCTATATGAACCTCAATTGATGGTGCACACGTGCGGATTACAATGACGTTGTGACTGCAATATGCGTCAATTATGAACCTCATAATGTTATCTGGGTAATAAAAACGGATAAATTATTTTCTTAACCCAATCAAAATTTAAAGTTATTTTAATATTTTAAAGTAACAATAATTGTTAAGTTTAATTAAAATTATATTACATCAAAAATGTTTATTGGAATGGTTACTTTATTTTCGTATAGATGTCGCTTTTAACAAATATTTAATATAAATCATATTTAAGATAATATTAAGTATTTGTCGTAGAGAAAGTATAATATGCAACTCGTTTATAAACTTTTCTAAACACTCATTTAATTAAACACTCGCTGACAAGCTCGCTCGTGGCTAATTAAAATTGTGTTTATTTAACTATTTTGGTGTTTATTTAACTATTTTGTATAATATTATGGCTATAATCAAAATGTTTTTAATTTTTAAATATGTACCTGAACTTAAAAACACTTTTTTATTTACAAATATTATTATAATTTTTGAAAAACAAAATTTAAAAACGATTAGGTAGGTTTACCTAACAAAACTTCAGATGTAAATAAAACATTTATATGCTTTCATCAAAAGTTTTCAAAAAACTATTTAAACCAGATGTTACAAACCTTGGATGGGTAGTTAATTTAATTTGTAAAATTTCTCAAAACAAAGAAAATGCCGCTTTAATTTTGAACGCGTTTTTGTTCATTTTGTTCCGGAAGCAGACTTACTAGTTAAACCATTTGGGTTTTTCTTGTCTCGGTTCATTTTATAAATAAACCAGAAGTGTTGGGGGTATTTTTAGCCCAATCTTTCCATACTCCATTACATTTAGTAGGTACATAATGCACTATGCTCCACACCCAAAAATCCTACTTGACATTTGAATACAAATAATTTAGGTTATCTACTGTCAGTTTAACGCTATAGCGTCTTATTTTCTCAAAATAATTAAATATATGTTTTTTGTGTACCTATTAATTTAGAATACAAAAAGTACATATATATATTATATGGTGTTACCCCGTGATATTTAATAAAACTAAATGAGTTTGACCTACACATTTATTGTGTTTTGATCTTTCATAATTAAGTAGATATTACCAAAGATAATATTATCTAGTGTACTGTTACTCTTATATTATTAAAAATTTAAAGAAATAATTTTATAACCATTTATGGTGTTACAAAAATTGATTCTATCCTGCGTGAATCTGTTTTCGCTTTAAATTTTATGCAACGGATGGCGCTTTAATTATTTTAAATAAGCAAAAACCTCTGTTTACGACATTATAGATGCATTTGATTCCTGAAGGTTAGTTAAAATTTATATTCAGATGAGAGTGTTGCTGTTTTATAATTCAAAAGTTTAAGTTCATTAATTTGCTATTTAAAAACCTATCCACCGTGAAGTGTAATATCTCAGTAAGTAGATTTTTTTTATAAATATTTTATGTAAGTACATTGTACAATTGTATTTTTAAAAATATTAAGGTGTCAAAAGATCCAATAACTTATTTCAAATATACAAAGGGATGTTTAAAAAAAAACATACAAAATCCTAACCTCCGTGAAGATCTAATATTCAAAAACCCCATTCTAGACTAACAGTGAAACAACCAAAAATAAAAAATAATCATTTTCACTTGGGGGACATCTCAATAAATTCACCTATGTATATATAAACTGACAGTCAGAAAACTTTAATTATTTGCATTTCGAATAATAATGTAACAATTGTTTATTTTGACCGAGAAATTCTTGCAAAACAAAAACAAAAACAAATCTTCGCGTCAACTCGCTCAGCATTCGGGCAGCATCCGACCTAGTTGGGCCAATCGATAGTGAGTGATCTTAAAGAGAGCGCACCCCCAAAATTCAACCGGCACACACATAACCTATCTCTTTTTCCGTGTCTCCCCCAGTGCGTAAACGTCTGCCGTTGGTTACGGTCGCTCTCTCAATGAAGCGGCGTTATTTTTAGTAACACGGGAGGTCGCGAAATTTATTTATAAAGTCCGTCTGAAAATTTCGCCAGTGTTTTGGAATGCTGAGCGTGTGAATTCGTTGTGTGTATTTGTATAAAAAAATTGCATTTTTTGGATTTAATTTGTTAAATGTGTACTCCAGAAGAATTGCAGGTAAACATTTTTTATAAAAATTCTTTAAGATGTTTTTGATAAAAAATTATTGCATATTACTTAAATTTGTTAACAAACAAAAGTTGGCAAATTTTTTGATGAATTTCTGTGACACATTTTTTAAGGACATAACAAGACTTGTAAGTGTGTCTCCAAGATAAAGCATTCTATTTTTATCGCAAATAAAAGTTAACATTTTTTCCAAACATGGGTATGCTTAAGTGCCAGTAAATAAATTGAATTATATGAAGTAAATTGTTTTAGAAATTTCTAGGACTTGTAAAAATGTGGTTTATGTTTAAAAGGATTTTATTTTAAACGTTTAGTTTTGAAAATTTTTGATTTATTTGAATTTTAAAACTGTTTTAAAATTAACCCATTATCATAACGAGGTTATTCAAATTTAAATGATTAAAATGTTAATGTAAAAACAAATATTTATTATTATAATTATTCATATTTATTTATAGTTTTCTTTGTTATGACATTTTCAAGATTTTTATAAATAATTATTCCAAAAATCATTTTTGTATAAAAAACAATAAAAAATCTTCAAAAACAAAAATTCATCCACAATTCTCCAATTGCAAATTTACATAAAATCAAGCGATTTGTTCGACCTTGATATAATATAAATAAAATAGGTACTTAAAAATGTGGTGCAAAGTACCAGTTAAACAACTTGAAACGTTTTGTATTCCTTTCGTATTTTGCTTGTATGTGCACTTGGTAATAATATCTGCATAAATGTAATTGTTATTTTTAATAGGCACGCGAGCGTTTATAATTTTGATTTTTCCGGTACAACAAATCAAGCGGATTTCCGCATTTTGTTCAAATTGCACATGGAGTGCATATGTTATTATTTACTTATAAAGTGATTTATGACCGAAAATTGCACTTAATAGTCTCGGATTTGACGTATAGTGTGCACAAGGGTTGGTTCAGATTTATTGGCCCAAAATATGCCACATAAATATTTTATATTGATTATTAAGTAGATATTACAAAAAAATTACACATTTAAATACATCGGGTTCTTCATTATTCTTTGGGCCAACAAATTTTGACTATGCGTTGTGCATGCGTTAATGTCGATAATGGCTTTAATTTGCCACGATCTCGGGGTAAGGTGTTGTTAATCTTTGATTTGTAACCATTAACCTTGGCCGAAATTTTCAATTAACAACAGCCAGAAATCGAAATGAATCAAAATAATTTAAAATCATCACGCAACTAACACGTGAAATATTTAATCAAAAAACAGTTTTGCTATTTTTGCATCCAGTGTGTTTTTAAAGCAGAAGTATGAAAGTAAGATTTTGCAATTTTTTAGCCTTAATAATAATTTCAACTTTTTTGAAGAATGTCAATTTAAGCTAGATAGGTAGGTATAACTATTTTAAGATAAAGTCAACTTAAGCTGGATAAGAGAACTGTTTTAAGAACTTTTTATTCGATAAAATAAATACAATCTTAAGAAAGCGTTTATAATGTTTATTACCTAGCTACATCTGTGTAATAAAAAATTGACATTTAAAAAGATCGTAAAAATAATTTTAAATTTAAAAAAATATAATTTGAAAAGTTTATATTTGCCACCAAATTGCCAAAATTTCATCACATGCATAAAATATATATATTAGGGTGATTCATTTCCGCAAAGTTTTTGTTTTCTTCGGTGCTCAAGCAAAATATTAATCTGCATATAGAAAAAAAAATTCTCAACAAGTTTGAGCTCTTAATATAAATTTTAAGTATACTTACTATTTAAATTTTAAGTTTTACCATTTAAAATGCATGTAAAAAATATATATATTTTTTCAAATTTCTAATGCTTACCCACCTTTGACAATATTGCAAATCGGTTTAATACACCTTATGGGGAATTTCACGCTCTTTAAAATTGCTTTTAAGTTTTTTTTTGTAACTCGCATTGGTTCACCAGTAGGAGTCGTCAAAGGACAGTTTTTGAAAAAAATCGTTTTTTTTTTTAATTTTTTTTTCTAACAAACCGCAAAAAGTAGGGAGAAAAAAGGGCTGAACCATAAAAAAAAGTTATCCAACCAATATTTAATAAATTTACAGCATTTTTTATAACTGAAAACGTAAGAAATTGATAATTACCAACTCATAATGTTATTTAGATTGATTTTTTTCTATTTATTATCATTATATTTCCCTACACTAAGAAGTTTTTTAAAATTATTGATTTCTCACTTATAATGAATATGAAAACAACAGATAAACTCATAAACGATTTTTTTCAAAAACTGTCCTTTGACGACTCCTACTGGTGAACCAATGCGAGTTACAAAAAAAAACTCAAAAGCAATTTTAAAGAGCGTGAAATTCCCCATAAGGTGTATTAAACTGATTTGCAATATTGAAAAAAAAAATATATTTTTTACATGCATTTTAAACGGTAAAACTTTAAATTTAAATAGTAAGTGCTTAAAATTAATATTAAGAGCTCAAACTTGGTGAGAATGTTTTTTCCTATATGCAGATTAATATTTTGCTTGAGCCCCGAAAAAAAAACAAAAACTTTGCGGAAATGAATCACCCTAATATATATGTTTGATGGAGGTTTATATAAAAATCTGTCTTTTAAAAAATCTTCAGATCCGGCCCTGCGAAACACATAAGTCTGCAAGCTTGTCTGATGGTCAGGTACTACATAGAAAGAGAGAGAAACATCGTTAAAAACGACCGCTTTGTACAGGTAACACGTGATCAGAATTCGGTATTCCAAGCATATGCAGCAATTTTTTAGCGCCTCCGCTGACTCACTGAACATTTTAATTGATGTTTATTCTGCGAAAATGTTTTTATACTTTTAAAGGAAGTTAACATGCGTTTTTTATAGGGTGGCATGCGGCTTCCTTGGATATTAAATTTCGAATACCTGCCTAGTAAAAGTGGCATTTTTCATTAAAATGAGGTGAACTTCCAGAAATAATTTGGCACTCGAAATAATATTCGTGACCCAAATAAACTAAAAAGCTTAACAATAAAGCGGATATTAATCTTTTTCGGAGCTGGCATGTTATTAACAAATATTTCATGCGGGTGAGAACGAATTTAGATATCAAGACAGATAATTTTTCCATTTTTTGTCTTTTTATTTTATGGCAATTTTGCAACGTTAAGCCGTGTACCGACATTTTACGGCTTATGCAATTAATTAGATGTGGATTTTTGAAATTTCCGACCACCATGCGCGATACGGGAGTGACTTTGCGTATTGAATTACCACCCTGTTTGCGGCATGACTCAAACACCTGTGAAGTTGAAGCACTACCGGAAGCGTTTAAAGTTCTATAAATAGATATAAATTTTTTTCAATTTACAGACAGAACAAACAATAACAAAACTATCGACAAGTTACATCTTAATCATGTATAATCTGACATGGGTAATAACTGTTTCCTATGCGACTTAATTATAGAAATCATTTCTTTAAGACAGTTATGAATGACTATACATCCAAAGATATTAAGTTGTAATGGCTTTAATTGAAAATAATGGAGATTTAATCTAATAATACGCTTTGAAACCATTCTTGAACCAATAATTATTACCAGAGCTGGGAATATCTTAAAAAAATGGTACTTAAAAGTAACAGATACTTAAAGTTTCTTAGATACTTTTTATATTGGACAGAAAGTATCTTTAGCTTAGTTACTTTGGAAAAGTATCTTGTAACTTGTATATAAAACAGTATCTAAGTTACTCTGTAAAGTAACTAAATACTTTAAAGTAACTTAGATAGGGTTGGGACAGTTGAAATTTTCAAATGAAAATTTCAACTTTGAAAGTTTCAAACTTGAAATATTTCATTTAGTTGGAAAAGTGAAATTTTTAAAATTTCAAATGAAATTTTCAATCCGAAAATTTCAACATTGCCAAAGTTTCAGAAATTTCATTGAAAGTTTCGCAATTTACTGAAAATTTCGCATAAATTTCACATGCGGCCTCCCCTGGGACCTTTAATAATAATTTACAACAGATTCCGAATCGACCAATAAGAACGAGTTATCAAGCGTCTGGGCGTTTTTGTTTAGTTCGGCTTGGATTTGAATACACTATAAGTAATTATTGTTACTTATATGCATAAATTAATTTAAATACTTAATTTAATTCAGTTACCAATTTAATTTGTAAATTAAATCAGACTTTACATTTTTTTTAAATTATGATTAATTTAAACTTTTACTTTTGCTATAATTGCATCGGAAAACGGATAAAAAATGCCTTTGGCTCATAAAATTTTGATGAAGTTTCTTCAATTTTCGTAAAATTTCAGTAAAATATTTTAAAAATAATAAATATATATAAATATAAAACTATGAAAGTGGCACAATCTCATTAGCTTACCAAAAAGTGCTATATCTCTTTTAGTTTTAGTAATTTTAAAAATATTTTATAAGGAAATCTCAAGAAATTTGTGGTAAACATAGGTACTTACTATTTATATTATTGGTGCAGGTGCCCACAGAGGGGTAGGAGGTAAGAGAGGCAATTTGCCATGGTCCCCGAGTGGGCTTATTTCAATATTAATATATTACACTTAAAGTGGTTGAAATTTATTGAAAGTTTCAATAAATTTCATGAAATTTCAGAAATTTGGGAAATTTTAATAAATTTCATGAATGTCATGAAAATTTCAAGTGAAATTTTAAGTACAAGCAAAAAGTGAAATTTTCCCAACCCCAAACTTAGATACTTTTCAGTGTAACATGGATACTTTCTTAGTGAAAATTGGGGGAATTCCAGAATGATTCAAAGTAATTCCCTAACCTAAAACTTATTGAATTAATAATTTTATAGTTTTTATTCATACTAAAGTATGTAACTTAGTTACTCAAAAGTGTCTTAGTTATTTAAAAGTATCTTACTTAGTTACTCAAAAATATCTTTCATATCTTAAATACTTTTTTAAATACTTTCGGATATCCTAGATACGTACCTTGTAACTAAAGATACTTTTAACTCAAAGTATCTAAACGTTTTTTAGAAAAGTAACTACCCTAGTAGCAATTTTGGAAAAGCCTTGTCCAAGCATGAGTCAAGATACTTGGAACAGATTGTTGATCAAGAATTGGTCCAGATTCTTGATCAAGATCATTGGGCAAGACTTGGGCCAGACTGTGGCTAGAATTTGTCAAGAATTTGACCAGAAGTCTGAGGCCATCTGTTACTAAACTTAGGGCCTATTCTATAGAGTAGAGGTTCTCATTTTACAGTAGTTTCATTCACAATTCACAATTGTCGTCTTTTCAGTTTCTCGCGTAAGTCTATCTCAAGACTCTGGGCCAAGAATCTGGTCAAAGACTGGCCCAAGTCTGGAGCCAGTCTGGATAAAGAATCTTGGTCAAGTGTCTTGATCAAGAATTGTCAAATTGTGTATAAAGTGCTTCTCCAAGTATCTTGCTGGAGAATCTTGTCCCATTCCATTGCTACTAGGCGGCCATTCCAAGCCCATGGACAGGACACATCAGAAACATGTCTAAATATATTCTTGTTACTTCCTTAAGTTTACTTATTTTTTCTACGAGTATTTATGAGAAGTATTAGCCAAATTTGGCTAATACTTCTCATAAATACTCGTAGAAAAAATAAGTAAACTTAAGGAAGTAACAAGAATATATTTAGACATGTTTCTGATGTGTCCTGTCCATGGGCTTGGAATGGCCGTAGGGTAGGTACTTTTCAGAAGTAACTTTTCCAGCTCTGATTATGACATAGCGTTTTCATTCGTTAACAAAAAAATCCTCCTTTGTAGATATGTGAAGAGACGTATGCGGCTCATAAGAAGCGCCTAGGCGAGATCCAGCAACTAGTCAGTAACATCGCGTCGGCGGTGGGCTTGGACGCCAAGGCTCTGCTGGGCGGCGAGGTGGACGCTCTGGGCAAGCGGCTCGAAGATGTGCGCGAATCCCTCACGACGCTGGCCGACGTCGCCGACGCCAAGTCGAAGACGAAGAAGGAGAGGGACGACGAGATGCTGGCGTCTCGAACCTACCTGACCTCGGTGCAGAGGAGCTTGGACTCTTTGGACGGCAGCGACCCGGAGTCGGATCCGGAGGAGAAGATGGTCGCGCTGAGAGATCATTTGCTGTCGCTGAGCAAGACCGAGGGTCAAATCCGGAAAATCAAGGACAAAACTCTGGAGATATCCACCACGAGAACCGAGACGTCGGTTCTGGAGATTTTGGAGTTATGGCAGCAAGTCTTCAGGGAAACCTTCCAGCAGTACCACCGTCTTAGCACCCGTCTAGTCAAAAACGAGGATGGAGCTGCGGCTCTCAAGCTCTGGCAAGAATATCTAGTCAATGTTCAGCAATTCTTGCAAGGCACCATCCCGGGTGATTACCACAGCCTATCCGATCACCAACACTTGTGCCAAGTGCACCAAAATCTCCTAACTACGCAACAAAACGTTCTTAAACCTTTGGAGAACAAGGACAACCTGGTGGAAGGCTTGGTGGAATCCACAGTCATGGAGCAGTTCAACTCTCTAACAAATGTACACAACGAAACTTTGTCCAGGATAATGGAAAGACATATCGAAGTCCAAAAGCGTTTGGATGCTTGGGAACAGTACAGAAAAGATCAACAAGACTTGCTAACCTGGCTGAAAAACATCGAAAAGGAAAAGGAAAAAATGCAGTTGCGCTACATGCACATCCGCAGAATACCAAAGTTAATCCACCGCATTGAAGGCTTTTTGGAAAGGGTACCAAGCGGTTATGAACAATCAGATAACTTGCAGATACAACAAAATCATTTGCTGCAGTTCTGCGACGATGCACTAGCCACTTCAATACGTATCGAACACGTCGCTATTAGGCAAAGAATCTCCAACCTGGAGGCTGGTTTGCAGACGTGGCGCGAGTTTTTAGTGAGGATTCGAAACCTCGTCCAAATGCACGAAGAACGAGCCAACAAAGTCCAAGCCATCTTCGACGGTATTCAAGAAACGATACACCAAAGCACCAAGAATATCCCAGCAACGCACGCAGGTATCAACAGCAACTTGGAGTACTTGCAACGATCGAGAAACAGGTTGAGTATGGCCGTGAAAGAGCTCGAACAGCTGGGAGTGTCGCAAGAGCAACTCAAAGAGTGCCTGAGTCATCCCGACACCAAAACTATAAATCAGAAGATGTGGCTGTTGTGGCATCAACACGGCGATCTCGAACACCAATTGGCTGCGTTGTGTCATCAGTACGAGGAAAAGTTGGGCACAAGATCGATCTTCGATGCACGTCATTCGAGGTTCGTAGCCTGGGCTGACGATATCGAGAGACGCCTGGAGCAAGACTCGGACGAAGAGTCCGCCTTGCAAGACCCCAAGGAGCTTCTGCGAAAATTGGAGTCGGAACTGCAAGCGGAGCTCACTCTCAAGGACCGCGAGTACAAATGGCTCGTGCGCACCGGAAACGATCTAGTCGACGGGTGTGGCGATGAGTATAGTGACGTGACGGCCAAGCAAATACTCCAAACCAAAACCGTGGAGGTGCAGAACCGCTGGGAGAAGTTGGAGAACCTGGCGAAGAGCCGAGCGAACAAAATCCACGACATGATGCAAACGATGATGACGCTGGAAGAACGCCTCGCTCAAATCAGGGCGTGGTTGGCGCAAATCGAGGCGCAACAAGCGAAACCTTTGGTCTTCGAGGGCAGCGGAAAAGACGTGCTCGACAGGAAGATCCAGGAGCACGACAAGCTGAGGAAATCGATTGAAAACGAGAGCGGAAACATCGGCGACGTTTTCAATCTGTGCGAACTTTTCCTCAGCGATGCCGATACCGTTAAAGCGCATTTCACAGTCGAGAATATCACTGCCGCGAGAAGTAATGTCGAGAAACGCTGGAAGGTAGTCTGCGGACAATCGGCAGAGCGCAAGCGCAAGATCAACTACCTCTGGAAATTACTTCTCGACATAATCAAATTAAGCGAGGAACAAGAACAATGGCTAAACGATAAAGAGTTCAAGCTCAAAGAGTTCGACAAGCCGATTAAAGACCTGGATAAAGACGAAATACAGGCTCTGATCTATCTAATAGAGAATAAAATTAAAGACATCGAGACTCAAACGCCCAACTTCCAAATCTTGGAGCAAACCTACTCGAAACTAGTCACTGATGGAGGCCTTGAACCCGAAAACGTCCAAGAGTTAACATCCAAAGCCCGCGTGGTCATCACCAGATGGCACAACCTGTTACCCAAAGCTACAAACGTTCTGGAACGCCTCAAGGCCGAGATGATGCCTTTCAAGGAATTCTCATTGGCTCACGAGGACGCCGTTGTCGCTTTAAGTAACATAGATGCTCAATTGACTGAATTACAGCACCTTTCGGCTGATAAACTTCTACTCAAAGAGCGTTTGAGTAAACTGGAAGGCATCGAGAGGATTTTAAAGTCACAAACACCTAACCTCGACACAGCCGACCGTTTGGGCCTGAAGATAATGAAGAAGAGCAAGAAATCGGAAGTGAGCAAAATCCAGGAGATGATTGACGAATACCAGATCCTATGCAAGGATATATATCGGAGAATTACCGTTATTAAAGAGGAAATCACAACGCAAATCAAGCGGAGACCCCAGGAAGTCGACGAGAGTGTTCAAGTCGAGACTCTCAAGTTCGAACGAGACTCGGCAGTGCAGGTCAACACGTTGCCACCTCAGCTGCAAAGAATGACTTCCATAAGCGCCAAAGATGCTTACTTGGTGCAAATCAGTTCCGCACTTTTGGAGTGCAGAGCTGACATCGCCGATTTAGAGGAACTGGTCAGGAAAGAAATACCCAAACAAGGTTCTCCGGAACTACCTGCTAGTAGCAAGAAAATAGCCAAGGCTTCCGCCAAATGCCAAGCCAGCGTCGAACTGGTGAGGCATCTGCACGATCTTTTGACGGGAGAGTGCGACGCCACAGCAGCTGAAGCTGGCACCGACGAGGTGGAAGATCTGAGCGAGAGATTCGACATGCTCTTGATCAGCGCGAAGGAGAAAGAAAAGAAATTGCGAGATCTAAGGTGAGTGTTAACGTCAATAATTTCAAAGGTTGAGGTTTTCTTAACTAATTTTCCTGTGGTTTTGGCTTTAACTAACCGGCGTTGTTTTCTTTACCCCTCTAGATCTACCGAGGCTTATAACTTGCTATGTCAGCAGTAAGTAGCGCTTTTTAACCTTTAATTAGCAAAACATATATAAACATCCCAGATAGCACAGAAAGTCTTGAAGATGTCTTTTGTATGTCTGTATTATGACTAAACGCCTGAAGATCTAAAAAAGACGTTTGAAAGACGTCTTTTGATAGACGTCTTAAAGATATCTTGATATAATGTTCTAAAGACATCTTATACATGCCTTATACCGCCGTTTATTTTTTTTTTAATTTTTTGATAAAATAGTGAATTTTGACAAGTAAGATATAATTAGGTACCATCTTATTTAGTTTTAATAGAAACAACATTAATGTAGGATTTTAAGTTTTGACAACGATGATGTTTAGGGTAACTGAATAAATATATATCTGACATTCTTGTAGATTGGTTAATTTTTCTGCAATTAATAATATCCATTTGTAATAAAAACATTATTAGCTACCACAGAGTAGACTCTGTGTTCTACTCTGTGTTAGCTACATTTTAATTACTTAATACCTTAAAAACGTTTTGGAGATGTAGCAATGCATAACCGAGACTTTTTCAATAGTTAGTCTTTATTATCTTAAAGACGTCTTAACAACGTTTAGCAACGACTTAATAATGGCGTTAAATGGACATCTTAAAGACGGTGTGTTTTTCTAACATTAGATATCTTAAAGACGTCTTAAAGATGACTTACGTCGTAAACTGGACGTCTTAGGGATGTCATAAACGTCCGAGTCCGACATCTTTAAGATGTCTCTGTGCTATCTGGGATCTTATTAATACTATTATTTTTTGTAATATAGCGAGGCTGGACGTCTGTTGTGCCCCCTGTGCACCAAGCGCAACTGGGCTCAACTCGACAACGACTTATGGCGCCTGGAAAAATGGCTGCAAGTGGCCGAAGCCACCCAGAAATCCCTAAAATCCCCACCCAAAAACATAGAGCAACTCGAGGACGTGATCCAAGACCACAGGGAGTTCCTGTTGGATCTCGACAGCCATAGAAGCATCGTAACCTCTTTAAATATCGTCGGAACTCACTTGGCTGATCACACCGAAGACACTGAAAGAGCCGTAGAGTTGCGAAAGAGGTTAGAAGCCGACAACAAGAAATGGGAGGCCATCAGGATACATGCCGCCCAGTGGGCTATACAGCTGCAAAGGGCGCTCATGGACGTAAGTTGCAATAACTATAACATTTGTTTGGTTACAGAGGAGGGTTTTTTTTTTAAATATCGACTCTACCTTCCATAGAAAATGATCTCTATAGCCCATACAGCACAAGATGTCCATTGGACGTCAAATGGACTTACATTGGACGTTTGGATGTACAATGGTCGTCCATTTGACGTCCAATGGACATCTTGTGCTGTATGGGAGGAAGCGATGTTTTAGCACCTTATTTTTTGATATAACTGTCTTAAGAATATCATCTTAAGCAAGATTTAACAACTGCTGCATTTGGTGTTTCTAGAACCAACAGTTCCACGCAATCGTGGGGGAACTGTGCGCATGGCTGGAGAAAAACGAGCGGAAGATCAAGGTAACGGAACCCGTAGACTTGACGCAGCCCGCGGAGCACATCGAGGCGAAGTACCGGAACTTCATGGAGATCCGCGCCGATTTGGAGCGATGCGAGCCGCGCGTGCTCAGTTTGCAGGAAGCTGCGAATCAGCTGCTGCGCGCGGAAGACGCGCCCGAAGGTTCGAGCGCCATCTGCAAGCGTTTGACCGAGTTACGGTTGAAGCTGCAGTCGCTGATCAGGCTGACGGCGATTTACACGCTGAAGCTGGGCGCCGTTCTGGGCAAAGATCCGAACGAACACTACCAGGGCGGGGAAATGCCGCAGCTGCAAAATATCGGCTATGACGTAAGTCTCAATCGTTGCGTACTATTGTAGAGATTTTTAAGTAATAGTCCTGTTTAGTTGAAAAAATATTATGTATTTATTATTTATTAGTATACATATATGTAGAGCTTTAATTCATGTCTTGTGATACTTTTATTGTGCCATTAAAATGTTAAGTAACTGAAAATTTGTAAGGGGTTTATTTTTGTTGACTTACTTGATATATTTGATTTAATGCCATGCGTCAACAAAATGAACCGATAGTTTAGAATGTAGTTTTTTATGTTTATAAAAATTTAGTCGTAATAATTTTGATATATGCACAAATTCACCTTTCGTTTGCGTTTTGGACAGCTTAAGGATCTGCCTGACCAGGAAGAAGCTTCCACCTCTGCACAGGGCGATACCACTCACAAGTAAATATTATTTTTTTATATTATTTATCATTTTTATCATGTCCTATTATTTACGCAACTTTGTTGCTTATTTAATGTGACAGCTTTGCATGCTCAATCATTTTAATATCGAAATATAATCTAATCAAGATATATTTACATCCATTTACAAATTTCTATGTGGTCGTTTACCTAGCGTAATCCTGCGCTATTTCTGAATAAAAATAAACCAGAAAACGAATTTCTATTTAAAGATACATACAGTTGGTAAACTTTAATCCACCTAAATAACAGATTTGATTGTACCTGCGATTGTAAAGTTGTGATTATTGTCTAAGACATGTTTAAGTGGTAAGTTTTTCTACCATCATAAATAAATGATTTTTCATAAAAATAACTATAACATATAGCTTGGGCACCTAATATGTGTGTGTATTTATAATGGCACCTTTTTTGTTATAAAAATACAAGGATTTTTTTTATTGTTTGGACTCAACATTTAAATATATTAATTTAATTAAGTAATAAAAACAGTTAAAAATCTAATAAACATAAAGGTCATTTTTTTTATCTGGAAAAATCACTGCAGCACTGCACAGAGTTTAACGGTGGCCATTTTTGTTGTTTACAATTCTTGTGCTTTGTGTTTGTGCTGTTTAATAATTGTTTTAAACGTTGTGTTTCTTACAGAGGCACTTGTAAGCCTCAAATAAGGCCTTTAAGTGCTAAGGACAACCATTTTACTCATCTTTTATAATAAATATACCTTATTCTATCAGGGCTGTCAAATGACAATTTGAAGGTTAATTTGTGGATTGTAATTTAACCTTAAAATTGACATTTGACAGTTTTATGAAAACCCTGATAGAATAAAGTTTATTATTTACAATAGAGGAGTAAAATGGTTGTTCTTAGCACTTTAAGGCCTCTTTTAAGGCTTACTATAAGAAACACAACGTTTAAAACGATTATTAATCTGTATAAACAGAGCACAAACCCAAAGCACAAAAATTGTAAACAACAAAAATGGCCGCCGTTAAACTGTGCAGTGTTGCAGTGATTTTTTGTATTTTTGGATTGTGGGCATAGTTATCTTTTTATATCGGTATTATGTAGTAATTAATGATAAATATTACTGTCAATTTGAGAAGCAGAAGTACCATTTTTTAAATTCTTAATAAAACTGGCATAAGCTACCAACTTAATAAAAAAACTCGAGTCCAATTTAAAAAAAATGAACTGTATTTTTTCAAAAGCGAAAATTTGGTAAAAAAAATCCTAAAACAATCCATATGTGATAACACCATCCACAAAAACGCATCTATATTGCATAACACCATCCCCAACACCGGTTCGGGACGGTGTTATGCAGTATGGATGCGTTTTTGTGGACGTTGTTATCGCACGTGGATTGTTGTGTGCGAAAAAGGTGCCAAGCTTGGTAAAACAAAATTAATGATTTTTCGTTTTGTTTTTTCAGTGGTACTTCTGACGAAATCAACCCGTCGACTTTAAGACGAGGTTGTAGATTTTTGGGCAGGGTGGTGCGCGCCTCGCTGCCCATCCAAGTGGGTCTGATGCTGCTGCTCGGGGCTGCCTCTTTTGTTCCCTACACCGAAGACGACTATTCTTGCTCGATTGTTAACAGTATTGCCAACCATTTGACGCCCACTCTGCGTTACATGGACGGCACGCCACCGATTTAGTAAACTTTAAATACTCGATTATGTATTACCATTCCACGTTAGTTACTTAATTTTTTTTATTTGTTAATGTGTAAATAAGCGACTTATTTTATCAGGCAAAGCTCTATTCTAACACGATGTACATAAAAATAAATATAGTGTATACCTAGTTATAGTTTTTGTAAGAATAACTTGTATATGAATCGATTTATCTGTATATTTGGGAACGCACAAAATATCTAATATATTTTATAATGTTATTAATGTAAAAGGTTGTGTAAAAATTAATTATGCTTGCGTTTTGAAGGAGTGGAACACTTTAACTCGCAAACTACTTAATTTTAATGTGATTGAAAAGCCCCAGTTTCGTTAATTTGTTCAAATAACACATAAATAACTCTCCAATTTGTGTGTTATACTAAAAACAAAACACTTTGACACAGCTGACTCTCCAAAGCTGTGAAAAAGTTCCTTCAAAATCAAAAATCTCCCATTTTGGTTTTGGAGGATACAAAACGAAATATTGGGGCCCAAAATATATAAAATGCCTTATATATCTATTTTTTATTATCTTTACCGTTGCTTTTTTGCCAATTTTATATTGTTTTCAATGCTGTTATGTAATGATATGATTTATTAATGCAATATTATATTTATCCTATAGCTTTTTTTGACAGATTAATTAGATGCTTTTGTTTTAGAAATAATAGGAATGTTTTCACAATAAGTTATGTAATGTTAGTTTATTTGGCATCTTAATAAAATGTATGTTTTCATTTATAAAAATAAAAATTTAAAATTACTTACCTTTTTCTTATTCTTTCCCCAAAAATAATCCTGCCTGCAATCTATAGAAAATTAAGTCGCAAATTACAAGAATGGGTTTATTAATAATTTCTTTCTATGGAGAAAATTTTCTATAGAAAATTTCAATAAATACCCTGAAAAGAATAAACAATAAATTTTGTAACCTGAAATAAAGAAAAACAAAGCAAAATAATATACCTACACCAAAATAAATAAAAAAAAACAATGGATAGTTTTGAAGATAAATAGTCGCCAACTCATAAAAAAAATCATGTTGACCAACATATAGAAAACAAAAATGTTAATAATCCTTTAAACAATTAAATCCAATTAAACATTTGATGAAACGTTAATCTTAAATTATAGATCAATAAATTACCTTGATTGACAAAGCGTACATTTGAACGCATCGCAATTTTTAAACCGATACGCGACAGTGGCGCCTCTGCCGGTAAATTAAAGACCGACACTTCAATGAAGAATGCCATTTTCTTGTGTATAACGTAAACTCTTTGGATTTATTAAATTAACAGTGCTTTAAAACGTTCGGGGAACATCGATAATCTCTTGGAATAAACTGTGGAATGTGGTGTGCAGCAAGAAAACTCGGTGGTTGTTGAATGAACGTAGTAAATTGCAAGCAAAAAGTGTAGTGCGTTAGATCATATCGAACCCAACATAAACAATCAAAATATTGTTATTTATGTTGAATCCAAGTGTAATAATGTGATTTAAACACAAAATATCGATGTACAGTGGGGAATTGATGGTGAACCGGGTCCAATTTCGTTCGACACACACAGACAATGGCGGCGTTTTTAAATCCGTTTACAAAATAAACAATAAAACAATGAGGCTCCAGAACCATTAAAGGGAAACATAAAAGTAATGGACCCGGTACTGCAGCGACTAGGAGATGTCACAATACAGAGACTCGAGAAGCCGAAAGAGGCCAAAATGGGACCTCAGAGCCACAGTGGGGCTCTGGAAAAGCCACCGAAAGAGGCACACGAGAGCCCCATCACCAGCGAGGACGAGGAGAGCGAGGACGATTTCCCCATTCCTAACCTCAAAAGGAACCTGCCCGAGTCTCAGGTTTCAATGAAAAAGTTCAAGTTTGATGATATAGCGAACCTGGCTGTCGGGGCCAAGAAGTGCGAGGATATTAACCGCGAAATTGCCAGTGTAAATAATTTTAGCGACGAGGATATGTCGGAGTTTGAAGACGAGTCCGACATCGAATCTGAAGGTGACTTAAATGATCTTATCAACTCTTCGGCGGAAAAACTTGGTAAGGAGGAGATTTCCGATGAGGAAGAGGAGGAAGAATCGTTTTTAGGTAATATTTCCTCATATTGATGTTTTATAACCTATAAATGTCAAAATACACATAATATTGTCAAGGCCATAACCTAAAAAAGGAATACCTGTCAAAATTTTATTTGACATTTTACCCGATTTTATCTGTCATTTCACAATTGTCAATCAGTTTTAACCTTACTTTTTACACAGAGGCGTCACTTTTCATTCAAGTTTTGCCTTTCAAATGAAAAGATTCATTTTCTTGGCTATGGCATCACAAAATGTGACTTTTACATTGCGGTCGTAGGAAAAATATAGTACAGTTTTAATTTTAGAGATTTTTTAAAAAAAATTACACTTTATAGCATGCTATAAAGTGTAAAAAATTTAAAAATTAAAACTGTACTATATTTATTTGTGAAAAATCAAAGATTTTCCACATTTTGTTAATGTTTTAAATTAATTTTTTATATTTTTAAATTAAAACTTAAATTAAAAAAAAATGTATTTATTATACATTTTAACTTTTTTTTAGATAAATTAGTTGACGAACCTTTTACGGGGGAACTGCCCATAGTTCCTAAGCAAGAAGCCCCAGACGAGGACTACGACTATGACATAAAAGAAAAACTGAAGGAAATGGGGGAAATCAGTTTTGAAACGGTGAAAAAGGGCGAGTCGAAACCGAAAAAGACCGAACCGACGGGAGAAAACGAAGTTTCCGTCACCCCCGCGAAAAAACCAGGCAAGACCGCAAAAAAAAAAAATAACCAACAATTAATTTTAAACCAATTTTAGGAGCAATAGAGGACGAAGCGTCTCTACCAAAAGGCATAAACATGAGACGAAACATCAGGGAAGTAATGGACGAGACCAAATTGGACGAGGCCACTCTTGCGGCGCAACGACAAGAAGCCGAAAGGGTTAGGAGGGTTGTGGAACAGCAAAAAATATTGAGGGAATATCAAAGGCAAGCTAATCAGGAAAGAATGCAGCAAAAAGTTATATCGCTGTTGCAAGGGAATAATTTAAATAAGCCTGGAACCTCTTCTACTACCAGAATAGGTAAGAAAATAAGTCATTCTGGAAATACTATTTTTATTTTTTCTTTTTTACATATTTATAAGTTTATAACATAAAAGTTTACGCTTTTTTATAGTTTTACAGTTTAGTTGAGTTTACAGTTTTAGAAAATTTTAAAACCAGGTTGAACAGTTTTTAGAAAATTTTAAAAGATGTTTAAAACATTTTTGCGACTAAAAATAGTTTTAAAAAAGTTTTAAGACATTTTTAAGTCAGTTTTAAGGGAGAAATCTCATTTTTTTAATGTTTGAAACATTTTTAAACAAGTTTAAAACTCTGTTTTAAACAAGTTTTAAATTAATTTTACGCTTGTTTTTGGCATGTTAAAAACAAAATGTTCTAAACAAGGTTAAAACTCTGTTTTAAACAAGTTTAAAACTCTGTTTTAAACAAGTTTAAAACTCTGTTTTAAACAAGTTTAAAACTTGTTGTAAACGTTTTAAACATTTTAAAACAATTTTATATATTTTTTGGAGCATTTATAAAGGAGTTACGTTTTTTTAAACATGTTTAAATCGGTTTTGTAACTAAAAATAGTTTTAAAAAGTTTTATGACATTTAAAAATGTCATAAAAAATTTTTAAGGAAGAAATCTCATTTTTTGAACAATAAATTGTTTTTATTAAAATCTATGTCGAAAATAGCAATTTTGAAGTGATTTTTTTAATTAATTTTAAGCTTGTTTTTGGCATGTTTTAAACTTGTTTAAAAAAGTTTAAAACACTCTTTTAATCAAGTTTAAGGCTATGTTTTAAACAACATGTTTTAAAACGTTGTTTTAGATATTTTAAAACAATTATATATATTTTATGGAGCATTTTTTAAGAAGTTGATAGTTTAAGGACAATTTACGTTTTTTTAAAACATGTTTAAATCAGTTTTGGGACTAAAAATAGTTTTAAATCAGTTTTTTGGTCAAAAAATTGTTTTTATGTTTTTTTTTAAGGAGAAATGGTTGAATCAAATTAAACACATGTTTGTCTTAATACATATGTTGAAGTGATTTTTTTAAATACTTTTAATCTTGTTTTTGGCATGTTTAAAAAACTCTGTTTCAAACAAGTTTAACTATTTTTCAAACAAGTTAAAAACTCTGTTTTAAAGAAGTTAAAAAACCTGATTTAAACAAGTATAAAACTATGTTTTAAACGACATGTTTCAAGACATTATTTTAAACATTTTAAAACAAAGTGCTCAAAAACAAAGAATACATTTTTTTATCTTTAATCTTTGCATTTACCAAAAGCAGTTTTTAAGTGATTTTAAGGACGTTGTACGTTTTTTTTTAACAGTTTTAAAAAAGTTTTTGGACCTTTTTAAATCAGTTTAAGTTTTAAGGGAAAAATCTATTTTTTTTTGTCAAAAAATTGTTTTTATGGGATTTTTTTAAGGAGAAATGGATCAATCAAATTAAACACGTGTTTTTATTAAAATTTAGGTCGAAAATAGCAATTTTGAAGTGATTTTTTTAAATTAATTTTAAGCTTGTTTTTCACATGTTTGAAACAAAATGTTTTAAAAAAGTTTAAAACTCTGTTTTAAAGAAGTTTAAACCTATGTTTTAAACGACATGTTTAAAGACATTGTTTTAAACATTTTAAAACAATTTTATATATTTTTAAAGAAGTAGGTAGTTTAGGACGTTCTAAGGTTTTTTAAACATGTTTAAAACTGTTTTGGGACTAAAAATAGTTATGAAAACGTTTTAGGACATTTTTAAATCAGTTAAAGTTTTGAGAATGAGAAATAAATCAAATTAAACACGTGGTTGTCTTAAAATCGAAGTGATTTTTAAAAATTAATTTTAAGCTTGTTTTTGATATGTTTAAAACAGAATTTTTTAAACAACTTTAAAACTGTTTTAAACAAGTGTTTGTCATCTATGTCAAAAACAGCAATTTTGAAGTGATTTTTTAATTAATTTTAGGATTGTTTTTTCATGTTTAAAACAAAATGTTTTAAGAAAAGATTAAAACTATGTTTCAAACGACATGTTTAAAGACATTGTTTTAAACATTTTAAAACAATTTTATATATTTTTAAAGAAGTAGGTAGTTTAGGACGTTCTAAGATTTTTTAAACATGTTTAAAACTGTTTTGGGACTAAAAATAGTTTTGAAAACGTTTTAGGACATTTTTAATCAGTTAAAGTTTTGAGAATGAGAAATAAATCAAATTAAACACGTGGTTGTCTTAAAATCGAAGTGATTTTTTTAAATTAATTTTAAGCTTGTTTTTGACATCTTTAAAACAGAATGTTTCAAACAAGTTTAAACACGTGTTTGTCATCTATGTAAAAAATAGCAATTTTGAAGTGATTTTTTAATTAATTTTAGGCTTGTTTTTTTCATGTTTAAAACAAAATGTTTTAAAAAAGATTAAAACTGTTTTAAACAACATGTTTAAAGACATTGTTTTAAACATTTTAAAACAAAAACTGCTGGATTGGTTTATTGACACATGTTTTAATCTAACCATAAAAAAAATATCTAAAGAACTGTTTTAAATATAAAAATACATGTGTTTCTCCAACCCTGATGTAACAACATTAAAAAATGTCATTATTACACGGAGAAAAATGTATGTTAAAAAACGCATAATAAAATTTATATAAAAGATAGTAAAATAAATTATTATATAAATTGAAATACTGGATGTTAATAAGTAAATAAAAATATTATAATCATTTATTAATTTTACACTTTTTACTTAATATTTTATACAAATTAAGTAATATGTTAAAGCGCTTTAATATAAAATATTATATTTACAATATCTTAATTATATTTTCATATTAAAATTTATCATAAGATTTAACTGTCACCATATTTAACGTAAAATAAAATAAATTATATTTCTAATATCATTTATTATATTTTTTTCTCCGTGTAGGAAATACGGTATTGGTGAAACTGCCGAACGGCCAAACGAAGCCGATGACGAAACTCCCTAAGCGCCCGTTCGAACTTCTGCGCGTGCCGAAAGGCTCCCCTCCCCAGCACCCCTTCCATCCGGGCCACCAGCCGCCCCCGATGCCGCCCGCGTGCGGCCTCTTCCCGCCCGTGCCGCCGATGCGGGCGCCGCTCCCGGCCCACCAGCAGCGCAGCCTGCTGACCGCCAAGAAACCGGGCGCGGGCGGCCAGCTGACGCCCAGCGTCAGCATAGCGCCCGTCGGCAAGAAGTTCGTCCCCGGCATGGTGCCCAAGCTGGAGAACTTCAGCGAGACGGACAGCGAGGGCGAGGACATCAAGTTGCCCATGGTCAAACCTAAAAGTAAGTGATTTAAGATTAAAAAAAATTTTTTTACTTGAAAAACGTCAAAAAAGTAAAAAAATATATAGAAAAGACGCATTACATTTTTTACATTTGCACGGAATCATTTTTACATAGGAAGCAAATTTTTTAAAATACAAAATTTACGGGGTAATGAGAAAAACTGTACTTCGGTCCTTTTGACCAAATAGGGTTTTAAAGTGTCGGAAAAATTGGGGAAAAAACCCTGTTTTTTCCGGTTTTTTTTTCAGTGTCTTTTTTCTAAAAAATTGATTTTTTTTTTGGAAAATATACGCATTTAAAAAAAGTAGCAATAAACAATTTAACAATATTTTAGTTTTACAAAGTTTTCTTACAGAAAAAAAAATAAAACTATACATGAATTAAATTAAATTGATTTAAATAAACGTAAACGTGAAATATACTATGGGTTGGGTCTTTTTGCAAAAAGGAGTCAAAAAAGTAAAAAATAAAAAAAAATAAAAGACGCATTAAATTTTTTACATTTGTACGGAATCATTTTTACATAGGAAGCAAATTTTTAAAATACAAAATTTACGGAGTAATGAGAAAAACTGTACTTCGGTCCTTTTGACCAAATAGGGTTTTAAAGTGTCGGAAAAATTGGGGAAAAAACCCTGTTTTTTCCGGTTTTTTTTTCAGTGTCTTTTTTCTAAAAAATTGATTTTTTTTTTGGAAAATATACGCATTTAAAAAAAGTAGCAATAAACAATTTAACAATATTTTAGTTTTACAAAGTTTTCTTACAGAAAAAAAAATAAAACTATACATGAATTAAATTAAATTGATTTAAATAAACGTAAACGTGAAATATACTATGGGTTGGGTCTTTTTGCAAAAAGGAGTCAAAAAAGTAAAAAATAAAAAAAAATAAAAGACGCATTAAATTTTTTACATTTGTACGGAATCATTTTTACATAGGAAGCAAATTTTTAAAATACAAAATTTACGGAGTAATGAGAAAAACTGTACTTCGGTCCTTTTGACCAAATAGGGTTTTAAAGTGTCGGAAAAATTGGGGAAAAAACCCTGTTTTTTCCGGTTTTTTTTTCAGTGTCTTTTTTCTAAAAAATTGATTTTTTTTTTGGAAAATATACGCATTTAAAAAAAGTAGCAATAAACAATTTAACAATATTTTAGTTTTACAAAGTTTTCTTACAGAAAATAATTAAAACTATACATTGAATTAAATTAAATTGATTTAAGAAAATAAACATAAACGTGAAATACAGGGTGTCTCACCAGCGATGGAACCTTAGACGTTTGAAATTTTTATAGCAATTATTGTATAATTTAATCTACCTTTTAAAATTATTTTAAATAAAATTCCTCTTCCGGTTTAACCGGAAGCGACATCAACTTTGTTATTTCCAATGGAACACCCTGTAATTTTTTTTATTTTTAAATTCCTCATGAAATTCTTAATGAAATTGCTGTACCATTCCCTATACCTAAACTTAATAGTTTTCGAGTTAATAATTTTTTTCGTAAAATTTTGACAGTTGCACCTTCATTAAAAATTGCTTATAACTTTTTTGATATTCGGTTTGCTGGTATGCTGTAAGGATTTTTGGAATCTTAAAACATTGTTTTAAAGATTCCATGTCTGAAATTTTAATATTTATGATCAAAAACCAGAGAAAAATCGTGGTAAATTTGGTTAACTTCAAACATTAATAACTTGTTTACATAATCAAATAAATAAATGAATTACATTTCGATTGGTATAACCATTCCCTATTTCCCTAGGTTTCGGAAATACAAGCAAATATCTGTAAAAATCCAATATTTTGACATATTTATCTCAGATACCGATGAAATGTCACAACAAATTAGTTATGTAATTGATTGACAGTTGATACATTTCTTAACCAAGTGGTGTTCAAAATTTCCAAAAGCGTTCAAAAATTAAGTAAAATGGATAGAAACAACTATTCCAATGATGTTTTGATGCAAATAGGAGGGCCACAACGGAATCTCCCAGGCACCGCATTTTAAAATGTTTGCAAGTCAATGGTCGGCATTTTGAACATTTATTAAAATAGTATTTTTGTTGTTATTTTTTTCATCACGTTTTTTTATAATTTATAATAATTAAATTCTTAAAACTTTGTTTAATTGTTGTTTTCCATTATTTTTAAAATATCTTCTTTAAGAAATGTATCAACTGTCAATCAATGACATAATTAATTTGTTGTGACATTTCATCGGTATCTGAGATAAATATGTCAAAATATTGGATTTTTACAGAAATTTGCTTGTATTTCCGAAACCTTACTATTTAGGTATAGGGAATGGTTATACCAATCGAAATGTAATTCATTTTCCTATTTGATTATGTAAAAATATGCATACCGTTCCATTGAAAATAAACAAGTTATTAATGTTTAAAGTTAACCAAATTTACCACGATTTTTCTCTGGTTTTTGATCATAAATATGAAAATTTCAGACATGGAATCTTTAAAACAATGTTTTAAGATTCCAAAAATCCTTACAGCATACCAGCAAACCGAATATCAAAAAAGTTATAAGCAATTTTTAATGAAGGTGCAACTGTCAAAATTTTACGAAAAAAATTATTAACTCGAAAACTATTAAGTTTAGGTATAGGGAATGGTACAGCAATTTAATTAAGAATTTCATGAGGAATTTAAAAATAAAAAATTTTACAGGGTGTTCCATTGGAAATAACAAAGTTGATGTCGCTTCCGGTTAAACCGGAAGAGGAATTTTATTCAAAATAATTTTAAAAGGTAGATTAAATTGTACAATAATTGCTATAAAAATTTTAAATTGATATCCTCAGCCGTTCTCCGTAAACGTCCAAGGTGCCATCGCTGGTGAGACACCCTGTATAAAGTACATTAAAAAAACAATATTATGTAATAGGAGTAAAAAAAATATATTACTTTTATGAGGGTTGACGGTCATTTTAGTCGACCTTTTTTCTAAAGGTTCATATTTTAGAATGCAAGTAATTATACATTTTTACTTACATTAATTTCATTTATTATTTAAAATTACACAAATTTGAGAATTTGTAGGTTAAAAAACGCTATATTTTCGACAAATAATCCAAAAAAGACAGTTTAAAGTTGTATTTGTAATCACCTTTATCCATACTATAAATTTTTAACACACGAAAATAACAAGTATTTTTGACAATGCTTTCATGTATTTGTTGTAACGTAACTTCTACTTCGCAGTTTAAAATTTAGGTAATAATCTGTCAAGAAAAATAGAAAGGCATTAAAATGCGTTTTTAAAAATTGCCGAGTAAATTTACCTCTCAGACCACAGTAAAAACAATTCCGAAAGGAAATCTTCATTGCATTGATTCTCTTAGCGAAAGACTCGGCTCCGGTGACGACTATCGACATCTCGTCGGACGACGACTGCATCGTGGTGTCGGAACCGGAAGCCGACGGTCCGGACGACTCGGAGGACGACCCGAGCAACAGCGGCATGCACACCAACGACGAGTTCAACCAGCCGGACGAGCGCGGCCGCGTGCTCGTCAACGTCGGACATCCGGACGACGAGCCGGACGTTTTTCTCGCGCCGCAGATCGCGCGCATCATCAAGCCGCATCAGGTGGGCGGCGTCAGGTTTCTCTACGACAACGTGATCGAGAGCACGACGCGCTTCGAGAGCTCTTCCGGTAAGCGAATTTATCGCATTCTTAATGCTGTTTTAGGACGTTTTTAAAGCAATTTCTGGGGATCCCTATGAATTCTTTTTAGACAATTTTATATTATTTTTGACACAAAACTATTCACTAAAAAATGTAGAAACTTACAATGAAATAAATTGCAAAAAATCGCAAAATGCAAACTAATCGTTTCCAAATTTAAAATGTAAAGTAAAAAAACTAATTTTATTTTAACGAGTCAAAACGCCACCAGCATGGAAGAAACAATTAGTTTAGTTTAGTTTACTGTCTACAGCTGCATCTTCTCCCACTTTCTGGGTCCTGGCTAAACCCTGCAAATAATTTCATCATTACCAACTTTCAATATAAAAATATTCGCAATTTTTTAATAAATGTGTTTTATTGAAAAATAAAGTCTTGCAATATGATACCCTTTATTATTATTTTTGGTTTTGTTGTTTTTGGAACTCATTTTTGCAATTTTAAAGAATTCTGTGATTGTTTGCCAAAGATGTTTTATTATACCAAATGACTAGTAAAACATTAAAAATAATCAGAAATTTACTAAAAAATGTGGAAAAAATTACAAAACTTACAATTAAAAAAATTGCAAAAAATCGCAAAATGCAAACTAATACGTTTCCAAATTTAAAATGTGAAGTAAAAAAACTAATTTTATTTTACCGAGTCAAAACACCACCATCATGGAAGAAACAATTAGTTTAGTTTAATTTACATTTTAAAATAATTTTACAACAGTTTAATAACTTTGAGAATATTTTTGAAACGGTAATTTTTTTCTCCTGGTTTCGGCTGCATCTTCGTCTACTTTCTGGGTCTCCCCTAAATCCCGCAAATCATTTCATTATTACCAACTTTCAATATAAAAATTTTCGCAATTTTTCAGTAAATGTGTTTTATTGAAAAATAAAGTCTTGCAATATGATACCCTTTATTATTATTTTTGGTTTTGTTGTTTTTAGAACTCATTTTTGCAATTTTAAAGAATTCTGTGATTTTTTGCTAAAGATGTTTTATTATACCAAATGACTAGTAAATCATTAAAAATAATCGGAAATTTACTAAAAATGTAGAAAAAAATTACAAAACTTACAATTGAAAAAAATTGCAAAAAATCACAAAATGCGGACTAATACGTTTCTAAATTTAAAAAGTGAAGTAAAAAAACAATAATTTTATTTTAACGATTCAAAACACCACCATCATGGAAGAAACAATTAGTTTAGTTTAGTTTACAGTTTTAAACAATTTTACAACAGTTTAAAAACTTTGAGAATATTTTGGAAACGGTAATTTTTTTCTCCTGGTTTCGGCTGCATCTTCGTCTACTTTCTGGGTCTCCCCTAAATCCCGCAAATCATTTCATTATTACCAACTTTCAATATAAAAATTTTCGCAATTTTTCAGTAAATGTGTTTTATTGAAAAATAAAGTCTTGCTATATGACACCCTTTATTATTAATTTTGGTTTTGTTGTTTTTAGAACTCATTTTTGCAATTTTAAAGAATTCTGTGATTATTTGCTAAAGATGTTTTATCATACCAAATTACTAGTAAATCATTAAAAATAATCGGAAATTTACTAAAAATGTAGAAAAAAATTACAAAACTTACAATTGAAAAAAATTGCAAAAAATCACAAAATGCGGACTAATAATACGTTTCTAAATTTAAAAAGTGAAGTAAAAAAACAATAATTTTGTTTTAACGAGTCACAGTTTACAACAGTTTAAAAACTTTGAGAATATTTTGGAAACGGTATTTTTTCCTCCAGGTTTCGGGTGCATCTTGGCCCACTCGATGGGTCTCGGCAAGACCCTGCAAATCGTGTGTTTCTCCGACATCTTCCTGCGGCACACTGCGGCCAAAACCATCCTGTGCATAATGCCCATCAACACCTTGCAAAACTGGATGGCCGAATACAACATGTGGCTGCCTACGGAAGAGCAAGCGCCCAATTCCCCGCTCAACGCTCACGGCGAAGTCAGAGCGAGAAACTTCGGGCTGTACGTCCTGAACGACAGCCACAAGACTCTACCGGCGCGCGCCAAGGTCATACACCAGTGGCGCACGTTCGGCGGCGTGCTGCTGATAGGCTACGAGCAGTACAGGCTGCTCAGTTTGAGGAAGTTCCCTAAATCGCGCAGGAAGAACCCCTTGGACACCAAGGACGACGACAAGAACAGGGCCCTGTTCGACGGTAAGTTTTTCCCTCTTTCGATCTACTTTATTTGACAGGTGCTTATCCTCATCGAAAATGCGATATTTGGAATCTACGCATACTAGTTCGTCATTCGTAAGTCTTGACAAAATCGTTTTTTAACGGTTTGGTTGTTTTTATTGCGGTATTTAAAAGAGAATAAAATATAACAAAACTATAGAAAATCAAACAAAACAGATAAAAGCCAATAAAATATTAAAACTTGACCGTTTGAGGGCGCTCGACGCACAAGTTTCAAGAAGTCTAATAGTGGGAGAAGGTTTTTTTTACATCCTTTTAGTTTTTAATTTTAACTTTATCCATCCTTGGCAGATTCAACTCCATCGTTTCTAATTATACCTATAAATTAAAATTAAAAACTAAAAGGATGTAAAGAATACGATTATTGCTTTTAAGTAGTAATTTTTACCGAATCGGTTGACAATGCATAAGTACATATTTTATCAAAATCAACAGAACAATATGTACTAGTTAATTTATTGAAAACAAACTGATAACTGTTATTAAAATGGTAATTTATTTGAAACAAACAGAACTGCACACAAAAAATAATTCTTTAATTTTAAAATAACGATAGTTTTGGATTTGTATATTTAAAAAAAAATGGAACAATAAACAATAATTTTATAAAGAAATTAGTTTAATGTATCTATTACTATAGTAATATATTATGAATAATTACTTTAATTAAATTTTCATGTATTTAAATATAGAAATTATACTGTTTTAAATATTAAAGTTTAATTTAAATAAATTAATATAAACAATAAAAAAGGAGTTTTTAACAAAACGTTACAGCTTTAAATAAACTTATATTTGATTTGAATTAAGAGTACCTATAAAAGTTTTGCGTTTCAATAAACGTATTATAATTGATTGTGTGAAAGTATAGTTTAATAATATATGCAATCATTATATAATATATTATATGGTAAGATTTTAGCGTGCATTTTTTTTTAATACTTTGAGCATTGGATTAATTAGCTAATGTTAAAGGGCTATTTTTAGCATGCAAGCTGGGCAAATAATAAAACTGTTTTCATAAAAAAATTGAAGGTAATTTATTATATGGCATCAAAATTGTTAAATATACACTGCGCGTCAAAATTAACACATAAAAAGTAAAAAAAATCCAACTCTAAAACTCCTGTAGCAATCTTTATGAAATTTTGGATAAAAATACTTTAACTTGTATCTCAGTTTACGTGTTTTTTGAGAAAATATCCTTAAAGCCCTTTTATTTAATAATAATAAACGCTCGAAATAAATAAAAAATATCCTGTAAAAGACCGTATTTTTGTTAGTAAACCCTAAAAATGTTGTACAAGTCAAACGAACATTATCGAAAATACAGCGTTTCAAAGTCGTCAAAAATGACCATTTTTCAGCAAAATAATCAAAAAGGGGTAATTTTTACAGACTTTGAAGCGCTGTATCTTTGTTACTGTTCGTTTGATTTGTACAAAATTTTCAGGGTATACTAACGAAAATACGGTCTTTAACAGCATATTTTTTATTTACTTAAAAAAATTCTCTAAACGTTATTTTTAGAACGTTTCTTTATTATTAAATAAAAAGGCTTTAAAAATATTTTCTCGAAAAACCCTCTGACACGTAAACTGAGATATAAGTTGAAGTATTTTTATACAAAATTTCATAAAGATTGGTAAAGGCGTTTTAGAGTTAAAATTGTGCGTTAATTTTGACGCGCAGTGTATTTTTCTTTCATTAGGCTATACATAAAATAAGAGAAACAAGCAATATTTCTATAAAAGTAGAGATAAATTTTAATAATTAACAGTTGAGGACGGGACAATCGATAATTTAATTATCATAAGTTCTTGGAAACATTTAAAATTATAGTCGGAGAAAATTTGAAAAAAATCGGGGAAATTAAGTTGCCACTCTTTAGAAGAATGTTATCAACCTGATAAATATATTTTAACCTTAAAGCCTGATTTATAGATTGCCTTCCTTCCTTCCTTCCTCCCGTAAAATATGAACAATACGAAAATCGTAGTGCCATTTATAGATCTTTAAACAGCACAACGGTTTTTGTATTGGGAGCAAGGAAGGCAATCTATAAATCAGGCTTATATCATCTAAAGTATTTTTTTTCTTCTAAACAGAGGTTCACGAAGCCCTCGTAAAACCGGGCCCGGATCTGGTGATCTGCGACGAGGGCCACCGCATAAAAAACTCCCACGCGTCGATTTCTCTCGCGTTGAAGCAGATGTGCACCAAGAGACGCGTGGTTTTGACCGGATACCCGCTTCAAAACAACCTCATGGAGTACTGGTGCATGGTGGATTTCGTGCGGCCCAACTATTTGGGTTCGAAGACGGAGTTCTGCAACATGTTCGAACGGCCCATAATGAACGGCCAGTGCATAGACAGTACCGAGGCCGATATTAAGTTGATGAGGTACAGGGCGCACGTTTTGCATTCTTTGCTGTTGGGTTTCGTGCAGCGTAGGAGCCATGCGGTGTTGCAAACCGCGCTGCCGCAGAAAGAGGAGTACGTTCTTCTCGTTAGGATGTCGACGTTTCAGAGGGAGTTGTACGAGACTTTCATGAACGAAGTCGTGAGATCACAGGCGGTACCGAATCCGTTAAAAGCCTTTGCTGTTTGTTGCAAAATCTGGAATCACCCGGACGTTTTGTACAACTTCCTCAAGAAACGCGGCGGCGACGCGGTGGATATCGATTTGGAGGAGGTGGCAGGTGCGGCGGTCACCCCACAGGTGGCGTTGGCGCCGGTCAAAGAAACGAAAGCCAGAAAAACGCCGGCACGACCGAGAAGAACCCCTGCGAAAGGTAAAAACGGCAAACCGGCCGCTTCGGTTACGCCGTACAACAGCTCGCAAGAGCAACCGCCCACGCAGCTGCTCGGCACTCCGATTTCGGCTTCTGGGCCCCTAACCTCCTTCAGCAACACCATTTCTCAGGTGGCGAGGGAGTCGTCTCAGGGCTCCGTTCCGCAGCAGAAAAACAACACGCCGTTTCAAGGCAGCACCTACTACGACCAGCATTTCGACCAGAACGCGCAGTTTCCGACGAACTTCGGCAGGCAGCAAACCAATACATATCCCGACAACAACCAAAGTACAAATTTTAACGAGCTGAGAAGTCAGTCTCAGTCCCACTCGCAGCCGAGCACGTTCATCAACTTGGACAACCAAACCCCCGCGCAAAGCAACAACTCTCTAACCTCCTTGACGAACCTATCGTCGGAAATATCGCTGACGCCAGTAAAATCCGCGAAATCGGCCAGTTCTAGTCAAATATCCCTAACTCCCGCCCAAAATCGACAACAACGCGATTTCACGCAACTAAACACCGGACAAGTCTCCCTAACGCCCATACAACAAAACATGCCGCCCCCACAACAACAAGCCGGTTACAACCAGTATCAGTCGCCGCCCAATCAAAACAGGCAGCAGTTCGGCAACCGCGCTTTCTCATCCAACCAGCACAACCAGCCCTACGGAGGCAACATGCAGCAAAACGATCAGCAACAGCATAACCCTCCAGTGACGTACAGCCACACTTTACCCGGGGGCAATCCGGAAAACGCCATTTACACGCCAGGTTCCGTTGCCACCCCAACCAACTACAACCCCAATACTCAGCAAAACGAAAATTTCGCTCAGCAGAACGCGAATAATCAGCAAACGTTCGCACCGCAACCTCCGCAACAACCCAACTTTGCCAACCAACAAAATCAGCAAGGTTGGCCTGCGCAACCAAATCAGCAAACTGTCGCTTACAATGCGAATCAGGAGTACAACAATCAACAGCAAAACACCTACAATCAACCGGCTGCGAGTCTAAACTACACGCAAACATCAACGAATCAGCCAAGTCAAGCCCAAACGCCGGCTTACAATCAAACCCAAGGGCAAGGAATAGAACCTCTGATGAACTACACCCAACAAACTACCGGCTACAGTCAGCAGAATCAGGAGTTCAATCAGCAAGGTTTCGCCCAGCAGAACCAGTCCCCTCAGTTCAGCAGAAGTCAGCAAAGTACGCCGTTTAACAGCCAGACGACCAATCAACATCAAACTCCGCCAAATCAGCAAAGCGCGCCGTTCAGCAGTCAGACTCAGCAAAGAGCTACTTACCCTGAGACATTTACAAGCCAAAATTACGAAACCCCCGGTTACAGTCAGCAACCCACTCAGAAGTCTCAGGAAACGTTCAGCTACGCCAATCAAGGTCAAAGTTACAGCCAAAACAGTCAGCAAAACTTCGAGTCCGGCAACTTTCAGCAGCAGCAAAACTACTGGCAGCAACAACAGCCACAGCAGCAGCAGCAAGAAGGGTTCAGTCAGCAGCAAAATACGTTCTTCAACCCTCAGAATCAGCAGCAGCAGCAGTTCAACGCGAATTTCAACAGCAACTCGAACCAATCGTGGATGAAGAAAGACGACTCCAAATGCAACACGATCAGCTCGATAAAAAGCGAAACCAGCAACGACTCGAAGCCGAAAATCAAAATCATCAGCGACATCAAGTTGCCGCCGGTATTTCCGGGGCACAGTAACGACTCAAAGCCGAAAATTAAGATTATCAGCGACATAAAAATCGAGCCGAAACTGGAGGACGTCGACGAAAAGTTCGAGTTGAAGCAGGAAATCAACAAGTTGAAGAACGAACTGAAGAACGAGTTGAAAATCGAAGGCGACAGCAAATCGTCCAGACCGACGTCGCCGTTGCCAAAATTGAGTTCTCTTGTGAGCACAAAAGAGGATACCGGGATTCCGTACGATTGGGCGCTTGAGCTGTTGAAGGACTACGTTCCGGGTTGCATAGAAAACTCCGCCAAGATGAAGATACTTTTCTGCATCATACGCGAAAGTATAGCGCTGGGGGACAGACTTTTAGTGTTCAGTCAGTCCCTCATAACGCTGGACTTGATCGAGCAGTTCTTGCAGAGCAACTTGGTGCCCGGAGACACTGTGAACTGGGCCAGGAACACCAGCTACTACCGTAAGAATCACTTTTAGAGTGATTTATTATGTTTATTATGTTCTAATGTTATCTAGGTTTGGATGGATCCACGAGTGCTTTGGAGCGCGAGAAGCTCATCAACGAGTTCAACTCGAATCCGAAGATTCACGTGTTCCTCGTTTCCACTCGGGCAGGTTCGCTGGGTATCAATTTGATCGGCGCGAATCGTGTGGTGGTCTTGGACGCTTCGTGGAACCCGTGTCACGACACTCAAGCCGTGTGCAGGGTTTATCGGTACGGGCAGAGGAAACCGTGCTTCGTCTATCGATTGGTCGTGGATAATTGTTTGGAAAAGAAGATTTACGACAGGCAGGTTAATAAGCAAGGTAACGCAACGTTTTGAGGGTGGTTTTTCGGGTTTTCATGACGGAATTTCAGGTATGTCGGATCGCATCGTGGACGAGTGCAATCCGGACGCCCACTTGACCATGAAAGACGTCAGCACCCTGTGTTGGGACGATAAAAAGGACGAGGGAGACGAAAAAGACTGGTCTTGCGTTAAAGACAACTACATCGACGTGGTTTTGCAAAAGGTGCAGTAATTTTTGCCAAAAAAAAAAAAAAACTCGAGTGTAACTGTTCTGCTTAGGTTCTTGTCGAGCACGGGCGCTGCTTGAACAAGGAACCCTTTCAGCACGAGTCCCTCCTGGTGGACAGGAAAGAGAAGCAGCTGTCGTCGCAGGAGAAGCGTTTGGCGAAAAAGGGCTACGAGAGGGAGAAACAGGCTTCGCGACAGCCGTCGTACAGCGTTGCCAGTGGGAGAGGTCACAGGCCCATCGCCTCGGTCAGGCCCATGCAGCAGGGCGAGCGGCCCAGCAGGTGGATACCGGCCGAGCACTGGCAGAGACAAGGTAGGAAAAATAGTTTTGTTTTAGAATCGAATGGGGTAGTTAAATTTTTTCTGACCTCTACTTTTTATGGTTTTATTCAAGGCGTTTTGTAATATTAAACATTTCTGTGAAATCGGAATTTCAATTGAGTTTACCGTTTTCGAGATATTTACAAAAAATATAAATTTTTATGACGTCACAAACCTCGCCATGTGACCAACATTCTAAGATTTCTATTGGTTGAAAATAACCCTGTTGTCAAGTTGTCTTGTTAATATGTACAAATACTGTCACTGTGACGTAATTAGGAGATTTTTTTTGTAAATATCTCGAAAACGGTAAACTCAATTGAAATTCCGATTTCACAGAAATGTTTAAAATTACAAAACGCCTTGAATAAAAACATAAAAAGTATAGGTCAGAAAAAATTTAACTACCCCATTGAGTTGTACCGGTACAGTTTGCAGAAGATAGTAGTGCACTTTTTTATTTTTTTGAGCGTTTTAGACAGTCTATACTGTTTGGGTTATTTTATACAGTTTTTGGACTTATTTAGACACTTCTAATGTGGTTTTGGTCTTATACAGTTTGGGTAATTTTTAATGGTTTAAGCGCATTTGAAAAATTTGTATGTTTGGGTTTCAACACATTTAACCATAAACAGTTGTTGGTCATTTTAGAGGGTTCCAGTATTTTGGTTTATTTAAGACAGTTTAAGGAAACATTTAGATTTTTTTTAAAATTGTATTTGGACAGTTCTAATGCAGTTTGGAAAGTTCTAATGTAATTTTGATTATACAATTTTGGTCAATTTTTGTGATATTTTTTTAGCAAACAGTTTCAATGATTTGGCTTATCAGACAGTTTTAGGACATATATAGACAGTTCTAAGATAGTATTTGGTCATTTTAGACAGTTCTTAAACAGTTTGGGTCATTTTTTAATAGTTTGGATTTTATGGTCATATCAGACAGTTTCAATAATTTGGCTAATTTTTAGTTTTAGGACATATTTAGACAGTTCTTAGATAATATTTTGTTATTTTAGACATTTCCAATACAGTTTGGACAGTTCTTATACATTTTGGGTAATTTTTTCGATAGTTTTAGTGCATTTTAAATATTTTGTTTGAATTACAAGACATTTATAAACAGTTTTTGGTCATTTTAGACAGTTCCAATAATTGGCTTATTTAATACAGTTTTAGGACATATTTATACAGTTCTAAGACAGTATTTGATCATTTTAGACAGTTCCAATACAGATTGGATAGTTCTAATGTAATTTTGGTGTTAGATAATTTGGGTCAATTTAGACAGTTCTTATACAGTTTTGGATCATTTTTTATAGTTTTGGTGCATTATAAATAATTCTGTTTGACTTACAAGACATTTATAAACAGTTTTTGGTCATTTTAGATAGTTCCAATAATTTGGCTTATTTAAGACGGTTTTAAGACGTTTTTAGGCAGTTCCAAGATAGTATTTGATCAATTTAGACAGTTCTTAAATAGTTTGGGTAATTTTTTGATAGTTTCTTTCCATTTTTAATAATTTTTTGTTTGGGTTACAAGACATTTATAAACAGTTTTTGGTTATTTTAGACTGTTCCAATAGTTTGGCTTATTTAAGACAGTTTTAGGACGTATTTAGACAGTTCTATGATAGTATTTGGTCATTTTAGAGTTCCAATACAGTTTGGACAGTTCTAATCTAGTTTTGGTATTATACCATTTGTGTCAAGTTAAACAGTTCTTATACAGTTTGGGTCATTTGTTGACAATTCCTTCGCATTTTAAATAATTCTGTTTGTATTACATTTATAAACAGTTTTAGGTCCTTTTATATAGTTCCAATAATTTGTCTTATTTAAGTCAGTTTTAGGACATATTTAGACAGATAATTTTTAATAGTTTTGGAGCATTTTAAATAATTCTATGTTTGGATTACAAGATATTTATAAACACTTTTTGGTCATTTTAGACAGTTCCATTCATTTGGCTTATTTAAGACAGTTTTAGGACATATTAAGACAGTTCTAAGATAGCATTTGGTCATTTTAGACAGTTACAATACAGTTTGAACAGTTCTAATGTAATTTTGGTGTTAGACAATTTGGATCAATTTACACAGTTCTTATACAGTTTGGGTAATTTTTTGATATTTTTGCCGCATTTTAAATTATTCTATGTTTGGGTTACAAGACATTTATAAACAGTTTTTGGTCATCTTAGCCAATAATTTGGCTTATTTTAGACAGTTTTAAAACGTATTCTAAAATAGTATGTGGTCAATTTAGACAGTTCTTAAACACTAAAATAGTAGATGGTTCCAATAATTTGTCTTATTTAAATTAGTTTTAGGACATATTTAGAAAGTTCTAAGATAGTATTTGGTCATTTTAAATAGTTCCAATACAGTTTGAATAAATTTTTGTCATATAATTTGAGCCAATTTTGATGTTTTAAAAGTTTTAGACGAGTTCAGTTTAATGATTTAATTAATTTAACAATTTTAACAAAAAGAGGGTAAAGTGCATATTACTATTTTCTCTGACTGTACATAAAAAGTATCAACACAATTTAAAACCTTTACAGGCATGACAGCTCAGGAGATGACGCTGCCACTCGACGTGGTGATCCCGACGAATCAGCCCGAAAAAGGCAACATAGTTTTAAAAGCGGGCCAAAAGGTGCTCGTCCTGAAGTCGCCGAAAGGCGTCTACATGCAGCTGGAAAGCGGCAAAATAGTCGCGATCAAGACGGCCATCAAAGTGAAAGGCAAGGCCGAGGAGAGCGCCAACGACCCGACGAAGATGTCGCCCAAATCGACGATGGCGGCCGCCATGCTGCCGGGTCTGGGCGCGCTGCCGCCCACGATGAAGGTCAACCCCTCCATCTCGGCGATGCCGACGCAGAAGAAGGTGGTGAAGCCGTTCCAGCCGGGCGTGGCCAAGTTCAACGTGCGCAGCATAAGGCAGTCGGTGCCGAATTTGGTGTCGCGCATCCAGAGCGTCACCAAGAAGGTGCAGATGGCGAAGACGAAGCCGTACAACGTCGGCTCGGAGATCGCTAAGTCCCTGAAGGAGGCGGAGAGCATGCCCGGGAGCAGCAGCGAGGACGAGCACGCGTCTTTCGCGTCGCAGCAGCAGCAGCAGCAGCAGGACAACAAGCCGAAGGTGGAGAGGCTCAACGGACCCGAGGAGATACAGCGGCAGATTTCCATGCTGAAGAGCAAGCAGATTTCCATCCAGCGGGTGAGTTCGCAGGCGCCCAAGCCGAATCCGGCGGAGGACAAGAAGAAGGCGCCTCTGGAGCAGCTCGAGCGCACCGCCACGTCGGTGTTGAACGACAATACGCCCTTCCAAGTAAGTGTTCAAACCAAAATTACTAATTAAAATCGGCGGGTTTTTTAATAATTTCAAAAATTGCTGGGGCAATTTAGACACTTCTTATACAGTTTGGGTAAATTTTTGATAGTTTTGTCGCATTTTAAATATTTATCTTTGAAATACAAGACATTTATAAAAATTTTAGACAGCTCCAATAATTTGACTTATTTAAGAACATATTTAAACAGTTTTAAAATAGTATATTTGGTCATTTTAGACAGTGCATATACTTTCTAATATAATTTTGGTTTTATATAATTTTGATTAACTTATACAGTTCCTATACAGTTTTTTTATCGTTTTGTCGCATTTTAACTAATTCTATGTTTGGTTTACAAGTCAGTTTCAATAATGTGGCTTATGAGCCAATTGGGGTCAATTTAGACAGTTTTAATACAGTTTGGAAATTTCTTATGTAATTTTGGTATTATCCAATTTGGGTCAATTTAGACAGTTTTTATACAATTTGGGTAATTTTTTAACAGTTTCTTCGCCTTTTCAGTCATTCTGTTTAGGTTACAAGACATTTATAAACAGTTTTTGGCCATTTTAGACAGTTTCAATAATTTGGCTTATTTAATACAGTTTTTAGACGAATTTAGACAGTTCTAAGATTTTTATAGTTTCTTTGCATTTGCGATAATTTGGCTCATTTAAATCCGTTTTAGGACATATTTATACAGTTCTAAAATAGTATTTGGTCATTTTGGGTCAATTTAGACAGTTCTTATAAAGTTTGGGTAATTTTGGTGATTTTAGACAGTTTTGGGACATTTTTCACAGTTTTCTTATTAATGGTTGCCATGGTAACGCAAAATAACTTGTCACCCACATTCTAGATTCATAGCTAAAAATGTAACAACACGGTAAGCAGCAAAGTTAGCGCTTATAGTACCATGTTACTATTAGTTTTATTTTATTTCAATGTTTTTTTAATGGAATAAATTTTTGTAGTTATTATTGTGCATTTTACTACTTAAAATTTTTCTATAAAATTAAGTATAGGGTCGTTCTGAGGGGTGGTGCCGTGCTTAGATTTTGTTTTAAAAAATCGCTAATATAAATTCTTAAAAATGTACTCTAAAAAACTGACATAGTAGGCCTTGTATTTTGTACAAATATTGCGTTTTTTTGCTCCATAAATACAGTTTATCAAGATCTACACTTTAAAACAAATCCGGTTAAAATCGCACAATAAATAAAAAATTTACAGGGGTGAGTCGCAACAAACATTGTATATATATATAAATGAATCGCCGTGCGTTAGTCCTGCAAAAACTCGGAAATGGCTCAACTGATTTAATTAATTTTTTTGTCTTGTTCGCCTCAATACAAAAATTCATTAGGAAAAACCGAAGGGAACAGCCGGATAATCGAAAAAATCGAAATTCGTACAACTTTGGATTAATTTGAATAGATGGCGTGCGTAGCTGCGCTTCAGATTAAATGAAAAAACATAACCATAAATTCATTGATTCAATTGTTTTAGCGAGAAATTAGTTTAAATATTGTTTAAATTAGTTTAAATAGTAAAGTTCTCAAGGTAAGTTTGCCGGATTTGAGCGACTCTGAAAACAATTCCGTGTTGTTTTACAGTGTTCAATGAATTGGAGTTGAAAGGTTCATAAGGATTGATAATCGCTTATAAAGAATTTTAGGTGAAACCTAATAAAACGTTTTTCAGGACACTCTGGACAGCATCACTCGAAACTTCAAAAACGCGGACGCTGCAAGTTCGGACGAACCTCTGGAGCACCTGGAAGAGGAAGAAGAAGAAGAGGAGGAGGAAGAAGACGAAGAAGAGGCGGCCGCCCTGGAAAGCGAGGACAAGGAGGAGACGCACGAGATAAGCGACCACAGCGACGACGTGACCTTCGTCTCGGGCCGGCAGCCGCCGCCCGCGGACGCTTCGAAGCCCGCCGACGCCGCCCCCGCCGACTACGGCTACAACTACGGCGGCTACCAGTACCCGCCGTACCACGGCCATCCGCCGCCGCCGCAGGGCTACCCGCCCTACCCGCCGCCGCAGCACCCGCCCCCCTACGACGCGATGGGCTACGCGCCGCAGCAGTACGGCTACGCGTACCCGCAGGGCTACGCGCCGTACCCGCCGCCGCCGCCCCCGCAACCCGGCTACGACTACCAGACGGCGCCGCCGCCGCAGCCGATGTACCCCGGCTACCACCAGCCGTACCCGCAGCAGTACCCGCCGCCGCCCCCGCAGGCCGGGTACCCGCCCCCGCCCGCACAGCAGCCCCCATACGCGGACTACCAGTACCCGGCGGCGGGGGCGCCCGCCCCGCAACCGCCCTACTACCCCAACACTTAAGTATTAAACGTTGACGCAAGAACCCAGTGCAATTTTTTTACCTTGGCCCGCGGAAAATTCATTTTAGTTGGAAAGTGTTCTTTTCCGAAACGCAAACAGTTACAAAGAAATGCAGCCCGGCAATGAAAAAGGTAGGTTTTATTTTAAGTTTTTTATTGACCAGCGCCAATCGAAAAAGCATAATTTTTACCTCGTTATCAATTACAAAAAAATAATTATTTTCATCTAAAGCCTCATTTTTTATTCCAGGTCGCATACGTTATTTTGTAAACTTCCCAGCATTTTTTTTTAATACTTTAAAGCCCAACAAAAACTGCCTTTAATGTATTAAAAAAAAACTTATTTACGTTCAATAGTGATGAACAAAACAGAGATATTTGCCGCTAACATTTTTAAATAATGAAGACTTTAAAGCGCCAACGCAAACGCGATTTTTAATCTATGCGTCATTCCATCAAAACATTTTTCTTTAAGGTCTAAACCCCGCGAATTTTTAAACATTTTGTTTTATATGTATAAAAATAATGATTTGAGCTCTTCAGTACTTTCGTGATGATTTTTGACGATATTTTTTTCTACTTTTTTTTTGGAGAAATAAATACAAACAGTATTTATTATAATAAAAATGCTTTTGATATTTTTTTTCAAAGCTTATAATTTTGTACAGGGTGATCCCCAATAATGTCGCCCCTCTTTAACTTTTTTATATAAAGTGTCATAAAAAATTTAAAAGTGTGGTTATGTGTGTATTAAAAAATACTTGTTTTCTACGAAAATTGATTAGTATACAGGGAAAAACAAAAAGTTTATTTTTTCTCAATGGATCACCCTATATATGAATTTATTTTTCGATTCCTTGTAAAATTCTAAGCATTTTTTATTATTATTATTATTATAAAATGGTTTCCTTAGCGCTTTAAGGCCTACAGGTAAGAAACACAACGTTTAAAACGATTATTAATCTGTATAAACAGCACAAACCCATCACAAGATTTGTAAACAACATAAAAATGGCCGCCGTTAAAGTCTGCGCAGTGGGTTGCCTAACCTCGTGGTTTCTATCATGCGCGAATTTGTAGGTTAGGTTGGCAAATTCTAGGGACCCTAAATTTAAAATCGACTACTATACATTTAGTGAAACAAACTAATTTAGTGGAAAAATTAATTGTGGTTGTGTTATAATTATTTGAGGTTAAACATGTTTATAAATTTTGAAATGTCACATAAATCCACTAAATAATTTTGTTTTACTCAATGTAGCGAATTATAAATTTAGGGTCCCTAGAGTTTGCCAACTAAACCCCCAAATTTTTGAGGTTGTCAAGTTCCGAATAAAAATAAACAAACTGTAATTATTTAGCGTGAATTTGACAGTTGCTTAACCTAAAAATTACTTTATTATTTGATCGAGTATAAACAAAAAATAACCCCATTGTGAATATTACATTTTTTGTGTAAAAAATCACTGGTGGTATTTTTATAAAACATTATTTACATAAAAAAAATATCGTCGAAATTTGAAAAATCATTACTGGAAAAGTAATATATTTAAAAAATCGGCGGTGGTCTATCTCCAAAAAAATGTATTTGGTGGAATGATCCATATATATAATATCATATAATATATATATTTTTCACCATTCCAAGAAGTCTTAAGACTTTTAGTCTTCTTGGTTTGTTACCTGCGCAATAGAACTGTTTTTCTCAATCTCAGTGTTCAATGACCCCAAATCAGAAAATAACACTTTTTTATTAAAATGGCAATTATCTGTCGGCCAACGTTCTCATATTTTTATTTTGTGAAATCGTAACGAAACCTCGGTGTTTGCATGCTAGAATTAGGTTGGTACGGACGTGAAAGAATTTTAGGGGATTTTTGCATCACCGGTTGGTAATTTAAAATCTCAGTATTACACAATTTCGAAGGGAAGACGTTTTCGATCAAAATTACCACAAATTTGACATCACCAGAAAACTTAAAATTCTTTCACCTCACTTGGTAGGTACTGTACACAGTTTTAGAATTCACGTAGACATTAGACGTGTCTATGGTTTCTATCAGTGTTTACCAAACTTAAGAAAAAATCTCATCTATCCCTAGAATAAGACCAGATACCAACTAAGCTTTGTAGAATTTAATGAAAGTAAAAAATCAATGTCGATAGTATGTAATTAAGTTTTAATTTATCTTGTAACAAGATACCCCTTATCGTGTTAAACAAAAAAGTGGTACTGACATTTATATTGTGCGCCTCTTGAATTAATTTTTAATATCATTTATTTTCTGCATTTATTATTTAAGTTATATCTATATTTACAGTGATTCGATTTAATAATATAATTTATCAAATTATTTAACTGCGAGTTTTATTTATCATCCCGAAAATGTACTTTTTGGCACTAAAGTTCATTTTTTTTATCTGGTCTGCGGTAACGTTGCAAATTTAGGGTTTTGGTTGGTAAATACAGTTGTCAAGTTGGTCGCATTGATTAAAACAAACTAAGCTAGTTGTAAATCTAATTGTGGTTATGTATAAATTATTGTAGGTTACATTGGGCAGTTGTCAAGTAGAGTTTTCGAAATTCGAAGTTAAAAATGCAATTAATTTGGGTTTGGTGGTGCTTGGATGAGTAAAATCATATAAAAAAGTAGTTAAATATAGGTTGCTTTACGGCACAGAAGAGAAAGTATTCCTAGCGGATAATAATCTTCGCTTTGAAAAGAATTTATATAAAAGAAATTAAAAATTTTTTGTGAAAGTAAATGTTGTCCAATGGTGAATAATGTGTGATGTAATATTTATAAAAGCAAATTCGATACTTTTTTACTCCAAAAATGTCCATAAGGCGATGTACTTTTTCTTCCATTGTGGCATTTGGCATAATTTCATCAAAATAAAGTTTTGCTCTCAAAAGGGCTTTTACATTCGAATTCGTTACTATTATTTTTGGCATAATTATATTTTTATTTATAATTGACAAGTAAATTATCAATAATAAATATTATTGTCAATTTGACAGTGTCAAAGTATTTAATTAAATTCTTTAGCAGAAGTACCATTTTTAAATACTAAAAATACCAAGTCAAACTAGCATAAGCCATCAACCTAACAAAAAAACACGAATCGAGATAAAAAAAATGAACTGTTGCTGTTTATTAATTTTTTAACTGTAAAATTTTAAAAAAATATGAAAAAGAAATTATCAGAATTACAACATGGCCGATATTCAGCGCTACCAACCTAAACTCTTATGTTCTGTGCCTAAACTCACAGACTTAACGACAGTGACGACATCTCTTATTTTACTAACTAACTTACAATAGAGATATCTAAACTTAAAGTTCTCCTATTTAATACTAGGTGGCGCCACATTTTACTGTCAAATTTTTTGACAGCTGTCAACAAAGTCAATATTTACAAATTCGCGTGAAAATGGCACACACGCAATACTTGGACGAAATAATCCGCGAATACCTAATATTCCGAGGTTTCGGGAGCACGACGAAGGCCTTCGATTCCGAACTGAAAGTCGACAAAGAAAAGAGTTTTCGCGTGGACAAAATAATCGAGCAAATGTCGAGTTTCATAACGAACTACGATTTGAACTCGTTGAGGGAGTTGTGGAGTCATCTGGAGGTGCACATGTTCGCGAAATTGGAGAGCCACTTTACTGCGGGGGTTAAAAAGTTGGAGAATGCGGTGTTGAAGATGTATTTGGTTAATGCCATTACGAACAACAAATCTGAGAAGGTGAATGAGTTTTTCGTAAAGACTACGCCTGAATTGCAAAGTCAAAACGAGTGGAAGGATTGGTTTGGTATATAAAGAGATTTTAACGTTTTAAAGTTTTAAATAATTGTTTTTTTAGTAATACCTTTCATTAAAAATCCTGAAGAAAATCCTACGTTCTCTCTGCATTTTACTAAGCAGTGGCAAGACACTTTACTAGTTTCTTTGCATAACTTTCTCTCTTCAATATTCCAATATATGCCCACCCCAACACTAATGCATTTTGAAGAATATGCAAACAAAATAACAAAGTTGGAACAACGTAATGAATCCCTTAAAAACCGATTAGCATTACTCATAGAAAAAGGGCCAGAATCGAGCGTGACCCCTTGTAATGTGGAACCTCCCCCACATTTATTGGATGATTTTTATATTATTGCCCAAGAGAGTAATATCATTGATAGTCAAGGAAAATCGTTGAAGAATTTGATACGAAATATGGGAACTGGTTCTAGCCCCATTTTAGGGAGAAAAGAAAATAGTGGGAGTAATAGAAAGAGAACTGGTACTACTACAAGAAATATTATTTAATGTAAATATTTTGTACATATTAATTTAATAAAGCAGGTTAAATAAAAAGCATTTTTAACAAGTTATTATATATTGTCTTAGAACAAATAACAGTATATTGGCTTAATGTAAATAATAATATTGTCATCTAAAGTAAAGTAAAAATAAAAATGGCTACAAATATATCACATAAAAAGCCCATTGTTTTAAAAACAAAATATAGTGGTTAAACTAAAAAAATATATGCTTTGTACTTAATTTTTTCATAGAAAATACTTTCCTTAATTTAGTTAGTGTAAAAATCCTTATAATTAAATAAACTGTGATGTTATGATTGAAAAATACCTGAGAAATGAAAATAATTGCAACTTATCTAAATGTTTAAATCGAAAATTTCCAGTAGTATAGGTTCAACTTCAGAAGGGTTTACATTTAAATATACATTTATTACTTCCTCATTGAGTTTATGCAGTTCCGTAATTTTTTGTATTAATTTTAAGAAGGTTGATTTTGCTTCACATCCTGGGTGTATACTTTCCAGATATCTTCTCAGTAAATAATAATAAGAATTCTAAAAAATGTAATATTGTTAAGTTGATAAATAAATTACAGTAGGCTGTAACAGCAAATGCAGCAGTACCAATGTGGTAAAAATAAAATGTTGTATTTTAATTAACAAATAAATACTTTATTACAAACTAAATCATCATTAAAGACTAACATTATGATAAAAAGTAAATAGGTAGCAATATAAATTGTTAATTTGATGTTATAATGGCAAAATTAAGGTTTCAAACTGTCATATTTTTGCGGTTCTTAAGTTGGCAGCACGAAATTTGAAATGACCATTTTAGTGCTAAAAAAGTTGTTTTTTGAGATTTTCATGAAAAACATACTGTAAAATCAGTTTTTAACCCATTAACATGATCCACCTTTGTTGCTCGAGTTTAAAAACGAATTTTTGAAAGAATATGGAAAATAACACTTGTGCAGAAGTGTGATTTCCCATACATTATTTAAAAAAATCGTTTTTAAACTCGAGTAACAAAATAGGATCATGGTGATGGCTTAAAAATCGATTATTTATTGTTTATTTTTTATGGGAATTTCATGAGCGAGTTCGCGATGTACAAAATAAAAAATGGCGTATAAAACCACCGATTTTAAACCAAGTGTAAGTTGAAAAACTATTTTTTTGGAATTATTTGTGAATGTGATGCCTTAAGAAATCAAATACTTATTAAAGACATTCTATGGAAGCTCTTCAAAAAGAGGTACAGTAGAAACCGTCAATATATGAACGTGACTCATCGGGTGCCGAACATATCTCAGACATGCTAGCAGTAATGTTTTACTTGTCTTGTACATTCGATGCAGCGGTAAATGTACTCACACGTAGGTTTTTAAGCATCCGGTCTAAAATGCGCCATCTGTGATGTAAAACTGCCTAGGTGTTGGACAAAGATGGACATATGACGCTTGTGTCCTAGCTTGTTACTTAATTTTATTGGAAGTCAGTAGAGTTCGTGTTTTAGGAATTTATTTTATTTTATTACATAGTAAGGCAACCAACTTTACCGTCGGCCATTTGTTTTTATATGTCATATGATCTTTGTTTTTGCATATCTTGTTTTTACTGTGTGTTTACGGATTAATAATCGTTTTAAACGTTGTAGTGGCAGTGGTTTATATTATGTAACACAGGTAGATGTCGTATAAAAATCCTTACCTAGAAATTCTAGGCCTAAATACAAAAATATTTTTATTATACATATAAATTTTGTACTAGTATTAGTTTAATACATTCTGAAGAAGCTACTGTGTAGCGAAACAATTGTCAATATTTAATAAATTTCGTGAAACTAACGCAAGTTGTTTTTATATCCACACAATTTAAATATCTTTCACTTTGTACCTGACCTGCGTAAACATTTTTGTTTTTTGTCACCAATTCTGAAATATTTGCGTTTACAGTTAAAAGAATAGTATATTCTGTAACAAGTTTGACGGTTTCACGAGAGGGGAATATGCAATTCCAAACGTGTTTCAGACTATACTAAGAATTTAATTGGAAGAAAGTGAGGTTGGGTCGGTCTAAAAATTTGTTATTAAAATCAGAGATGTCGCCACGAGTTTACGTTCTGTAATCAGATGATAGAATATTTCATTAAAGTTAAAAGAAAAGTTTATTTATTAATTAGTTTCTAAGAAAATTACATTTTATTTAATTATCGTAGATGTTAATTATGTTAGATGTTAATTATTTAACTTTAAAAGCAAATATATCATAAGTATAGCAACCAACATTACACTCAATTTTTTTTACAAACGAGACTGCACTGGACCGTGACCTTCGATAGATTGCTTCGTACGAATGTGTCGGATGAGTCACGTTCATATATTGACGGTTTCTACTGTAAGTACTACCTTAATATCAAATATAAAAATTGCTGGGTTTTTAGAGGTTTTAGTAAAAATTAACTTTATAAAAATTTGAACAAGAACTTTCGGATTTCGAGCAATGTTGCCAGAATTAAACTATTTACGCTCTTTGAGGAAATTTCTTGACGTTTCTCCTATGACATAACCTACAAATGTGCTTGAATTGATTTTACGTTTACAAAAATGTGACGTCACTTGCTTTTTTCCGACTATTTAAAAAAATACTTGTAGCTATAATTACCTGTTCTAGTTTAATAACATCTTGGTGTATCAGGCGTTGCCTATCAGGGGTAAACAGGACTATTGCGCACAATATCAAAATAATATTTTCGTCAGATCTCCATAACGGATTGAACGTTTTAATGAACTTGTCGTGTTCTTGATACATGTTTCCTTTCGCTAATTTTAATATGTCCACGTTTACATTTACATCTTGGCTATGAGGAATCTAAAATAAATAAAATTTGGGGATTTATTAAAAAGAAATAATACAAAATTACCTTCCAAGTCTGTCTTTTGGCATCATAATTTATGGCACTTCTTAAAATCATTATTTCAGTACAACCACCTTTCAACAAAGCCACCTGATCTTCCTGACACATATTTTTAAAGGCGTTAATTTTTTTAGCCATTATAATTAACCTTCGTATTGCTATTGCCGTTAAATTTATTACATCCACCAAGGCTGGATTTTGCGGGTCACCCTATAAAAATATTTAAGAGTAATTTTTTGTAACATTTAAAAATCAAAAAAATACTAACCTTAAATTTACACGATTCCCCATTTAGAAGAGTATTGAGCTCGGCATCGACCGGCGACAGCAAACTCTTATTGGCCACAATTAACTCGTTCAATTTCGCTCTTTCCGCGTCATTTAACTCCCGAGAGTTCGACTGGCATGGGGCTATCGACGAATACGCCTCGTATTCTAGCTTTATCGCCTCGCATAATATTGATTCTATGGGACTCGATGCCACTGCGTTAATCCTGCGACAAAATTATTATTTTACGCACTTTGATTGGTTGACGTAAGACGTAAGAGATATGCACGTCCCTGATTGGCCAGCATAGCTCCGCCTACTGTAGGCGGAGCTATGCTATTAAAACAACCTATTATGATCTAGTAACCTTTGTAAAGAAACGTCAAAAATGTCAGAAATAAGGTTAGAATTGTCAGATTTGACATTTAGACAAGCAAAGGTCAAAAACATAAAATTATAAGGTTATAAACATTAGAACTGACCTTTGGACATCCTGGACAACATCTTTGGTGATGTCAAGCATCTTTTGGCTGGCTTCTACGGGAGATTGCGCATTATTACCAATATTGTTACACTTTCTATGGACATTTCCCACCAAACTTTCAAGAATAACATTTTCCACTTCTTTCTCTTGGTTGACATAACTAGGTGGACTTATAACTCTTCTAACATCATCACTTGAGGTAACCAAACATTCGTTTTGCGTTGTTATATTGCTGTTTTCGGAGTTTACATAATTAATAACGCCTATGTTAGGATTGTTGGGTTGATAGCCCTGATCGGACATCACAGTTTCTTTTGAATCGGAGTCCGTGTAAACACTGTAACTGTCGGTTACTTGAAAATTGTCTTCGGTGGATTTTCGTTCTTTCTTGATTTTTTTAAAACCCGACTTAAAACCACCTATTTTCCGTTTGTTGGCCCTGTTTTCCTCGATTTTTTGTCTCTTCAACGTTTTAGCGTGCTCAGACATTATTAAATCCTTACACATACCGATGCTGAAGCACTTATCCAGTCTGCATTTCTGGCAGAACCTCCTCGTGACCTGCGTTATATCGCAATGATTGTCGAAGGGGCACTTAAACTCTTTTTGCAACAAAGCATTTCTTCGAAAAAAAGCCTTACAACTCTCGCACGTAATCGCGTTAAAGTTGTACCCCAAAGCTTTGTCCCCACATACACCACACAGTTTTAAATCAACTTTAACCTTCATTTTAACGCTTAATTTCACCAAATATGTTTTTCAAATCTTGAAGTTGTTCTCCTGATAAAAGTAGTCATCGTCACTCGCTGATTAAATTGAAGTTAATTCTATTATTATGAAGTGATGTGACCTTAGTTGTGACGTTAGTTGTCAGAGGTGACGTGGGGGAAAAATAAAAGTCACCAGGTTTTGTTTTGATCGAGAAAATGGCGCCAATTCAAATGCTTTTATTGAAAAATTGTTACAAACTCGTTTAAAATTAGTATTCTTTAATACAAATGTCCTAAATATTTTAAATTAGGTTAAATTAAACACCGTGGATTTCAACGTATATAACAAAAAAATGTTTTGTGTTAAAAATTAAATAAACTACCTACCAATAAAATAAAATAAACAATCTTAAATAAATAAAAAATCGAGTGTTAATGCAATTGTTTTATTTTACCTATAGATTATATTTTTTTAACTAGTACATTCATTAAAATATTTACAAAAAAGGTGAATAAGCAATAATGTTGCAATAATTAAACTTAAAAATTTGCTGACTTAAAATTATTAGTATGCATTTTTATAAACCTATTCAATATTTAATTAGTAGCGAAAAAATCGCCGATGAATTAATTTCAATCTTTAAATTTAACTAATGTAACCAATTACCTAACGGAACAAAAATGCGATTTCTTGCTACGATTTTTTCTTTTTGCCTAATTATTAATTTTTGCATATCTGAAGAGGAGTTTTTTACCATAAATGGAAAGAAAGTTTTAAATATAGTTAGTGAAAGATTTTTAAGTTTTTCTTTGGACCCGGTTGTGCTGCTTACAGGTCTAAATTTAAGGTAAGAAAAGTTTTTTAGCTAAAAAATATTTTTCCTTGATAAAATATTAAGTTTGTAACCAATTTTTTAAATGTTTTTTATCATTTAAATAGTAATTTGAGTTTTGTAGTTAATACATCTCACCAATATTAATGCAGCAGCGCTAACTATTAATACAACGTACAAAGATCTTTCTTTAATATAAACTTCAAATTTTAGCGATTCTTCTCTGCAACTTGCTAAACACCTTTCGCCAGCTTTCATCCGATTGGCGGGTCCATCGACGGAATTCGTTAAATACATCGATAACGAGTACGATTACGATGGCGCGAAGGACGGCAACAACGCCACAAACGTCATCGTTACCCCGTCGATGTGGTTCGGGGTCAACGAGTGGCTTTCGTTGGCCAACTTGACCCCCGTCTTCGGGATCAACGATCTCGAGACCGACGGGGGTAAATGGGACCCGAAGAGCACGGTGCAGCTGTTGGAGCTGTCCGATAAGCTGAATGTTTCGTGTTTTTGGCAGCTAGGATTCGGTAAGAAATTCGAAATATTTAGTTAAAATTTATTATCAAAAAGTTAAATCAAAAATTACATATATTACATATATTAAACATAATTATTAAAAAAAACATTATCCCGGTGAATTCACCATTTCTGCAAAATCTTGAGTTTTCCTTAATTCATTATTTTTTAGATCAACAGAACTTAATTTTAACATTAACATTTTTTGAATACGTCATTATAACACACCCTGTAACAATAATATTATCCAATAAGCTATAATTTGCAATTGTATAATATTTTAATGATCCCGGCGCATTCGCCATTTTTGACACCTAGGATTAATTTTATACAGTTTGATTTACCTACCTGATTCATAATATGTTTCTTTATAGACTTTTCGACTTTAAAACAAAAACCATTACGAATTGTGTTGAATTATTAAAATCGCATTCCATTGTTGGTATTTTAATAACCAAACTACTCGAAACTTTAAAGCTTAATCTGCAGTATTTCTTTCGCAATTTAATAACATCGTATTCATGCAAATCGCAAATCTCGCTTTAGACATTGATCTAAACATTTAAATAGTTTAACTAATATTAGAGTAACGGGGATTTAGTAGCTTACTTTAGTTCGAAATGCAAAGCCATTCGGCCCTTTGTTTCTAGAATATATTTCCTCGACTATTAGCTTTGAAAATTCAAAGCGTTTATTGCAGAACTGTTCGATACAATATAGCGAGTTTACACTGTTTTTGGTTATTTATTTTTGTCTTCGAGTCAACGCTTTATAGTGATTTCTTTTTTATAACTTTCATTCTATGAATTTAAGGCGATTTTTTAAGATTTCTGATGTTTTCTATAAATTAGTAACAACAAATTCTCTTAAATTTTATAATTTTTTATTTTACTCCTGCTACATACCATTTATATGTACATATAAAAAATATACTTTTTTTAATATACAGGGAAGATAACAAGACATAAAAAAATTGTCAAATTTATTGAAGAAAACTACCATATTATTAATAAAAGAGCTTTAAATGTAAAATTAAAAAAAATGTTTTTGCAGAAAATTATGCTGATACAATTTGCCTAGTATTTTTTCGCAACCAATGCCTTAAATATATTCCAAAAAAAGAATGTCGTTCTTTTCAATATAGCATGAACATTCTTTTACTAATGTATAACTAGATAAATCATCGGAAATCATTTCTGAAGAAGCTACTGTGTTAGCGAAACGAATGTCAAAATTAAATTAAAATAAACTCGTGAAACTCAAAAAAACAGTGCTTGTTTTTTATCTAGTTATACATTAGTGACATGGAGTTACATTAGGTGAAAACAATAAAACAATGTTTAAATAAAAATTCAGCAAAAATCCCAACTTTTAATTACGTTTACAGGTTTAAAAATTTCCCATTGAAATAACACAGACAAAAGTTATTTTTCATTATTTTTCTTTGTTAAAAAGGCATGTAGTTTTTTATATAAATGGCAGATTTAGAGGCATTTCGCGTTTTTAGGACTATAAAAAAATATAGGTCGATAAATTATAAAGCAAATTTGTGGTTTATCTACTTGCTTTTAATAGTATATTATGTATCAAGTTTGATAAACGCCAATTTATACACGAATTTAATTTAAATTAATGAGTGTATAGAAAAGTTTATAAACGAGGTGCATACTATACTTTTTCTACGACAAATACTTATTATTATCTTAAAATGATTTAAATCAAAAATTTGTATAGAGTGCCATCTATGAAACAATAGGGGAATCTGTGTGTCACCGTCAAATGTCAGATTTTTATATTTTATAAACACAGATTAAAAATGTTATAAATCAAAATGTATTTCTTGAAAATTGACAGTTTTTCACAGTGAAAGTAAAGAAAATGTTTTATGAGGACTTTACAGTGGAGTCCGTGCCCGAATTTAAGTTATAGTTTACTGCCGGCGAAATTAAAAAGTCAGTACAATGTTCATATAAACTTTTCAAATATTGGCGTTGAGAAACTATTTAATACTTTTTTATTTTTGTATTGAGATAATAAAATAATTTTCACATTTAGTATTATTTTACAAGAAAGGCACTTTATTTTAACGATTGTATGACATTTGACAACTGTCAACTAACTTAAAACTAACTTCAGCCCGTGACTAAAAACCTGTTGCCCGTAACTAAAGCGCCATAAAGCCACAACCTGTCAATGTGTATTTAAAAGGTCACTTGGTGTCATGGAAACATGTACGATAAAGGGCGTTTTAAAGGTGGGAGTAGAAAAATTTGTTTTTAACATCTTTTATATTGTTTATAGTTATACAGGGTGCACCAAGTATCCTTCTATGTATGGGTATTTTTTTTATTACAGTTATAGTTACTATAGTAGTTTAAAAGAGATATTAACATTTTTTGTAGAGAATTTAATGCTGAGCATAAATATGATCATAAAAGATTGCAGAAGAAATATGAAAAACAATATTTTTCTGTGTTATGGAAAATATTAAAACTCGATGAGGAATCTGAAAAAATTAAAATTTGGTGTTGAAATTTTTACTTAATTATTATTTAAAAAATCCAACAAAATTTTATGTAACTTTGGAAAAAACTATTTCGGTTTTATCAGAAAAAATTTCAGTAATGACCATGGTCACTGCTGTATATTATTTACTGTTTTCTTTAAGACTCTAGTTTCGTAAGTTTATTAAATTTTGAAACTTTTAGACTGTTCAAATAAGGGCGAACCTCAATACAAGGAAGATATACAAACTCTTCACAAAACCCTGGAAAAATTCCCGGAAAAAACCGGAATCTGGAGAATCGTAGCCAGCGATTTGAGCAGATGCCAGAGCCAAGATAGCCTGGACAATCTCAAAAGAACCCTCAATGATATCGAAGACATGGCTGATGTCGTCATGTGGGAACCGTAAGCGTCATTTATTTTTAATTATAAAAGATTAATTAATTTGTTTGTAGAAAAATGTCCAATAAGAAAGATTTGATGTCGAAAATTTTGCCCAACACCGAAAGTAAGCTGCAGTTTTGGACGACAACTCCAAAGGATTTGAGGCCTGTTAATTTTTCAACTGCCATATTATGGGCGCAGCAAATTGGTGACTCGGCCAAAACTGGTTACAGTGTGACTTTAAGGCAGCCCAGGCTACACGAAATGTTTTCTGTAACACCTGTAAGTAGATAACATTCAACTTCTAGATTAGCAGGTGATAATTTTTATTGTAGGTATACTGGACGTCATTATTGCACAAAACTTTTATGGGTAGAGTGGTTCTGGACATCAAAAAACCTTTCTCTTTCACCAACGCCCACGTATACGCTCATTGCACCAAAAAACAGAACCAATTCGTAAGAAGAGGTGCCATGACTGTCATGATAGTCAATAATCAGAGTGAAGCTTACACCGCTTTTGTGCGACTCGGAAACCCTTACTTGAAAAACATCGAAATACAAACATACCTACTGACATCTCCGAACGAAAATTCAACGTAAAAGTTTTACTTTGTACTTTATCCTATAATATATAATTTATATTTTTCAGTGAGGTGTTCTTGAACGGTAATCTCCTCGACGAAAAACTTCTGAAAGAACCTAAAGTGACCATCACCCCGAAACTTCGCAGAGCCAACGCAGCCAAACCAATAAACCTTGAAGTTCCCCCGAAATCAATTGCCTTCTTTGTGCTCCCAGGCGCAAAAATTCCCGCCTGCATTAAGTACGAGGAAACCGAGCAAGAACTAATCAAGGAAATCGATCAGGATCAGCAGCTGCCGCTGTCGGAAGAGTTGGGTTTAAAAAAGAAGAAAGTTAAGTCGAGGAGTTCGTTTCATACTCTAAGGGACTTGCAGAGCTTGTTGGAGAAGGAGTTGCACTCCGATGAGCAGTACTATAAAAAGAGTAGGGGTTACAGACCTGACATATTGGGTAGTAGGATGTTGATGAATAACGACAAAAATAGGGTGGCGATGGAGAAACCGTCGGAGGCGGCTAGGAATCTCTTCATCGAAAGAGTCAAGTTGGCGGAAAAACTTAAAAAACCGAAAGACTTCGACTTCAAGTTCGACAACATTCTAAAGGAGTTGGGGAAACTACAGCACGGTGGCGACTTACTTCGCCAGGAAAAACCTAAAATTACAACCCTAGACTTATCCAGCTCCGAAACGACTAAAATCCTGAGAGACAGAGCTAGAATAAAGGCAGCCAGGAAGAACGTGATGTTTACTAGCAAAGAGTTGGACGAGTTATTCTCGCGATCGAACAAAAACAGCAAATACCCCAAGTTCAAAAGAAGTCTGCCCAAAAACCCTCTGGACACCCTCAAAATGAAATGGGAAGAGCAGAAAGACAACTGGATAGTCAAGGCGCATGATTTGAAGGAGCAATACGAAGAACAACTGGAAAGGCTTAGAGGCAACGATTTCAATTCGAACTTCGAAAAACTTCGCATGAAGTACAACCCGACGCCGTTCAACAACTTCAATCTGCTGAAGAATAAATATTCCCCCAGATATAGAAGATCCGTGGATTTTGAAACGCACTGGAACAACTTGAAGGAACAGTTGCAAGGAAAGCAGAGCGACGTTTTGGGCATCGACAATCTGATGGATAAAATCGACGAGCAAAGGGAGAAAATCAAGATGACGCTGGAACTTGACGCGCTTCAACGCAGATTCGTCGAAGCGAAGGATAAAATTCTCGAGGCCATTAATTTGGACGACATCAAGTCCAAGGTGCAGGATGCGCATGCCGCAGTGTTGAAGCAGATTGACGGCGATTGGAAGCAAAAATTCGAAGACGCCAAGGACAAAATACTGCAAAGCGTCAACATCGACGACTTAAAGGACAAAGTGATGTCGACCTGGGACGACCAGAAGGAGAAGTTGTTGAGCAGTTCCCGACAATTCTTCAGAAGGAAGAGGGCGGTCAATACAGACAAGTTGGATGCCTTGAAGTCGAAGATGCAGAGAATGCAAAGGGCCAGTTTGTTGAGGAGTAGGTTGAGGAAAAACATCAGCCCTCTGAGGCGCGTCAAGAAGGAGATTAACATGAATTTGTTGAACCTTAAATCTCGCGCGGATACCTTTAAAATACCCTCATTCAAAACCAAGTCGGGGTTACTACAAAAACCTTTGGAAATCGATACCAGGACCAGTGAAGAATTCATGTCGAGTTCCGACGAGATAAAATTTAACGACCAAAAACCCCGCGGTATGATAGTAGCCCCGAAAACTAGGAAACCCATTTCCGCCCTGGATCTGTTCAAAACCAAAGCTAGGTTATCGCACAAACCAAAACCCAACCAACATTCGTGCGAGGAGGAAATATTTGGCAGAGGTTTGGCTCACGTGAACGGCAAGGATCTTTTCGATGACAAAAAAGACCGAGAACTGGACGACTGCATAAAACACTTCAACGAGAAAAATTCCAACGCAAACGTCTTGACGACGCGCCTGTCGGACTACCTGAGGAACCCGCTGGGCATGCAGAAAATCGAGGACATGGATCTGTCTTTGTACGACGACGTTTTCCGCAAGAAGCGCGACGCAGAGAAGGAAGTCACGCCGGAAGAAGTGGAAGACCGCAAAACCGCCCTGCAGAAGAAAATAGCCGATCTGCACGAGCAAATGGCCAGCGATCGCAAGCAACTCCAAGAAGATAGAAGAAAGTTGCAGGAGGAGAGGAAGATCGCCCTCAACGAAAGGCTGCAGAAAATGCACAGCCTCAGTACGAACATGGACAGGAAAATTGTGGGCTTGACGAAGAATACCGTCGATAACGACAAACTCAAGAAACTCGACGAGTTGAAAACGAAACTACTAAGCTCGAGGTTTAGGAAGGACCCCGACAACATTGTGGGCGCCGCACAAATTGAGACAGCCACTGATAAAACAATGGAAAAAATGGCGCAGTTTAAAGTAGCTCAACCCACTCTCGAGGAACTGAGGCAAAGAAGAACCGAAATGTTGAAAGCGATGCAGGAAAAATTAAGCAAGACGAATAAAAACGTAAATATAAGTAGCAGGCTGGGCGATATGGGGTTGGAAAATATGGACAGCCAAAAAGTGATGGAGGATTTGAAGAAATCGCAGGATCAAATTTTAGGGGAAATAGAACAAAAGAGGAAACAAATTCAGAAGGAAGCGAGCTTGAGGGAAATCGACTTTCTCAAGAAACGCTTGGAAAGTAGACAACAGCTTTTGGATAAACTTACAGGGGGCGACAAGGAAGACCCTGAAACTCCAGAAGATCATGTCAAAGTTGGAGAAATAGAAAATGAGCCCACATCATCAACCGTTGGACCTTTATTCAAGCCTTTAATGACTACCGCTAAAAGTGTCGAGTTAGCTACAGAAAGTTCAAAACCAAGTCAAGTTTTGGCCAAGCCAGAGTTAAATTTGAAGAGCTTGCAAAATACCAAGCTTCCAGAGCAATTTAAAATGAAGAACAATTTATTAAATGTTAAGGCTGTTGATGGAGGTACGAAAAAGGAAGAGAAACTTGGATTTAAACTAAAACCTGAAGGAACAAAATCAATCACTGAAGAGCCAGAAAAAAAGGATGCAAAGGATGAAAACCAGGCAGAAGATCCTATTATAACCTCTATACACACTTTGAGCGACATTAAAGATGAGAATAATGATAAACCTATCACAAAAGAAGCTGAAACGACAACAAAAAGTATTGCTGTTGAAGATGATAAAATAATAAGGGTTAAGATGGCGAATAACGGTCGGTATACTGAAGACAAAATTAAGGTTGAGCCTAATACCAAACTTGTGGATAAATTGGCAGCTATGGAGGATAAGGTGGAAGAAAAAATGGAGAAAACAGTGCAAGCGAATACTGTAAAAGAAGGCACCACGCCACTTCAAGAGTTGGTGAAAGTGGGGTCGGACGTGGCCAAGCAACTTGAAGAAAAGGTTGACAAAAAAACCAAGAGGTCGATTACAGTGAACGGCAAAACTTTTGGGGACTACAAATCCAAGACTTTGAATCTGCGAAAATGGAGGCCAGAGGATATGCTTACCCTACCGAGGGTGCACATGATGAGTAGAAGCAGTTTTAAGCCCGAGGAAGACAATAATATATACAGGAGCTTCACGAGCTACAACAGAAAAAATAACAACCTAAAGTCGAAGAGAAGCCTTGATATGGATGCTGATTCGAGAGAAAATGACATTGATAATACAATAAATGAGATCACGAAAAGTGAATCGGAAAATACTGACACCATACTCAAAAACAACAATGTCGAAAAAACCAACAAAATTTCAAAAAATGCAGAAACTCCTTCAATAACCGTTGTGGATGATCGCGACTACAAACTCAAAAGCTTTAACGATGTCAAAGAAAATAACTCGATTGCAAAAGTTGAGCCGAGGCAGCAGTCGTACGAGTACATACAAAAGATTCTGCCCAAAGATGAGCAAAAAGCCATCACAAAGTTTTTCAGCAATTTAAAAGGTTTATTGCAGAGTATCGGCAAAAAGTTGGAGACCTCCTTCAAAAGTATGTTTAACTAGGTTTAAAGAATGTTTTGTAATTTTTATACTTTAGGAATACGGTTAAGGTTAAATAAAGAAATAAAACAAAGTTTGGTTTATAATTTTTATTGGTATTAGTAAAGCATTTTTTTTGTATCTAAATTTTCGACTTATTTTTATGCAACTATAAAAAATTATCAAATTAAAAATTAACCTCTTAATATTTGAAAAAAAATAAACCTGTCAAGACATTTTTGGTTTTGTCAGGCTTTCATTTTTTCAAATTATATGAGAACCACTGATTTTTTTCCAATTCTTGGATGCCATTTTAACAGAATTAAAATTACGCATCAATTAAGGGAAAAACAATTGTTTGGGAGTTTGCAATTTTTATATCAATTTTCCCATTTTGCTGGAATCAACCTTATAGAGCTTACCTATTGGTTATAGCGATAGTTATAGTTGATCTGTAAAGTAAATAATAACATAACCAAAACGAAATAAAAGGCATGTTTAAACTGTAATATTTTATTAAGTCCGTTCTGTTTCACAAATAACTTGCAGATGGCTGTAATCTAACAACAATGACCGAGACTTTTTTTCATTAATTTCATTAATTTTAATATTATTATCATTAATATTATTTATAACAATGTGAACAGCCCTTAACACTATCTATTCATAGGTACTGAGGCAACTACAACGTGTTTCTTCTGTTTCTTTCACGAAACAACTGAATCGCGAATGAGCGGAAAATAAGCAGCAGCCTTCTCGATCTTGTTGCGGAGCTGTCTTTTTTCTCAGCGTCGCACATTCAGTTTTTTTGTTGTTTTTTATTCAAGTGTATAAATACAAAATTTACTACTCGACTAAGTTATAACTTTTCGGGCGTGGATTTTTGTCGCCGGACGAAAATCCACCGCCCCACAAAATTAACGATAAAACTAAACCATACATATGAATCAACAATGTATCTACATTACGTGATGTAAAATGTGCGGATTTTTTACAACACGGCAAAATAATTCAACGATTTGCTTATAGAATTTTTAAACATAAACAACGATTTTAGTAGTGGAAAGTGCTGTTCAAAATCCGCACAATTTTTTACACTTTCTTTTAATAACAATACAACATTGATCTTTTTCAGTTTTCATATTTGCAAGAAAATATCACTAGCTTTAATCTCAAATACGTTACTTAAGCTGAAGCTCGCATTTAAAATAAACCACAAGACGGTTGTTTTTATTGAAACTCGCGTGGTTTATTTAAAATTGATTTCCTACAACAAACACCCAGAGTTATGTTCAAATCTTGCGGTGTTGATTGTAGGATCTATTTGGATTATAATAATTTAAGTAAGAAATTACAGAAATTTGTTTCTAGATTGTAAGTGTCGTTGTCTTTAAAATTTAGATTTTTAAACGCATAAATGTGTATTTAAGTATTCTGTGTACAATTTCGGCGTTATTGATCCGTTTTCGAGAACTTTCACGTTTTATAGTAAAAGTTCAAGTAATTATAAGTTTGTCAATTAAAAAATCAAATCAAAAAACATTTATTATTTATCACACCATACTAAGTCATTTTTTCTATACATTGCTTATGTTTTCGCCCGCCAAGGGCATTTAGTAATAAATAACAAGACGAATTCAAAAGTAGGAACAATAATTTGGGCATTCTAATAGACACCGAGATTTTATAACTATAGTTACACTGATTACTAACGATAGAAGCACTTATTGCTTCAAGTACATTTACGTATGCAAAAATGTGTGAATTAAGGCCCAAATTAATAAAAAACCGTGTTAACCGGGTTAACAGTAGGATCTAAAAAGTATATCAACATTAACCTACTTATATTTGCATTGCTTTGCATTTTAATATCACTATTAATAAGTAATATTTTTTGTACATAATTTAGGGTGTTTAGAAAAGAAAAGAATTTTATTTTTTATGATTTTCACTGAATTTTTATTTCTGCATAATCTAATTTGTATGTTACATTGAAAAAAACGTCTCTTTTAAAACACCCCAATGTAATATAGTCAAGGCTACAACCAAAAGTATCACCAAATTTAGATGTTATTTCCCAGCTAAGAGACGAGAGTAGTAGCTTGCAAGACGTGGTAACTTTTTATGAAAACCAGTAGTTCCAATAAAACATAACTGTAACATTTTATTGTTTCGACCTTTACTTGATGAAACTCCACTAATGTATAACTGGATAACACAGAAGCTACTGTGTTAGCGAAACAATTGTCAAAATAAAATTGAAATAAACTCGTGAAACTCAAAAAACAGTGTTTGTTTTTATCCAGTTATACATTAATAACTGTAACATTCTGTAAGATATCTTACAAGGTCCAAAGCTGTAGTATTTTGTGTTTTTTAAATTCAATCAGTGTTGGTGATGTTTTTGACTATGGTCTTAGCGAAAAAAAATTCTTCACGACGCGTCGGATTCACCCAAATTCCACATCCAACATTGCGTTAAATGCCAAAGAGTTATGAACAACGACACCTAGTTTTTTTTAGTAAAATACATTAATACAGTTCTAGATACGCTCTACTTGACCTAATATAAGATAGACATAGATTACTATACAAACTATTAGTTAAGACAGTAATGATATTCATAGAATTAATTGACACATAGACAACAGGAAAGTGAGGGGCGGAAAATAATATACAAGTCAAAAATTGGAATTATATTGTTCAACTGGCAAAATTCAGTCTAAATATTCGGTGAGAATGGTTTTTACAGACCTCACATTTATTTCTTATGTAACGATAACTATTTTTTTGGTTCTGATTGTTTAAAACAATCAAATATTTTTTATTTATTTTTAATTAACAGGAATAATAAGGACTGTCACCCAAATCTCATGGTGTTTAAGAAATATTTAGATTTAGAACAATTATTTAAAAAATACTTTATACAATAACTTTATTGTCTTGTCTTGCGATGCAATGATTCCGTGATTCTTTAAGACGTAAATTTATTGAAAATTCCGGCAGTTAAACAGTATAATTTTTTCGAAGAAACAATCAAAATGTGCAAAGGTATAAGCGGTGCATTTACTAGAAAGAAAAATTATACACAACACAACAAGTTTAGTAAGTATGTTCTATTAAATTTCGGTTGTATGTTATCTATTTAGTTATATGTAATTTTTTGTTAATTTGGGGGGCGAGTCTAGGAGTTCGCGACTGTACTTTCTATAGAAACATTTTCTATAGAGATATGTTTCTATAGAAAGTTAAGTCGAGAATTTCTAGAAGCACCACCTGGTGTTTGGTTTTTGGTCGTGGGAAAATATACAAGAGTTGATGTGATGATGAGTCCACCCGTATAAAGTTAGTTAGTAATAAAAAGAGATAATACCAATAAACACTGAACAATAATCCAATGACATGCGACACCGAAACATAACAAAAATCGTCAAAGCGCATTTTTAGAAGTATCAATTTCGAAATGTTCGCACAAGCACACATGGACAAGCCCAGAACAAGTTTTACAAAAATATCTTCCACCTAAAACTATACTTTCTATAGAAAATTATCTCTATAGAAAGCAATAAACCAATCAAAGCACCGCATTCTCAATCGCACATAGTGTGCTGTGTAGAATGCCGTGCTCTTATTGGTTTATGGCTTTCTATAGAGATCATTTTCTATAGAATCGCACATAGGGTGCTGTGTAGAATGCCGTGCTCTTATTGGTTTATGGCTTTCTATAGAGATCATTTTCTATAGAAAGTATAGATGACTGATTTTGTAAAATTTGTTGCGGTGTTTCAAAAGGCAGCTTTGGGAATTTGGATGATAAACCGTGATGTGCTTGGGAAAGATAGAAGACAGAGATAGAGATAGAAAGTGTGTGATAGAAGTGTTCTGAAGCATCGAGATTTTTTATTTCATCATTTATTTGCTCGTTAATTTTGTTTATATCTTAAATCCTTAAAAATTATCGTAACAAAAATTTGATGTATTTTTTTCATCTTTGACGTTACAAAAAAATATGTTTTTTTTAAACTATCTACAAAACCTGTTAACAATTTATTTTAACATCTCCACAAAATTATTATGACAATGATGTTATCGGTATGTCATGGCATCATAATAGTTTTGTTTTTTGTTAATTGTTTATCGCAGTCTCTTTTTTGGTTACGGCCGTTCTGCGTGACACGTCGTTTGTATTTTCATTAAAAACGTTGCTTAAAAAAAGGTAATAGAACAATACGTTTACATACACATTGATCATTGTAAAAAACTACATACATATCTTTCTTAAAATTATTGCTTACGAATGGGGAAACAATGAACTTGTGTTAAGGCTTTTTATTTATAACATTCGACATCTAAAAACCAACATAATTTTAAAAAAGATACAACTCACATACAATTTGTGGGGGGAGGGGTCGATCACAGGTTATTTCTACATTTTCAATCGATAAACAACAACACAAAAACTAACGGAATAGTGTCGAATTTTGTATGTAAGGTGTTTTAATTGTAAGCTACGCTGTTCTATGAAGAAGACGGTCCGCAGAGGGAGCCTTGTGGAACTCCTCGTGTTCATTGCATTACACATTTACTTTCTAACTGAGACTTGAGTTCGATTACTTGTGTTTCTATTGTGTTCTTCAGTTCTGAAATTTACAACGCAAACATGTAAAAAACATTTAAATTTAGGTTTTAAAGGGAAACATCAATTTTATACATACATTTCGTTTCTTATTAGAAATCTTCTTTCTTAATCTAGTAAGTAGTAGATTGTTTTTAAATTACATAATAATACAGAAATTATATTATAATGGGCTGTATATGGCAAAAATATTGCGGCTATAAATAATAATTCAACTTAAAAAATTTTACACGTTTTTAACAAAAAAAATGATTTTTTATTGTAATAAAAAAACTATTATAAACATTTAGGAAAATTTTACAAAATACGAAATTTTTGTAATTTTTAAAAAATTTGGAAATTTTAAAAATTGTTAATTTAAAATTTTTTGAAAAATTCGAAAATTTTGTAAATTTTGTTTTGTTAATTGTAAATTTTGTTTATTTTGTCAATTTTGTTAATTTTGAAAATTTTAAAAATTTTCCAAAATTTAAAATTTTTGTAAATTTTGGAAAATTTATACAACTGCAAATTTGTCCTCCCATTTCTAACTTTATGACACTGCAAATTTTTCTTGGGATTTTTTAAATTTCAAAATTTTTGTAAATTTCGAAATTTTTGTAAATTTTGTAATTTTTGAAAATTTATCCCACTGTGCGAATTTGTCCTACCATTTCTAAATTATGACAACGTGCAAATTGTTCTTATGATTTTTAAAATGTATCCTACAATTTTTAAAGCTTTTGGAAAATTCGGAAATTTTGTAAATTTTGTAAATTTTTGTAAATTTTGTTAATTTTAAACATTTTGGAAAATTAGAAAACTTTGTAAATTTTGGAAAATTTTAAAATTTTGTAAATGATTTTGTAATTGATGATTTTATAAATTTTGTCGATTTTACAAATTTTGTAATTTTTTAAAATATTGTAAATTTTGAAAATTTTGTGAATTTTAAAAACTGTCAATTTTGTAAATTTTCAAAATTTTGGTAAATTTATAAGTCCACTTGTCCTACCAATTCTAAATTTATGACATTGTGCAAATTTTTCTAATGATTTTTTAAACGTATGCAAATTTGTCCTACTGTGCAAATGTTTCCCCCCATTTTCGAATTTTACTTAATTTAACTTCTGTAAGGGCATTATTTGTTTTCAATTACCCGAAACATTAATTTTAATGTGCAGTTTCCAATTACCCGTTTTTAAATAAATTAAATGTAAGGGCAATTTTTAATTATTCCAATCTTGTGTATAATTTATTTTTTTTAGTGTAATTAGGACTCATAGCTACATTACCAATCATCCTGCAACCTGCAGCCAAAATGCAAAATTCATAACAGATTTCCAATAAAAAAGAATTTTATGTGTATTTTAGCGCCTTGTATTAATAAAAAAGAATAAATAAAACATAAAACTTACCTTTAAAATAATAACAAAACAACTAGAAAAACTAATAAAAAAATAAATAAACATAAAATAAAAATTTAATAACATTTATTAATTAAGTACAATATTAAATAGCAAATAGTGGAGAGACAGTAAACATCTATAAGAGTACAAAACAAAAATAATATTCTTAAAAAACACACATTGCTGTAAAATTAGAAGCATTAAAGTTAAATTGAATTTTTAACTTGAAAAAGAGACAATAATCGTTAAGGTTAATCCCGGGAAACTTTTATATTTAGTTAACTCTGGACAATTTTAATTATAAAAACTTTCGAGCGTGCTTCTAATCTTAAAACCAATTCCATATAAAAGTGGTTGTTGCGGAAAGTGGAAGAAGAAGAGCGGATAGCTGGCAACACTGCTGGTTGTGTACAATTTGTGTAAAGGCACAAATTAATCCCATTTTTCTGTATAACGTGTTTGTTATTGTTGAATTGTACTTAAAATTACGGCGACTAATTACCTAGGTTGACTTAGTAAAAGTGCTCATCTAGAGATTTTTATAAACCAAATTAAATTATTTTTGTTTTTGTTATTATAATGAATTTAAATAATTTTACTATACAGCAACGATTTAATTTGATTCATGTTTGACTACGTGAATTATACCTAGTTAACAATTAAAAAATCGAGTAAAAACACCAATTATCGTCATTTTAAGTAAACTACAAACTAGTAACAATAATATTGAATATTTAACAATTACAAGCGAAAATACATCTACTATTAGGTAAAACAACTTTTGATTATTTAGAATTATTATAGGTATTTATTGTTTTAGTTTACAGTCGTTGTATTATTAATCCCAAATCAAGAGTGCCCACTATTCTACTATGTTAAAGCATGTATATACGTAGTTCGTGAGGTTTGGTTCCATATGTCGGTAACATAGGTGTAGGTTAATTATTTGTTTACGTGATTTTTCTACATGATTGTGCATCGCTTGGACATTTGCCTAAGGCCCTGAAAACACTCACTTGTGAACTCGTCCTCGTCGGCCTCCTCCGCTTCTCTCGCCAACTCTTCGGGAGTTTTCTTTTTTCGCATCAGAGGGTTGGGTTCCTCTTCCACTGGCGGCTGGAGTTCCTCTTTTTTCTTTATATTGTACTGAAAAAAGAAACGAGTTAATTTTAATCTACGCAGAACGGACCAAAGGTCAAAGGTCAGAGGTCAGAGGTCAAGGAGTTATATTGCCTTTTGTTAAGGATGTTATGTAAAGGCTTTTATAGAAAGACGCAGTTAAAAAGTCAAATTATTAAACACCGCTGAAAGTACATAGGAAGAGTGGTTCTATCTATCGCATTTAGCTGAAAATCAGTGAAGAAAATGTAAATAATATCACTACAAGTATTAAAGTCCAGTGGCTTTAACATTCACCATTGGAGTCCAACGATTGGACAACATTAAGGTGTGTTCACATAAAATTTTATTTTTTTTCAAATCAAAGATTATTATCTGCTAGGAATACTTCGTTTCTCCTGGGCCTTGGTCACCTATATTTAACTACTTTTTTATATGATTTTACTCATCTAAGCACCACCAAACCCAAATTAATTGCATTTTTAACTATGAATTTTGACAACTCAACTTGACAACCGTTCCATGTAATCTACAATAATTTAAACATAACCTAAAGTGACCAGATTCTGTCAAAAAATAGAGGGACATTTTTTATGAATTTACCTTAATTACAAAATTGACACAATGATACAATGCAAATTGTAAATTTGACTTTACTTGATTATTGTTGATTGTGTCATTTTTGTAATTAAGGTTAATTTACACAAAATATCTCGCTATTTTTTGACAGAATCTGGTCACTTTAACATAATCACAATTACATTTATAACTAAAGTCTATTTAAATCCAAGCTGGACTAAACAAAAAGGCCCAGACGTAACATATAATATAACATATTAAGTCAAACATCAAAACCTGATGAAATGTCGCAATCTCTATAATTTCAATGTAAGTACAGATTTATTAAATGCTTAGAAAAATTAGTATATACAACATGGCGGAGAAAACATATTATCTGGTGACGATAGACAGCAATGGTTGTTCCATTCAAAATCTAATCTGATTGTTAATTCACCTCTCAGCAACAAATTCGGAGACAACCAAGCATATGTTGTTCGCGTATTTGTGTACGTTAAAAGCAGCAGTGATATAGCGATATCAGATCGTACCGGTCGGGTATAATTTTGCATTTATGGCCGTGCCCCTTCAGGGAAATTAGATCCATTAAAATAATTTGTAGTAAGTGGCATTCGGTGGAACAACTCCAATTGATCTGGATGCAATTAAACACTTGTATATTATATAAGCGATGCGAAATTAATAATTTCGGTTCAATTTCGGTTATCGAATTTATTAAAACGTGTTTATTGGACAGGTACAAATTGTCGTACACTGGAATAACTTTTTAACAAAATTGGATATTTACTCAAAATTTAGTAAAATTATAGAATAGAATGTATTATATTTACTTTAAAAATAAATAAACACAAAAATACCTTAAAAAATAAAATAAAAATAAATAAGAAAATATGGCAAAAAAATAAATTTAAACTTGGCCCAAGGTTCTTAAAAAAATATTCATTTTTAAATAGAATTTCATCCATAAATAATAAAAGTTCGACGAGTAAATTGCATGTAATATAAGAATACTTTACTAATCACGAAAAATGGTTTAATCCTGCAAAGGATTTGCCTTTGTCCTTGAAAGTAATGGGATATAGTAGTTATTTCTGTATTATTATAGACAATCGATACTACAATTTTAAACACGGAATCCCAAAGGTGTAGGAATTATTTTGAATGTGTTTCATGTCAATTTTGCTTGTTTAACTTGTTATAATTTTGAGATTTTAAAATTTGTAAACCAACTAATTTAACTAAGTTTTTTATATAAAAAGTTATATATTCTCTCTTAAATTAAATAGTCAAAATTCTACTATTTGAATTATTTTACTAATGAAATAGTCATTTTCACCTTTAAATAGTCACATAAAAAGGCCATAAAAACAAACAGATGCAAAAAGTTTAGCTCAAAACGGCAACACAAATAATATATTCAACTTTAAAATACACTCACAGGCAAAATAATCGATCCACACAAATTTTCGATGAATTTCAATCGCAAATAACTTTTTTATTTGATGTCGGATTTAAACGAATATTAAAGAATATTGAATTAATGGACAATCGCTCACATTTTAAAAAATTACTAAAAAATAGACGTACGTTTATAATATACATGTTTAAAGAAAAAGATGTTTTTTACCATAAGTTTAAGACACTCTGTAGAGTGGCAAAACCGTATATTGTTCTAAATTAAGTTTTAATTATTTTAATTTTATTATTTTAATTCACCTCGATATATTTATTTTTGTTGAAAATATGGATTTTTTAAAAAAAAACATTACAATTTCCAATATTTTTCTGTATGAAGAACTAAGCTTGCTATGGTTCATCCATAGGCTATGGAGAATGACAGTGACAGTTTTGTTGAATCATACCATACTTGGACATGTCATACACGGCTTTCAAAAGCTATCAAATTGTTTTTTGCAAGTTAATGTTTAAATTTTGAGGTGTATTCTTACTTTAAAAAATGGATATGTCGACTGATGTTGCCAAAGCCATTAACTTAATCCAGGAAGGACGGTCACAGTATTACGTGGCAAGTGTTTTAAACGTCACAAGAAGGAAATTACAAAGGGCAACATCAGTCGGAGACATTTTTAAAAGTAAGAAGACACCTCAAAATTAACACATTAATTTACAAAAAATAATTTGATAGCTTTTGAAAGTTGTATATGACATGTCCAAGTATGGGATGATTCAACAAAACTGTCACTGTCATAGGCTATGGATGGACCAGAGCAACCATAGTTCTTCATACAGAAAAATATTGGAAATTGCAATGTTTAAAAAAAACATATTTTCCACAAAAATCAAGGTGACCCAAAAACAAAACTGTTAAAAATAGATGTGACTTGATAACTAAAACTTAATTTAGAACAATATACGGTTTTGCCACTCTACAGAGTGTCTTAAACTTATGGTAACAAAACATCTTTTTGTTTAAACCTGTATATTATAAACGTACGTGTAGTTTTTATTAACAATATTTATTGACAAATAAAATTGATTTTTATAAGAGCGGCTGATAGCCACATTTGTTATGACAACAGCTTAAAAAGTGACAGACCTGAGTTCAATTCCCGGCTGGGTCAAAACTTTTATAAATTTAAATATACTAATTTGACTATTTCATTATTATTATTAGTGACTGCTTTTTCGCTATGTTATTTTTGACTAATTTATTTTAAGATATAAATTTACTAAAATATTTAAAATTTTTGTGTAATTAATTTTAAAGCATAACAAGGTTTGGATGTAATAAAGCATAAAGTAGTAATTATAAATATTCGTAAAATGTACAGCATTTTTAATTAGCGCCTTAATTAAGTTAAAATTTAAATTGCCTGTAAAATTTATACGAAATCATTATTCACATTGTAATTAATGGATCCTGAATCGATGTTCCCTCTTTTATTTTAAACGATTCCTGTTCTCAGTCGCCGCTTTCCTGCCCGTTTTCCTTTTTTTCCAGTAAAACAATTAATTCACTTCTGAACGTTAAAGAAATTTAGAAAAAGGACTTTTTCTTAAGATGGCTTACGTCCTTTTAAATACCCTTTTTGCATAGAATTAACGAATTGCATCCTTATCAACAAAAACGCTTTTAACCGTTTAAACATTTTATTACACATAATATATTATACATATACCTTAATATAGTAAAGTTTGCTGTTAAATCTGGACGTGGTTTTCAGTTGAATTCCCTCAAAGGGAGTCAACCTGACTCCGTTAGGGAGTCGCTAGTAAAATAACGGACTCCCTACTAGAGTCAATTTGACCCCGATTAAGAATCCCCATATCCTTGGTCAAGGCTCCAGCGATCCATTCGTCTCTAAGTAGTCACGTACGAACAATATGTCCTTAAGTATAATTCCCTTGCACACATTTATACCAGCTTAGGGTAAAGTTTTGGCCGAAATGCTTTTTTGATTTATTGAACTTAAAATTCAAAGTTCTAAGTTTCTTAAAGGTACCTTGAGCTAAAAAAATCTGTTTATAAAGTTTTTGCACTGCCGTGACATGTCGTGCGATTTAATTTTTAATGCGATATACATCAGAAAAGAAGAATAGAAAAATAAAGAAAATCGTTTAACTTGGTTGTCAGGCACTTAAAGCTCGCTTTCGAGGACTTAAAAAAGAATTAATTTAACGGTAAATCAAAATTTTAATTGGATAATTCTTTTAAGAGGTTACCAACTTTATACCGTCTGCCAGACAATTCACCTAAGTCGCTTTATTTCGTTCCCAAGACAGTTGTAATTAGAATTATAGAGGATTTTACTTTATTTTCGAGCAACTTTAATTTTACTTATTAATATATTGTCTTAAGTGATTAACTACTACCAATTTTCTATTCTATCTAGCTTGTTAATTTTATCATGTAAAATTTTAACATAATTAGTTTTTTGTTAATTTCAAAGGTTACAGATTATTTTGTTCTTGTTTAACAAATTATTTAAAATTGTAATGGCTATAAAAAATGCACCATCTAAGGTACCTACGATTTGTCAAAGTAATGAGATTATTTTTATTTACAGAATTAACTTTTTTTACTGTTAATAAAATTCTTATTTGCTATAATAAAGAAGCAATGTTGAGCTTTTACAAAAAAAATGTTCAACAAAGTAATAGTTGTTATATTGTCATGGCAATAAGAAATACTTTATGGTTATGTTAAATCTTTGTCGAACTTAAAATGTTTTTGTTAAATCTACATAAAGTAATGCGCAGTTATAGTAAAATTTGTTCATTTTACTATGGCATATTTGTATTTTTTTAAATTACTATCGTTGTAATTCAAATTAATTTTATTTCAGTTAAAAAATCTTTGTTAATAGCTTACCTTAAGAACAATAACAAAATTTTTTTAAAATTTAATTTAATTAATTAATTTAATATTTTATTGCTATAAAAAGACTTTTTTAATATTTACTATTGTTTTGCAATGGTAACAAAAC